TTGCGAATTTTCATGATGTAACCCCTTTCCTTTTTTCCGAAAAATGGGAAATTTCTGAAACATTTTTTTTTCGGCCGGATAAAGCTAGAAAGAAAGGCCTGTAGATGCTGATCAAGAATATATATGATTTATGGGGTCGGAAATGGCTCCTTCACTTATTTTTAAGCTTCTGACTGAAGGTCCATTACCATTTTTATACCGAAATGAACAGTATTTTTATGAAATTTTTCGACAAATCAAAATTTAAAATCTCATAGCTTAGCCAAAAACGCATTAATTTCAATTCGGAAAGCGGCAGTATGTTAATTTTTAGCAGGTTAACAACACTGCATACTCCATTTAAAAGTGAATTTTGGCCGATTTTTGCGAATTTTCATGATGTAACCCCTTTCCTTTTTTCCGAAAAATGGGAAATTTCTGAAACATTTTTTTTTCGGCCGGATAAAGCTAGAAAGAAAGGCCTGTAGATGCTGATCAAGAATATATATGATTTATGGGGTCGGAAATGGCTCCTTCACTTATTTTTAAGCTTCTGACTGAAGGTCCATTACCATTTTTATACCGAAATGAACAGTATTTTATATGAAATTTTTCGACAAATCAAAATTTAAAAATCTCATAGCTCAGCCAAAAACTCATTAATTTCAATTCGGAAAGCGGCAGTATGTTAATTTTTAGCAGGTTAACAAAACTGCATACTCCATTAAAAAGTGAATTTTTGGCCGATTTTTGCGAATTTTCATGATGTAACCCCTTTCCTTTTTTCCGAAAAATGGGAAATTTCTGAAACATTTTTTTTTCGGCCGGATAAGCTAGAAAGAAAGGCCTGTAGATGCTGATCAAGAATATATATGATTTATGGGGTCGGAAATGGCTCCTTCACTTATTTTAAGCTTCTGACTGAAGGTCCATTACCATTTTTATACCGAAATGAACAGTATTTTTATATGAAATTTTTCGACAAATCAAAATTTAAAAATCTCATAGCTCAGCCAAAAACGCATTAATTTCAATTCGGAAAGCGGCAGTATGTTAATTTTTAGCAGGTTAACAAAACTGCATACTCCATTTAAAAAGTGAATTTTTGGCCGATTTTTGCGAATTTTCATGATGTAACCCCTTTCCTTTTTTCCGAAAAATGGGAAATTTCTGAAACATTTTTTTTCGGCCGGATAAAGCTAGAAAGAAAGGCCTGTAGATGCTGATCAAGAATATATATGATTTATGGGGTCGGAAATGGCTCCTTCACTTATTTTTAAGCTTCTGACTGAAGGTCCATTACCATTTTTATACCGAAATGAACAGTATTTTTATATGAAATTTTTCGACAAATCAAAATTTAAAAATCTCATAGCTTAGCCAAAAACGCATTAATTTCAATTCGGAAAGCGGCAGTATGTTAATTTTAGCAGGTTAACAAAACTGCATACTCCATCTAAAAAGTGAATTTTTGGCCGATTTTTGCGAATTTTCATGATGTAACCCCTTTCCTTTTTTCCGAAAAATGGGAAATTTCTGAAACATTTTTTTTCGGCCGGATAAAGCTAGAAAGAAAGGCCTGTAGATGCTGATCAAGAATATATATGATTTATGGGGTCGGATATGGCTCCTTCACTTATTTTTAAGCTTCTGACTGAAGGTCCATTACCATTTTTATACCGAAATGAACAGTATTTTTATGAAATTTTTCGACAAATCAAAATTTAAAATCTCATAGCTTAGCCAAAACGCATTAATTTCAATTCGGAAAGCGGCAGTATGTTAATTTTTAGCAGGTTAACAACACTGCATACTCATTTAAAAAGTGAATTTTTGGCCGATTTTTGCGAATTTTCATGATGTAACCCCTTTCCTTTTTCCGAAAAATGGGAAATTTCTGAAACATTTTTTTTTCGGCCGGATAAAGCTAGAAAGAAAGGCCTGTAGATGCTGATCAAGAATATATATGATTTATGGGGTCGGAAATGGCTCCTTCACTTATTTTTAAGCTTCTGACTGAAGGTCCATTACCATTTTTATACCGAAATGAACAGTATTTTTATATGCAATTTTTCGACAAATCAAAATTTAAAAATCTCATAGCTTAGCCAAAAACGCATTAATTTCAATTCGGAAAGCGGCAGTATGTTAATTTTTAGCAGGTTAACAAAACTGCATACTCCATTTAAAAAGTGAATTTTTGGCCGATTTTGCGAATTTTCATGATGTAACCCCTTTCCTTTTTTCCGAAAAATGGGAAATTTCTGAAACATTTTTTTTTCGGCCGAATAAAGCTAGAAAGAAAGGCCTGTAGATGCTGATCAAGAATATATATGATTTATGGGTCGGAAATGGCTCCTTCACTTATTTTTAAGCTTCTGACTGAAGGTCCATTACCATTTTTATACCGAAATGAACAGTATTTTTATATGAAATTTGTCGACAAATCAAAATTTAAAAATCTCATAGCTTAGCCAAAAACGCATTAATTTCAATTCGGAAAGCGGCAGTATGTTAATTTTTAGCAGGTTAACAAAACTGCATACTCCATCTAAAAAGTGAATTTTTGGCCGATTTTTGCGAATTTTCATGATGTAACCCCTTTCCTTTTTTCCGAAAATGGGAAATTTCTGAAACATTTTTTTTTCGGCCGGATAAAGCTAGAAAGAAAGGCCTGTAGATGCTGATCAAGAATATATATGATTTATGGGGTCGGAAATGGCTTCTTCACTTATTTTTAAGCTTCTGACTGAAGGTCCATTACCATTTTTATACCGAAATGAACAGTATTTTATATGAAATTTTTCGAGAATCAAATTTAAAATCTCATAACTCAGCCAAAACGCATTAATTTCAATTCGGAAAGCGGCAGTATGTTAATTTTTAGCAGGTTAACAAAACTGCATACTCCATTTAAAATGGGAATTTTTGGCCGATTTTTGCGAATTTTCATGATGTAACCCCTTCCTTTTTTCCGAAAATGGGAAATTTCTGAACATTTTTTTTTCGGCCGGATAAAGCTAGAAAGAAAGGCCTGTAGATGCTGATCAAGAATATATATGATTTATGGGGTCGGAAATGGCTCCTTCACTTATTTTTAAGCTTCTGACCATTACCATTTTTATACCGATATTACCAATATTTTTATATGAAATTTGTCGACAAATCAAAATTTAAAAATCTCATAGCTTAGCCAAAAACGCATTAATTTCAATTCGGAAAGCGGCAGTATGTTAATTTTTAGCAGGTTAACAAAACTGCATACTCCATTTAAAAAGTGAATTTTTGGCCGATTTTTGCGAGTTTTCATGATGTAACCCCTTTCCTTTTTTCCGAAAAATGGGAAATTTCTGAAACATTTTTTTTTCGGCCGGATAAAGCTAGATAGAAAGGCCTGTAGATGCTGATCAAGAATATATATGATTTATGGGGTCGGAAATGGCTCCTTCACTTATTTTAAGCTTCTGACTGAAGGTCCATTACCATTTTATACCGATATTACCAATATTTTTATATGAAATTTGTCGACAAATCAAAATTTAAAAATCTCATAGCTTAGCCAAAAACGCATTAATTTCAATTCGGAAAGCGGCAGTATGTTAATTTTAGCAGGTTAACAAACTGCATACTCCATTTAAAAAGTGAATTTTTGGCCGATTTTTGCGAATTTTCATGAAAAATGGGAAATTTCTGAAACATTTTTTTTTCGGCCGAATAAAGCTAGAAAGAAAGGCCTGTAGATGCTGATCAAGAATATATATGATTTATGGGGTCGGAAATGGCTCCTTCACTTATTTTTAAGCTTCTGACTGAAGGTCCATTACCATTTTTATACCGAAATGAACAGTATTTTTATATGAAATTTGTCGACAAATCAAAATTTAAAAATCTCATAGCTTAGCCAAAAACGCATTAATTTCAATTCGGAAAGCGGCAGTATGTTAATTTTTAGCAGGTTAACAAAACTGCATACTCCATTTAAAATGTGAATTTTTGGCCGATTTTGGCGAATTTTCATGATGTAACCCCTTTCCTTTTTATTCGAAAATGGGAAATTTCTGAAACATTTTTTTTTCGGCCGGATAAAGCTAGAAAGAAAGGCCTGTAGATGCTGGTCAAGAATATATATGATTTATGGGGTCGGAAATGGCTCCTTCACTTATTTTCAAGCTTCTGACTGAAGGTCCATTACCATTTTTATACCGAAATGAACAGTATTTTTATATGAAATTTTTCGACAAATCAAAATTTAAAAATCTCATAGCTCAGCCAAAAACTCATTAATTTCAATTCGGGAAGCGGCAGTATGTTAATTTTTAGCAGGTTAACAAAACTGCATACTCCATCTAAAAAGTGAATTTTTGGCCGATTTTTGCGAATTTTCATGATGTAACCCCTTTACTTTTTTCCGAAAAATGGGAAATTTCTGAACATTTTTTTTTCGGCCGGATAAAGCTAGAAAGAAAGGCCTGTAGATGCTGATCAAGAATATATATGATTTATGGGGTCGGAAATGGCTCCTTCACTTATTTTTAAGCTTCTGACTGAAGGTCCATTACCATTTTTATACCGAAATGAACAGTATTTTTATATGAAATTTTTCGAGAAATCAAAATTTAAAAATCTCATAACTCAGCCAAAAACGCATTAATTTCAATTCGGAAAGCGGCAGTATGTTAATTTTTAGCAGGTTAACAAAACTGCATACTCCATTTAAAATGTGAATTTTTGGCCGATTTTTGCGAATTTTCATTTTTTAAAAAATGGGAATTTTATATTAAATTTCCTCCAATCTGTGTGGTACATTTAGTATTAAATATATATAAAAAATAACAATGCCTATCGCTTTTCGTTCTTTTTAAATAGGGGCGCCCTTTTTTAATTCCGAACTTCTACAAAAATGAAATACACAACGCAACTCATTTTGATAAAAAAAGATATCAATTTTATTCAGTTGTGACTTACATTCTAAAATTACATTTTTCTTAGAAAAAAAAAATACATATTTTAATTACAACTACAGCGAAAGGACATTAAAACGCATTTTAGACCCAATGAATGAAGGAGAAAACGCTTTCAAGAGCCTTTCGGGCCCCGACCGACCGTAAATATAGTAAATAACATATAGTAAGTAAGATACTCGCAGTGTTAACGTGCTAAAGTTAGACCTTAATTTGGTGCCACTCGTTAGACGAATCCGTCAGTCTCTGGGTTAGGGTATATGGGATAATCTGGAGCTCAGTAGACCCGCCCATAGGGCAGGGCATTCGGATAATAAGGCATCAGGAATTTCCCACCGAAACGTGGCTGCGACTGAGCCGACTCGCTGCTGGAGGAGAACATCGAGGTGCAGATCTCATTCCGATCCCGATGCAACCGGCTGCTGCTGTTCGACGCACTCGTTCCGGCAATGCCCAGTCCCAGGCCCAGACCCAAACTCAATCCACCGGCGCCATGGCGACGTTCCCGGCGTCGCGATCGTATTAGCGAAAAGATGGCCACCACAACGGCCACCAGGAAGATTAGGCCCAGGACACAGAACGAGATGGCCAGCTTGGAGATGGACAGACATAGGGTACCCTCGCCGGGCAGTGTCTGGGCTCGAACATGCGGTGCATAGTCCTCACCTGAAATGGTTACTAACTTAAGTACGGGTGCAACTATTTTGGGAAAGTGGTTGCACAAGAGGTTCGTTGCAGCATGCGTGACAGGAATCCCGGCTCACTCATCCTTACCGCTCATGTTGTGGCGCCTATCATACCGCAGTCGATCCACCTCGATTTGGGGAGCTGTCACGGCCAGCGAATTGAACACCTCGATGCGTGCCAGGTGCTGCTCCGGCAATGGTGGCGATGGTGGCGTCTTCTGGCGACAATTTAGCTGCAATTGGAAGGAGGGAGCAAGAGCGGAAATTAGAGAAGATTGGGCCTCTTGGTGGTGGCGTTGCAACTGGGAGTGAGGCTCCAGTTGGCTGCCTTTCGGTGCAATAACCACATTAATTAGTTGGACGCAACAACACGCTACGCTGGGCAACAAGAAGCGGCAGTAGCAACACTTTCGTTTTCGTTGCAATTAATTGAGATGCATACAAGGTGCACAGTAAACAAAAATTGTTTGCACTTTTTAGGGGGAGAAATAAGAAACCATAAACGTGAAGGTAATAAGAGCCTCAAGTGGGGAACGCTTAATGAAATATACATAAATTCAGGGTATATTAAACACCAATTGTTTACTAACTATAAGGAGCCTTAGGGTGGAGATCTTTCTCTTGGTGTATAGTACTTGGAGTATACTCACTGTCGGACACTTCCCCTTGCAAAGCTGCACACCGCAGCTAACATGGAGCCGCTCTCGGTCCGGGAACTTGAAGGCGGGAAATGTGGCCGCAAATGTTCGCTCCACCAGGTCTTCCTCGAGCTGCTTGGACCAACCCTCCTCCGCTGGCCGGTGCTCGGTGTGCAGAGCGGGCATTACCTGGAAAAAATAAAATAAATAAATATATAAACATAGTTCCATCTGAAGTTTATTATAAAAAGTTATATTTTGTTTCAGTCTAATTACATCATAAACTCGGGTATATATTCTTCCAGATCAGGGGGATGAACCTGTCTCCCGTTGTGGTCACTGTCCCTGAACCTGAACCCAAACCCAACCCAAAGTTGATGGCCCTCTTTTTTATTGCCGGTTATACAATAATTTCGGGTGACAAAACAGCCGCATTTCGGCCATTTCCGCTACGTGGAGAGCTCTTGAGGTGGGAGAGAAGGTGTTTGGAGTAAAGAAGGTAGCAATGCCAACGTCATGTGGCCAAGTTCAATGACAACTAGTGCATATATGTGTGTACATATAGCCCTTAGTATTATATGATGCATGTGCGATCGCTGGAAACAGATGTATGGAATTACAAGACGCTGCCGATTTGCATCTAGCCATTGTTGGTGGTAACTAAACAAAGGCCAGGAAGCCCACTTTGGGTTCCCAAAGCGAAGTCTATATACTCTTCCATGTAAAAATCAAGATATTTAGGTACTAGAGATGGGTAAAGTTAGATCTTAAACACAGTTTCTTGTATTTCTAGTTCCAGAAGTTTAACAACTCTATGAATTGAAGCTTTCCAACTTAATTTATATCTCTTTTAAATATAATATAATACAGTTTATTATTCTGGGGAGTCTCCAAAAAAGTTTCTACAAATAATACCCTGAAATAGACAACCCATTAATGGACTTTCTCAAAGATAGAGTGACATTATATTCTCTAGAGAAGTGTCTTCAACCCGGACGGGCTCCTCGGGCACGTTGATTAGCTGAGACAACGCCGTCGTCTGGTTTCAATTTACACACCCAAGCACGTGTTTCCCCATGTGTGTGTGCGGGTGTGCGGGTGTACAATATCTGTTGGATGCGAAACCCAAGACAATAACGAGAAAAAGCAAAAATTGCTGCGGAAGTTCAAACGAGTTCACGTGTACAGAGCAAAGATTGTTATGTTAAGATGCAAACGTATAATGCAGTTGCCAGAAAAAACACTTCCCTTGAATCCAGCAACTGTGTAATAATATCGAAATAATCACTGGAATATATCGAAGGATATATATTTTATTATATCTTAAGGGTTTCAAAGAAATTTTAAAAGTATTTCTCTATAAAATATAACTAATTTGCTTCATAATCACAATGAAAAGCTGCTTGCATCTACGTGCATGGGATTCCCGAGGATCGATAACTTTATGAGAGGCCCAGGACCGATAACGATAATTTCAAAGCTACATTCGTAGAGCGCAACTCTAACGGTTCTTGCATCGTTCTTGCACAGTGGGTCACATTCTAGAGATTCACCGCCAGAAAGTGGGTCACCATCAATCGACGACGACTGCAAAAGACAAAAGACCAGAGCTCCGAGCCGGCATTTATTTCACTTTTCCGCCACGGTCTGACCCAGAAGTGTTTCTAAACCAAACAAATCAACCTGTGATGGGTGCGCGCATAAATTTGCAATCCAGCAGCACTCTGAGGCTGAGGTAAAAATAAAAGCCAGGTGAGTAAGCCAAACAATAAACAAACGCCAAGGAAAATGAAATGTGCTAAAACGGAAGACAGCAGCAGTGGCGTCGGCGAACAATAAAACAAACATAAAATGCAAATGATTTCTTCTTCGCGGTCTTCTCCCCATTCCGTTAAAATAAAAACAGAAATTAAGCCGTGTGATTTTTCTAGCGCTATTTATACCCTGACCACCACAGTAAAAAAGGTACAGCAACAAAAAATCAGTCAGCAAAAGATTTGTTTGACCCATTTAAGGCCCGGGGGCCGTGAATGAATGACATGTGCACAAAGCTGCGACGGCCGGCGACCGAAATGCAAATGCCTGGCAATGGCATTGCCCACTGTTGCGGTGCACAGTGGGCCTAATATCCAAGAAAAAAAATCTAACAGAAGTAATAACCACTAAATAATTATAATATTTAAAGCTACTGTCCAATGATTTTCATGGCCGTTTGTATACCTTTGCCATAGGATCATAGGTTCGAATGTTTAATTGATCATAACTAAGCCAAAAATGCATTAATTTCAATTCGGAAAGCGGTCCTATTCTAATTTTTAGAACGATAATAAGTTTGCATACTCAATTTAAAAAGTGAATTTTTGCCCGATTTTTGCGAATTTTCATGATATAACCCCTTTCCTTTTTTCCGAAAAATGGGAAATTTCTGAAACATTTTTTTTTCGGCCGGATAAAGCTAGAAAGAAAGGCCTGTAGATGCTGATCAAGAATATATATGATTTATGGGGTCGGAAATGGCTCCTTCACTTAGTTTTAAGCTTCTGACTGAAGGTGCAATACCCTGCAGTGGTTTAAAAAGGTGCCTTGGAAAGAACCTCTTAGTTAGTTACTAACCAAAGTTAAGTCTGGAACACATCTTCCAATGGACTCCACTGTGCACAGTCCAGTGCTGATGAAGATAGTGGTGGCCCCCACTGCCTCCGTTGGATTGAAAGATGGGATGGCAAATGCGAAGGCGAAGGCGGAGATGGGGCAACAGCCAACAAGAGGGGCACGTCAAAATGCTAAACGATAAATATTTCTATGTATTTCACTCTTGGCTAATTGTTGTGACCTCCTAATTTACTCAAGAAGAACTGAACTGAACAGAACTGAACAGAAGGGAGGCCCCCTCCCAGAAGAGAACAACAGTTCGCAGGCGTTACTGCTGTTATTTAGTTTAGTTTTTCCCCCCATTTTCTTAATGGTTTCTGTTCGGGGCTGCTTGGCTGGGCAACGACGAAGACTGTTGTTCTAACGATGATCGCGTAATTATGGCTAACAGTTTTTGGTTTTCAGTTTTGTTGTTGTTTTTTTTTGTTTTTTGCTGCCTTGCTTCACATTTAATGTGACGTCGACGTCGACGGCGGTGCTGTAATAACTGTTACAATTTAATGAGGCAGCGCTTCTAGCGGGCTGGAAAAGGTTCCAATACCAATTCCAGTTCCAGTTTATATATTCCAATGGCACTTATCTATCAATCGATGGAAATTTCACTTTCGCTGCTATCGAGAAGCAAATGTTTAAACTTAAAAGCAAAGGTAGACTCTTAATTGGTCAGAATTATTATAGAAACTAAGGGGTAACTCTGTTCCTGATCAGTTTATGCTTGTTGAACTAATATTTAAATGGTTTTAAAAGGTTTTCTTTGAGCAACTCTATTCATTTTATTTTTATAATTTATAAATAGTAAATCTAACTTGACTGGAAAAGTTCATAACCCCTGCTACCCTGTACTGATTCGTCTATAAAAATGAAAGTTAAATGCGATCAATCGTAGATCGCCCCATAGCATCTCCAGCTAATTAATGACTTTCCGTTGTCTCATCGCTCGTCTAGCTCTGGTTTCCTCTAACGGTTCGAAGTAGAATGTCTCGCCGCCGGCACTGGTTACGCAAATGATTTGGATAACCCCCATACCCATACCCATACCCATACCCATACCCATACCCATGGTCTTCCATCTAAAAACTCACCTGCTCATCGATGGGACAGCCACGGGCATCTAGAAGCTGCTGTGTGGACTCGCCCAGTCCATCTAGGGCGGCACAGTCCACCACCCGCACACCGATGGTGCCGGGAACAATGGCTCGTACGGTTAAAGTGGTGGCCACACCCACCTCCACAGAACCGGAGCCATTGGGTCCGCCCAGCTCCAGCCAGATGCGAACGCGTGGGGTCTCCATGTGCTGCTGTTGATGATGATGGGTCGTGGGAGAGTGGGCAGCTGCCAAGGCTCGCATCCGGGCATTCCTGGCAGGATCAAGGAATAGAGGATATAGGATATAGATAATAGAGATAAAGACTTGGGTCACCTCTCCCTTCCCGTTTCCGGACGCAGAGCTGGCACTGGCATGCCCATCGCATTGGCTGGCAATTGGCAGCGCACTGAACTCAGGATATCGGTGCTCTGTCGCAGTTTCTGCTCCATTTGGAGCATCACACGCACCGTATACTCCAGACTGCCATCCTCCAAGGGTTCCGCTCGCACACCACAGCCCGACGTGGGTATGCGCAACTGCAGGCGCGTGGAGTCCTGGCCCCGCGAACGACACTCCAGGGGAAGTCCTTGGCATACAGCAGACCCCGAAACGGGCGACTCAACTCCAGATGCATCTCCAGCAAATCCCTGCTGCAGTTCACCTGGAGTGTCTGGATCTGCATGGCGTTGCCCGGTGAAGCCGCAGTGCTGGCGGCTTTCGAGATGCTGTCGTTGTCGTTGTCGTTGATCGCTCTGGTTGCCCAACTAGCATGACACACAAACTGCGGCAGATGCAGCAATCCAATAACGGCCGCCAATCGGAGCCACCGCCGGCTGGGACTGGAGCAGCTGGAGAAGAAGCCGATGAAGAAGAACATGTTTCCGATTTCCCGTTTCTAACGCACGACCGACCACACCCGGCCTCCGGGGCGACCGCAAAAGATGCCACTTGTCACTGGATTTAGCCAGTTGGACACCTGCTGTCGCTAGTGGTAATGGTGATGATGGTGGTGGTGGTAGTGGTTCTTAATTGGCCTACTCCGAGTCCAAGTTCCGAGCTTAAGCTGGAGTTCCAGTAGTCAGTCTTGCCTGCGAAATGGAAATGGATTTTAGGTATCGAAAATGTTTTATTTCCAAAAGAACTTTCGGTTTTTCTCAAGGTTTAGTGGTTACAAAATCTATTAGTTCTAATAAAAATCTTTACTTAACTAATCGTTTTTGGGAATTTTATTTTATTTAATGATTTTCTTACAAGGTTTGTTAATAAAAAGAGTTAACAAGTTAGCACAGAAAGTTCTCAAGACCCCCAAAAGAGGGTTTATATCACAATTGGTCAATGATTTTGAGTATCCGGTTTAAAGGAAAGGTCTAACATTTTTTTATGTAATTTATAATTGCCAAATAAGCGAGAGGCCGACAGTTTTTAGGAGAGAGAGAGAGGGAACCCAGGCCCAAAGCCCTTCCCTGTTTATATTTCGATGCCAATTCGTTGCCGAAAGCGGGTCAAGTTCCCATATTTGTTGATTGAGCTGCTGCTGCTGCTGCTGCTGCTGATGGTAGCTGATGTTGCAGCATGGCGAACAAATAAAATAAGCAAATAAATAAATGCGATAAAGGCGCAGACACCGAGGCTTAAATCAACATCAGCTCAGCATAATGCGTTTGCAACTTTGCGTAATCTCCGCTGGCCACCGATCGCTCCACTGGCCCGGCTCATTGTGCCTTCTCGCTGTTTGTATTTGTGATTCCCATCTCTTATTAACTCGCAGCGGTATTGTAATCAGCCCAATTAACAATAAACTTTGTGAGTGTCAACAAAAGCAGCAACAAGAGCAGCATTTGGAAGATGAACATGAAGTCGAAGGCGAAGTCAAGGCGCAGTGGCTGCCCTTCACTTCCATTTGGTCATTGGACATTTGGTATCATCAATCATTATCCTTTAATATATTATCTATTATATTAACTTCAAAGTTCTCAATTGCAATGAGTATCCTTTCTTATGTATATCCTGTCTTTTCGCCATTAAAGTCGCGTCTTTATTTAATTAATTTATTTATTATACACAATTGGATCAGAAAAACGATTTGATTTTTGATTTGATATAAAAATATTAAAAAATGGTAATGCACCTTCAGTCCGAAGCTCAAAAGAAGGCGAAGGAGTCATTTCCGACCCTATAAATCATATATATTCTTGATCAGCATCAACAGGCGAATTTTTAAAGCCATCTTTTTTTTCAGATATTTCCCATTTTTTGTTTTTAATTTTTAAATTTATTAAATTTTAAGTTGAGTATGCATATTTATTATGCTACCAAAAACTAATATAGGAGCGCTTTTCGATTAATATAAACAAATTTTTGGCTGAGCTATGAGTTTATGAAACTTTTCTTCTTACCTTAACTTATTGTTTATCCTTGAAATAAATTATTTCCTTAGTTTTCTTTCCGCACTTTTGTTTCGAATTATAGTTGTAATTTTTAAGGATTTGCAGTAAAGTTTTTCTTTACTTTATTTTATATTCGAGCACAGCAAACAACAAAAACACAAATAAAAAACCAATTTCTTGCCCAATTTTTGCGGTCAATTCAAATTAAAACAAAAAAAAGAAACAGAAACCAAAAAGCAGAAGAACCGCAATCCTCGTATTGGTTAGTTATCAGTCACTACGCAGGCGCGCACTTCACACGCTCAGAAGAAATAAACAATAAGCTTCGCGGCGATGGAACTCGACGGGGAAGACAAGCGCGCGCCACCGAGTGTGCGGATGCAATGCATGCCATGTTAGGCCGACCGGGCCAATTCCAGAAGTTAGCCAAGTTAGTTAGTCGCGAGCGCAGACCGCAAGCAAGAAGAAGAGGCGTCGCTGGGGGCCGACAAAAGAAGACGTTTCGTTACGCATGCTCACCCACTTGGCGCGCACGCGAAATACTTTTTCAAATAAACGATATCGATATCTGCGTCTTATCGAATAAAATACCATACAAAAAAATACCAAATACTCTTATAAGATTCATATTAGGACTTTTAATTGTTATTAGGACTTTTAATTAGAATAAGTTCATCACAAATACAATTCAACTTTTCAGTTACTTTTATGTATCTAATATTTCGGTAATATTCTTTAAATTCGTGATTTTTTTAAGTGTGTTAAAAATAAAAATAGCCTGCCAATACTTTATGTTCCCGCAAAATAATCCATTGAATTTGGCAATCGAACTAGAATTTACTGTATATACGTAAACCCTGTTGCTGTGTAAAAAAATTAATAAAATCCAATTAAAATGAAAGTTCTTATTTGACTGAAAGTGCTCTCGCTGAAACAAACGGTAATTTCCCCTCATTCTGCTGCGGTCACACTTTCACTGCGCTGGGGTTAAAAGCAGAAAAGAAAAAGAAAGAAATAAAGATCAGACCCCAGGCTCCTCGAGATTTGCTGTTCACGATTGACGAGGAAACAGCACTCCTGACACCGGGCTGCCATGAATGTGGACATGTCCGAGATAATTGAGTTCGACACCCACGTCAAGGGCGAGTACACGGACGACGACGATGACAGCCCCGTAGGATCCGCTGGCGGTGGTGGCAACGGCATGGTGGACGTTGGCAGCGACGACGCCACCTACGTGGTGCTGGAAGGTCTGAGCAATGAGTACGATGAGGAGTTCCTTATTGTAAACGAGGACGCCACCACCGAGGGTGAGCTAATGCTGGGCGATTGCGAGCTGCAGCAGCATATGGACAATGGCCTGCTCATTGCGTCGCGTGTGAAGTCGCTGCCGGTGAACGAGCAGGGCGCCCACTATCTGATCACTGAGCTGCGCCTATCCGATGTGGGGGAGATGGTTGTTGAGGAGGAGGATCAAAAGCAGAAGCTGGTTGCCGACGAATATGCCTACATATATCCGCCCAAACATGAACAATCTGACGACCTGGATATAAAACCGGTGATGTCGCCTTCTCTGCCCTCATCTCCACCATCAGCGTCTCCGCCGCAGCTCGCACCCGGCATTAAGCTAAAGCCCAATTCCGCGCCACAGTTTGTCGTTCGAAGCTTTGGCAACCAGAACGATGAAGGTGAATTGATCGATGTGAAACCAAGTGATAAAATGCTAGATGAGTTCAAGGGACCGCGTCGGTACATGCTCTTCGACGATCTGGTAGCCACCATCGTGGACTTTGACGAAGAAAGCACACCAATTGTTGAGTTCTCCATGATTAGCTGCCACACGGATGAGAAGCTGCCAGTGGAGTGTGGCATCTGTCCCGATGTCATGCACAAGTCGAAGCTGTCCAGACACCAGAAGACGCATTTGGTGGCCGGGACGAATCGGTACGCGTGTATGTACTGCACGGAGACGTATCGTGACTGCAAGTACCTGGCCGGACACGCCCGCCGTCACATGGGTATCCGTCCCTACGTGTGCGAGGTGTGTACGCTGTACTTCTCCACCAAGCAGGACCTGCGTGTGCATAACCAGCGGCGGCATCTGGAAAAGGAGCACATCTGCGAGATGTGCGGCAAGACGTTCGCGCAGAACACACAACTGAAGCGGCATCGCGAGGCGACGCACGAGAAGAAGCGGCGCTTCCAGTGCCAGTATTGCCAGAAGGCCTACTACAAGAACTTCTCCCTGCAGGAGCACATCCGGAACGTGCATATGGGCAAACGGCGTATGCTCAAGTGTCCCTTCTGTGGTATGCAGTGCCGCGACGCCCACAAGATGGCCCGCCATCGAAAGGATATGCATCTCAGCCAGGGGCTGTACGAATGCCATCTGTGCAAGGAGGAGTTCACCGACATCAATTATTTCGATGCGCACAAGCGCTCCATTCAGTGTCGCAGCAATACACGCCGGCTTGTCGGCAGCTCCAGCAATGACCAGCTGGATGGCAACGTCTCCGCCTCTGGTTCCGTTTCCGGTGGCCTGCTTGATGGCGGAGACGATGACGATGGTATGGGCATTCTGGAGGAGGAGTATGACGAAGACACCGGCCTGCTGGTGGAGGAGGGCGATGCGGATGCCGTCGTGGCCAACGGTGAGCACTATCTGAACGTGGCCGAGGAGGATCAGCAGCAGCCGTACGTCCAGATATCGGACTACAATGGCCAGCGCCTGATGGTCGAAGCGGACGAAGAGGAGGAGGAGGAAAGCGAAGATGTTGTTGGGGAAGCATATTTTAATACTGTCCCACAGCAGTATCAGCAACAGCAGCAGATCTTTCAGCATGTCGGCGATGAATTTAACGACGAGCTGATATATGAGATCACCTTGAAGACTGAGGATAATTGAGTGCCGCTTCCGTTTCCCCTTCCCCTTCCTCTCCCCATACCCATATCCCGTGCCCAAACCCGATTGATTATACATATACATAAACCCTATTTTCATTACCAATTGTAAATAGATAAATAATTGTACAAACGAAGAAGTAAAGCCATTTTTAAATCTGACCCCCATTTATTTGGTCGAATGCAACCCAGGGGGCGCAATCCGTACGCAGGGCTGTATTTGTGGGATCATCAGCGGACAGAATGCAACACTTGCCAGCACAGAAGAGCTCCCGTTGGAGCAGGCTCGGCGGAGTCCTCGTCTACTCCAATGGGTGGACAGAGTCATTTCGCATGGAATTGGGAATTTTCCATTCAGTTCCAGTTTGACATTTGCATGCTCTTGTGACGTCAGCAAGTTTGATCGAGAAGGAGAGAGAAATAATGCTAGTCCCCTCCAAACGTATATCGACATCGATTGTCCCTTACCAATCGGTTTCTCTGACTGTTATGGCTAATTTTAAAGCTAAAATTAAAGCTAGCTTTTTGGTACAACTGCAAATATATAAAATGTTATAGCTGCATTAAATTTAATTCGGAAAGCGATATATATAGTAATTGTTTCCAAGCTTTTGACTGAGCAATATTTTTTTTCTTAGTATGAATCCATCAACACTTTTCCACCTCTTAATCACATTCCACATTTTCCAGCTATAATTTTGGCTATAAAATAATTTGGCATCACTGATGCAAGATAAACAAAGTTTGGTAAATAATAAACAAAATGTATTTCAGAAACTCAGGCGAAACGATGGCCGTGGCAGCCAAGGCAACGGTGTTGGTCCTTCGATCAAACTTCCAGTCAACCGAGACCGGGACCGAGCTGGAGGTAAATCCCATTGAGATCGAACAGGTTTTCTCACAACCCAGATGGAGGAGCTAAAGCTAAAGTACCTGGACAGGACGAGCGACTTCCTCGGGACCAGCAGCATCGAGGATAAAGAGGAGGAAGTGGCGGAGCCGGGTCCAATTGATAGCTGGGAGTCCTTTAATGAGCGAGTCGATGGGCTCATCCTTAACGAGCACTGCGACAGTTCGGTAAAGAAGCTGGAGGACCGGCGTCTGGAGATCCTCGACCGGGTTCGCCAGCAGTTCCGTGAACCGGCCAAGGGTTCGGCAACGGAGCACGGACAGGTTCAGAAGGCGCCCATCGAGCAGCAGCTGGAGGCGTCCGGTCAGGCCCTCGACGAGCTAGTTCGATTCGGCAACGTTCTGGTTACCAATGTCCGGGTGGCCAACGAGCGGCGTGAACTCAACCGCCGTCTGTTCGAGGCCACGCAGAAAAGCCGGGTGCAGGCGAAGCTTCAGGCCGAGAGCATAGAGACGGTAGCCCGGTTTGCCGACATTAAGGCACGCTGGACGGAGCTGGAGGAGATCAATGAACCGATGATGCTATGGGATCAGATTGAAGAGCAGAAAAAACGAATCGCAGCCATAATGGCCCGCAAGGACGAGATGATTGCTGCCTGCCAGCAGGAGGTGAATCGCATGAATGCCAAGTACGAGTTCGATCGTGAGCGGCAGTCGCAGGACCTGTGCGGCCTGGTAGAGCGCGTAGACCACCAGGTGGAGACCCTGAAAGAGGCCTACAAGCAGCACCTGCAGCTGCTGCGCCAAACTATCGAGGAGGAACGCCAGATCTTTTCCACTGGTGCCGTTGAGAAGTGGCGCACCTTCTTCGATGCCATGAATGCAAATTTCGAGGAAAAGGCCAACTTGGTGCGTTCGCGGGAGCAGTTCTATGCCCGCCAGACGCAACAGATCAACGAGTCGCAGGAGGAGCTGACCAAGAGCACCCGTATCCGGCTGGAGAAGGAGTGCGAACGCCTGGAGCTCGAGTTGCGTCGAACGCGTGACAACGTGTTGATGAACTCCGAGAAGCTGGACTACAACTACGAGGTTCTACAGAAACGCAACGAGGAGAACGCTATCATCAACGGCCAACAGAAGCGACGGGTGGCCCGCCTCCAGGAAGCTATTGGGCGCACCAGGCGCGGCCTACGGGGGCACTGCCTTACCGGCAAGCGGAACATTGCCCGGCTCTCCGCCGACATCTACAAACTGCACGCCAACATCAACGACATGGAGGCGAAGGCGCATCAGGCGCGAATCAACAACCGCGAGAAGTTCGATCGCATCTGGGACATTAACTACAGGGAGCTCACCGTCCTGGTGGAACGGATCTACAGCATCGATCGCACCATTCACGACCAGCAGCTGGCCATGGCCTGGTCCCGTCCGGTGCCGCCCATTCCCAATATCAACCAGGCGAAGACGAAGCCAAGTAACGTCCTCCAAAAGTTCGACATGCGCATAGGGCGGCTGCCTAAGAACCGGGGACTATCAAGTGGCGGAAGAGGAGGCTCTGGCGGCGGGAAGCAGCATCGTCCGGATATCAAGGAGCTGCCACCGGATTCTCTACGCCTGATGCGGACTCTCATCCGACAGCTTTCCGATCGCGGTGGCTTTCTAATTGAGGATCGACTGCTGGAGATTCTGGAGCCATACTCCGAGGAGGACAAGTGCCTGGTGCGCATTGACAATATCTTTGCAGCCTTGCAGATCCGCCATCTGCGGGACGTGCAGAAGCTGACCAGTGTGTTCCTGCCGTATACATACTGCCCCACCTGCCAGCCGGAGGGCTTGAGTCCACGTAAATGCGCCGAGGTCTTTTTTAGGGATCGGAAGCCAGGATTAGGGCTAGAACTGGAGAGCGAGGAGGATTCGTCAAAAGATTGTCCCAATCACTACCTTGTAATGGAGCCTGCTCTCTGCCTGCATGCCATGAACCTCTTCACCTCCAAGTTGCACCAGCAGATGCACGATCAGGAACGCACCGGCGTCAGCAGTCGTCATGTAGTCACTCCCATCCAGATTACGGACACGGAGATACGCGACTTCTGGCGGCAGTTTGCCGCCTGCTTTCCGCCCGCCAAGCGCAAGCTGTGGAAGACCCTCGAGCATGGCCTGAATCACTATGTGGAGGTCCTCAAGATGCGCGTGCAGTACGATGCGGAGGTGGTCTTCCTGCGACGACAGAACGAGGAGCTGCGCCACCTGCTCCAGAAGTTCACCGTACAGCTCTGAGCGGCAGCAATGGGAATTTTGTTATAACGATTCATAATCCAAATGAAGATCTCACTTAATTTCTGTTCAATTGTGTCGGTAAATGAATATATATGCATATATGCACGGGTAATTGCACCTTAAGTCGTGGCTTTTGACTTGCCCAGTGGCATAAATGGGGACTTGGAAGTGTTCCTGTCCCCTGAAGAGGGGATAAAGATTATTCAGATGCTTTACATCTTTGATAATTAAGAAGCAATATCATGTACATATGTAGATTCTAGTCAAGGAAATCCAGTTCTATATGGCAAAGAAAACAAGTTGTTAGTGCTGCTGCTGCTGCACTGAGCGTTATCAGGGCAACCCGATAAAGTTGCGTTGTTTGGAAACTTGTTGGTTATATATACCTATACCTATGTAGATTTGGGGCGGAGTAGAAGGTATCGGTCGCCGGGGTCGACTGTTGGAGGAGGATCGCCCAATTGGCTCAAAGTGCGAGAGCTGCCGGCAGCGTTTAAAGTGCAAAACGACATCGGGGGACTAATCACTCATTTACGGCAAAAAACAAGGCAACTTTATTACGGGCATTTCGATAAAATAGCCAAAGAGAGGAGCTGCGTCACCTGCCTGCTTTACTGGGTTTGATTCCATGGCCGAAACTACAACCTGTAAACGATATATGTATACTACATAATTAAACAAGCCGTAATCTTATCGACACTCGGACTCCGACGGAAGTCTTGGCCAGCGCAGTCGGTGAAACGGCAGCAAACCGGACGGAAGCATGGGAGCGGAGAATCTTCTAGCCGATCAGGAAGTGATACTGATGGAGACTGAGAATGCCAGCGAAGATCAGAGCAACAGCTATGGGGTTTCCCTGGAGGATCTGCAACTGTTTGCCCAGCTTGAGGAAGGTCTCACCGGACAGCTGGAGCTAGATCTTCTGGAGCTGGTAACTGCGGTGAGTTGGGATTCTCTGGAAAAGAAGCTCTCCATCGGCTGACTTTCGTATTATGCAGCAGCGGGATAGTTCTGTGGACAAGACGCCTAAGCCTTCGCTGGGTACACAACAACAGGCATCTACGAGTGCCAACAAACGCAGACGGTCGGCAGCATCTTCATCTCCTTCTTCTGGCCACACCTGTGATACCTGCGGCCGACGCTTCTCGGAGGCCTACAATCTGCGCATTCACAAGATGACCCACACGGACGAGAAGCCACATGTGTGCGGTGATTGTGGCAAGGGCTTCCGGCAGTTGAATAAGCTGCGCATCCATGCGGTCACCCACACGGAGGAACGACCCCACAAGTGTGATATTTGTGGCAAGGGATTTCGTTATGCTAACTACCTGGCTGTCCACCGGCGACTGCATACGGGCGAGAAACCATATCCGTGTCTGGTCAAGAATTGTTCCATGTCCTTTCACTCCATTCATGCCCGACGGATCCACAAGAAACTGCAACATGCTGCGGGTATTGAACTGCCACTGGAGCAGCAACTAGATGGGGACTCGGAGACCTCCACTTCCACCTCGTCACTCAGCTTCACGTGTCCTGTGTGTGGCCGTGTCCTCACCGATCAGTGCTATCTGAGCATCCATCTCAAGCGTCACTACAACCAGCGTGACTTTGCCTGTCCGCAACCGGAGTGTGGCAAGCGGTTCTTTAGTGCCTCGGAACTGAAGCACCATCAGATAGCCCATACTCAGCATCGTCCATTTGCTTGTCCCCTGTGTCCGGCACGTTTCCTGCGCAAATCCAATCACAAGCAGCATCTCAAGGTGCACGAGCGTTAGGGTTAGGCTCTCCGCCGAAGAAAGTAAGAAGAATTAATTAGTTGGATTGAGTTAAAGCCTTAAAATCATATATATGTACCTTAGGAAACTCCATGCATTTCGATTAATAATAAACCCAGTTAAAGCTTCAACTACTTGTGCCCCACTTCCGTCCCACTTGAAATCCCATCCAACTTGCCTTGGGAAGCGGCGCCTATGTGTGCTCGCTCTATCGCTTTTTGTTTAATATTATAAGTGTTTATTTAAATATACGATTTGTGTTTGTCTTTATCTTGCATGCTTGCATATTAGATATATGTATATATAAAGTTACGTAGGGTACGGGTACGGGGTTGCTGTTGCTGGTTCTCTGTGGTTGTTCTGTGCTGTTTACACGATCGATCACATCTGCTGATGTTGGCTCTTTATCGACCTCTTTTGCTTTTGCTTTTGCTTTAGCGTTGTTTAGAGTTAGCCATAACTTAACGATTACATTACATTATTTTGCTGATTAAGCCGAAAGGGGGAAGTACAAAAACAATGTGGATCAAGAAATCAAAATAAGTGTCAAATTAACGCAATCTTTTATTCGATTGACTGCCAATCAGGATCAAGTGTCGTCTTCCTCACTTCGTCACTTGAGAAAAAATAGGTATTTAAAAATATAGAACAAAAAAATGGGTAAAACTTAAATTTAAAATACGCCTTTCAATGGCGCTATCCCACACTGGTTGTTGAGCGGTAAAGTTATGTTATGTTTTTGGTTTAAACCGACAGAACCAAAAAGAAAGTTTAAAAACAGCTTGAAGTAAAAAATAACAAAAGAATAAAAGAACTTAAATCGAGATTGTTGGGCTCAGGATAAGAAGCTAGCGAAATTTCGTTACATATATATATGTATATATATATGTATGTATATTGATGACTTAAGATCTAGACCCAAGAAAAACGAGCATTTGCCAAGCTAAAACCGATCATTCAACCGGCAAACCATATTGCATTCGGTATTCAGATACAAACGCCGTAATTGACACTTGAGCTTATAATTCGAATCGAATCGAATCGAATCTTTTACAATAAATGCATTTCTGAAAATGGGACTTGGTTTGCGATTGGTTGATGTACTCGAAATTATGCCGGACAAGTGCTTTTTACATGTATACACATATCGGCGCATTTCCGCAAAGGTATCCCATGGCACAAGTCACAAGGATACTCTTCCCGAAAGGCCTCGATATGTACCTTTAACGGATACATATATACGACTACAAACTAACGAGAGCGGCTCAAGCTGCTAGACTCCGTCCGACTACGACTCTAACTCCGTTCCAAGAGGCGTTCAACAACCATCGTCTGTCTGATCCAGTGGAGGTCCTTGCGTGTTTCACTTCATCCTTTTCATTTGGTCTTATGTACATTTGCAATGTATGGTATATATGGTATATGGTATATGGTATATCGAATATGGTCTGTGTCTGTGTTGGCTCTGTGTGTGTAAGCTTCAAGCTTGATAAATCCCAGTTTCTGTTTTCCACTCATCGTCCTCAGCGTTCCTGTTCCAAAATCACCATTATTTGTTCCTTGTTTTGCTTCTTTCTCAAAGAATTTCTGTCGCTTCCAGCGCTAACCAACAGTAACCACAACTCCACACAGATTTACCGGGCGTCTCTGTCTGTCTCGGTTATTTCCTTATATTTTTCAATTTCTGTGTAAAATGTTTCCAAAAAAAAAGGTTCTGGTTCTGGAGCTGCTCCATTATTTACGCAATATATAGTCCTAAAGTTGTAACGCCAAATACATGCTCTCTCTCTCTTTCTCTCATATTTCATATCATATATGCTTGTATATATTCCACATGTAAGTTTGTGTGTGCTCTTTGTATATAGATATATATATCTGTATCTGAATCTTGTGTTTTTCTTTTGTTTGTTTCAATTACGTACTCGTATATAATTTGCCTGAACTTATTTCATATGTGCTCTCAGAGTTTTTCTTGGTTTTTCATTCTCATTTTCATAATTTTCGGTTAAAGCCCTGCTCAAGTAACGCTGAAGGGGAAATTCTACAAAATTTCAAAGAAAGAATGGGAAAATTTTTACATTTTCACAAATTTCCTTCGGTTGTTTTTTTTGGCGTTTTAAGTGTAATTTACTTAGAACTAGAGTGTGAATCCAACAAGATATTATATATAATTTGTGTGCTTTTTAAAGCATTTATAATTATAATAGAGCGCCAACCGATTCTGAACTTTACTTTGTTTGCATTAATGGCGGAATTAATAACATTTTAAATCCTAGCAGAAAAAAAGGAAAAAACACAGAAACATAAACTTAATTTAACTCGGATTTGGTTAAAAAGGTGAAAAACATTCAAGAATGTTATCTTTAAAACATACATACATTCAACTTAGTTTCCGCTAATACTACTAGAAAAGAACGATTCAGACCTGGCCCATAGAATATTCCTTTCTTCAGTGTTACTTGCTACTAGCTCAACCACGGTTTTGTTTTTAGGGATTCTTTTTTTTGTCAGCTTACGCGCTCATTTCTCCTCGAACATTTAAAACGGCCGCGAACGCCTTACGACATCGAACTGCACGGCAGCCGCGGTGATCCCATCTGCGTGAGGACGCGGTCCAGCCACTGAAGCGGTCCGTTGAGATGCAGTTCGATCCAACACGGCGTTGAAGTGACCGTCTGGCGACGATACTCGGCGCCCCAGCCCTTGACGAACGACATCCGGATGGTGCACATGCGTGTCAGCTGGTAGACGGCCTCGAAGCCCTGCGACACCGACTGCGACAGCAGGGCGGCAAACTCCTGGTTATTGAAGATCTTCAGATTGCATCCGGGCGGGATCTTGCAGACGGTGGCCGGATGCCAGCCGTAACGCTGATTGCAATTGGGGCTCTGAACGAATATGGACGAGTCGCTGAGGCATTCGGCAAAGACCTCGCCGCCAATGTAGTAGAGCCGGACGCCCTTGCCGATGTGTCGGCGCGTCTGCTCGACCACCTCGTTGCGGTTCACATTGGAGAGCAGGCCCAGGCAAAAGCGCTCCGAATTGGAAGGGTCGGTGAAACCGTCCACCGTGATCGAGGGCTGCGAGGCATGGAAGGTCTCGCCAACACGCGTATTCAGCTCGTAGTAGGAGATGGAGCACCAGAAGGCCGGCTCGTGGTACATCACTGGCGCTGCATCGGCGGGCGGCGTTAGACGCGACATATTCATGTTGTCGTTGGGATCAATGGGGTCGCCATCCTCGCTCATGTAGCCGGGCGGCGGGGTGCCCGTGTTGGGAATGCTGCTACCCACACTAAGCACGCTCGATTGCGAATCCATGTTCTGGCCGAAGGACAGCTGCTGCTGCTGCTGATGATAGGAGGCGGTTGACGATGACGACGAGGAGGAGGCACCGCAGGCACCGCTACCGCTGGCGGAGCCGGAGGCAGGCGTTGAGCCGGCAGATGAGACGGAGACGGGACCTTGGCCGCTGCCGCCCAATTCCATGTACTGCGGCGGACTAAGCGATGCGCTGCGGATTATCGCAGCATTGTAGTCGGTGTTGTTAGGTATCTGGTGCGTATGGTTGTCCAGGGGATAGTCCACAATGGAGTCGGGCGGCGTGGGCAGCGACTTGGGCACCAGAATGGACAGCTCGATCTTCTTGTAGTGGTACGGATTAATGCAGATCTCCTCCTTGCGCAAATGGAACGCGTACTCGCAGTGATCCAGCGGCTTTAGTTCATTCTGCGACTGCAGATCCGGCCAGCGCCACAAGCGGCAATAGATGACGTGCGGCAGACCCTTGCGCAGATGCTCGCCGGCGGGAGCTGGCTTGCTGCGCGGCACCGTCACGCACCGCGTCTGGCAGTTCTGTGTGGAGATGGCCCGCTCTAGCTCCTCCAACTGCGAGTTCTTCTTGATCTTCTTCACCAGATTCTTGACGGCCTTCTCTGACCACTTACCCTCGACGCTGTTGTCCTCGCTGCCCTTTTTGAGTGCTAACAAACGCTTGACCACCTGCGGGGTGAATGGCAACATCTCAGGATGTCGTCGGCGGGGGCGGGGCGGGCTCGGCTCGGTTCCTGGCGGGCTCCTGGAACTGGAATGCTACCTCCTCTTCCTGCTCCGACTGCTCTTTCTTATTTGTGGCTGCTGCTCCTGCTCCTGCTGCTGCTGCTGCTGCTGCTGCTGCTTGCTGATCGGATCGATCGCCTGGTCTGTTCTCTGTAATAGTGGCATTCGTTTATTTGTTTGTACGTGCTGCGGCAATTAAAACCTGATAATTTGCATGCATGTGTGTGGTGTGTGATTTCTAGAGCGGCTGGCTGGATCTGATAATTTTATTTGTGATAATTGACCGCGCGAGCGTGTGTGTGTGTGTGAGTGTGATTGGTAATCTACGAGTATTAATTCTCCCTACTTCTTCCACTTCCCTTCCAGTACTGGAATCTCTATCTTCCAATGCAATCGTCTGTGGCTGTGACTCTGTCAATGTCTGTGTGCGTAGGTGTGTTCTAAGCCCAGGGGCGCATCCCGGGGACTTTTAAAGAAAGTTTAATCATCATACTTTTACTATTGTTAGTGTCGAATATCTAACATCCTATTCTAACTTAGGAAATCTGTTATATCGCAGAAACCTCGTAGTCCGCCTGAATCCACTGCCTTGAGAGTGTGTCGTTGTTGTGGTCCGAGCAAGGTCAAATGTCTGCGTTTGCAGACGCTTTTGAGTTACAGCAGCCGTAAATAAAAAATAAATAATTAAAAGTCAAACTAATCTGTGGGCAGTTTGGAATTTTCCATCTTATCGAAGGCGGGGCAATAAATTACCAACTAAAAACAAACACAGAATAATAAAATGTGCATGGAAGGAAATTGCAAATACGCATAGAAACACACACACACACATGCGAGCGCGGTCGAGTTTTTGAATGTATCCATGTATCCCCATACCTGTACAACGGTACCGGCAACGAGCTCCCTTGCTGCTCCTTCTCCTTCTGTTGCTCCCTCTTTTTCTGGATCACTCGCTCGCTCTCACACGGCCGCACTGGAGCTGGATGCACTTAATGCGCTGCGTTGGTGGGACAACGGGAACCAAATGGCAACGGCAACGGCAACGGCACCGGAACCGGGCGCGCAGCACATCAAGGCGAAGGAGATGAGGGGGTCTGGTCGGAGGGGGGGTGTGTGTTGGTGGCCACCGTTTTCAATTTGTGTATATCTTGTGCGCGCGCCAGAAAGTGACAGCTAGAGACACACACCACACAACACAGCCACACCGACACGACGCACACGCACACTGCCACTTACACTCGCACACAAACACTACAGGCGCGACAGAACAGAGAATATTTATTTTACGCTCCTTGCCGTCTGCTTCTGCTGACCTTTCGCACTTTGTGGATATACTTTTCTGGTCCCCTTTCCACTGCCACAGCTGTTTTTTTGTCTGCCCTGCTCGTTTTCCGACTGCGATTGCCTAATGCCCGTCTCACGCACACGATCTATTGCAGATTTTCCCAGTTTTCACTGACCACACGAATTTATTTTCTGTTGCGTTCCGAAGAAACCACACTGTTTTTATTTCATACGCAGTTTTTCGCCTCCGCTCGAATTCTCTACAGCAGTGCTGCCAACTCTTTGGCTCGTAGAAAAGCTTGAAAGCTTTTGATTATGTACGGTAGAGCTGCACAAATCGCGATACATCGACTGTGTTTTCCAACACCGATAACCGATACCGATAATAGAAGCAAAGGAGCGCACTGATTAAATGACAGTATATGTAGCCTCTTTCTGCGTTGCAATATCCAATTGATAAAATCGTTACCAGGAACCATTTGAACTAGGCAGATTTATTTGTTTTACTTTTCGGTAATTGTCAAGTGTTGGATGGAGGGACCTGAGTCAAGTGCGTGTGACGCGCCAGGATTTTTGCAGCGCCTGCTTCACCAGCTCATCGGGCGAAGGCGTGTCGAAGCGGAATCTCTTCACCTGCAGACCGTAGTCCTCGCGGCCGCACATTTTCAGGTGTCGCTTTTCCAGCGATGTTATGGCATACTGCAGCTGCGGCTGCCGCGGCTCTGGATAGCCAACGACGGTGTCGAGCATGCAGCCAATGGGACCGGGCCGGGACTCTGGTGGTGACACTGACGCCGTCTCCTCTTCCTCAGGCATTAGGCGCCGCCTGCCGGCTAGCAGGCCACCACCGGAGAGGGCCGAGTTCTTTAGCGTTGGAGGAGGATCGCAAGGATTAAATGGGATGCTAAAGTGTTCCTGACTGGCCACCAACTTCTCGCGCGCCTTGCTTGCCGCCACCTTAGGTGGCCCATCCTTGCTGCCGGATATCACTGTGCTCGTGAGATCAATTAGCGGCGACTGCGGCGTATGCGTTGACTTCATGGCGTCCGCTCGATCACCACCGTCGTCGTCTTGGATCTGCAGCTGACCCACTCCGCGCTCCAGCCTGGAGAGGAGCGGTATGTTCAGCGGCTCACCAGTCACCGCACCAAGCTTGGGAATTACGAATCTCACAGTTGGTATTCCCTCAGCCCTGCTTGCTCCACTTGGTACCGCTGGCGCCTCACTATCCGAATCCTGACGCCGACGACGAATTTCGTTTAGCAGCTGCTGATTGTGGGCGTCCGTCGCCTGGCGGCTGCGCTCCTGGGCCGCCAGATCGGTGGACTGCTGGAGCTGCAGCTGAGGGATTATCAGCTGCGGAATGACGAATCTGTTCTGTGGCAGTGTCGGGTGACAATCATTGCTCAATTTGGACGAATCGCTGGAATTCGAGAGGCCGAACTGTTTCTGTATCGCCTGATGAAGGGTCTGCGTCGGGTTGGTTCCCATTTGTAGGCCTCGAAAGTTTGGAAATGTTGAAAATTTTGCTTAATTTCCTTTGGTCTCTCTGTTTGTTATTGTTTCGGTTCTTTGTTTGCGTCCGTGTATGTGTGATGACGTCCGATTCGCGGTACCCACATCGTAACAATCGACAATCGATAAGTGACTTCATTGGGAATGTGTTGATTACAAAGTAATCATATCAAAACTTCATTGACATACATTATTTTAAGTTTTATAATCAAGAATGCAGTTGCACAAATAAATGTATATTCATTTATATGCTGTATAATATTGCGAACTATAAGAGTATCGATAAATAGTAAGTGTCCACATACCCAGTGTTAGACAACCCAGATGGGATTTCAATATAGCCCGCAAACTTTTAAACTTATTGATTTCTAGCAAATTTTGGGCTTCGTTTTAGAAATTGCTTGGAAATGCCAGCAATTTCTAGACATTTAAAGACACTCCCTCGTCACCTTTTTTTTGGTTTGAGTTATTTTATAAATATTTGTTTTTTTTGGAACAATTGAGTGGAAAAAAAATGCAATTTGATCGCAGATCATAAGGCGACGCTGTTTAGACATGATCCAGCCGGCAAATAGGGCCCTCCTCGACCATCTTCAGGTCCACCTTGGGCCCAACGAGATCCCGAATGTTGTTGATGCCGTACTTGATCATCGTTGGCCGCTCCAGTGACAGTCCCCACGCAATCACATTCACGTTCTCCGGCAGGCCCATCGGCAGCAGCATCTCCGGCCTGAACACACCCGAATTGCCCACCTCGATCCACTTGGCCAGGCCGGGGTGGTAGCAGAAGATCTCCATGCTGGGCTCCGTGTACGGATTGTAGGCCGGCTTGAACTCCAGCTGCGTGATGCCCAGCTTGCGGAAGAACTCGTATAGCGTGCCAATCAGATCACCCAGGGTCAGCCCGACGTCGGCAATCACTCCCTCCACCTGATGGAACTCCGCCAGGTGAGTGGCATCCAGAGTCTCGTTGCGGAACACCTTGTCGATGCTGAAGTACTTGGCCGGCTTGAAGCCGCCCTCCTGGTTGGCCAGCTTGTACAGCATCCGGGCGCTCACCGCCGTGGTATGGGTGCGCAGCAGGTTCTTCTGCGCCTCCTCCAGCTTCCAGTCGTAGCCGTAGCCCTTGGATCCATAGCCACCATGCGAGTGCACCGCCTTCACCCGCTCGAGGTACTCCTGAGGGAACTTAAAGCTCCGCGACGGATGGTTTACAAAGAACGTGTCGTGGGCGTCGCGAGCCGGATGCTGTTGCGGCTGGTAGAGGGCATCAAAGTTCCAGAACGACGACTCCACATAATTGTTGGTGGGCATCTCGGAGAAGCCCATCTCGAGGAATATTTGCCGGAACTCGGTGCGAACCTTCAGCAGCGGATGGAGATGACCACGGGTAGGCGGTGCTCCCAGGGCATCGAAGTTGTAGGCCTTAAACTTGAGCGTGTCCCAGAGGCCGCTCGACAGCATTTCCACGGTGAGATCAGTCTCCAGTTTGGTCAGTGTGGTGGCAAATTCAGAGCCCCGGCCCAGCACAAAGCTCTTGGTGACGGTCTCCTGGAGGAGCTTGCGCTTCTTGAAGTCGGCACAGTCCTTGGCCGGCAGCTGGTCGCCCTTGCCCTGGGCCACCAGCAACAGCTGGTCACGCACGCCGTCCACGATGCTGTCCACCTTGCGACGCACCAGCGGCGGACTCACGGTCTTGTCCACCAGTATCCAGCCGTGTGACATGGCCTTGCTGAAGCCCACCTTGGCATTCGGGCCACCGCTGGCCATCAGGGCAGCCTGGGCAATGCCCTCGGCCGGTATAGCGGCGTACACCAGAGCCTCGTGGCTGCCGTGCTCCACCACGGCGCGACCCTCGTCCGTGAGGCCCACACTCTTGTGGGTGGCCACCGTGGCGGTGACCAGGTCACCATGCGCCTGGATGCTCTTCAGTGCGCCCACTATCTTTTGGTGATCCTCGGCGAAGAGAGCGGCCAGGTCCAGTGTGTCCGCCTGTCCGGCGGTCTCCAAGTGCTGGAGAATGCGTTCCGTGAGGTCGGGATGCATCTCTATGGCCCAAATCTGATGTAAATTGAATATTTATTGCCGAATCTCGTGTTGCCACAACGCAGTGGGAAGAAGAAGAATGGCTGACCGGTCGACTTATCGATAAGTCCAGAGCAAGTGTTGGAAAACAATTGTTCCAATAATTTCCAATCAGACACTCAAATCACAATCGAATCGAATTCTTGAAATCGATTTTTATGGATATTTTAATATTGTTTAATAAATTCAAATAACCATAACTCTGCCAAACAAATTTTTATTTTGATTCGGAAAGCTGTTCTGTGCTTGTTTTTAATAGGTTAATAAATCTGCATACTGAATTTAACATTTAAAATTTTTTAAATGCAAAGCAATGGCTTAAAAATTAAATGACTTAATAAATTCTATTTTGAAGAGTTTCATTTTAATTATTTTATGTAAACTTATATCAGCCTTGATTTTAATACACATTGGCTTAGGCAGCGTTTAAATTACGCGCCTTTGAAAGGTGCTGGAAAAGGTGGCTGGCAAAACCAGTGCTTCAAGTCGTCAGTTGCCCCGAATCAGCTGTTGACGAAAAAGCGTTGTTGCTCATTTTTGGCTTATTGGCAAATCAGTTTCGAAATAAAGGACGCGAATCCTGGCGAGCAACGGCCAGCTGGGAGCCGCCACCATGCTCAAGTCCCTCAAGCCGGACACATACGCCGGCATGGCGAATGCCAAGTGCGGCGAGATCTACTTCCAGAGCCTGCACAGCTTCCGCATCGACTGCGCCTTCTGCGAGATGAAGAGCTTTGTCTTTGACGACTTTCTGCTCCACGTCCAGAACGTGCACTTCGAGAACGGGCTGCTCAAGACGGAGGTGGAGGCCGAACTAAAGCAGGAACGGGACCAGGGCTCGCCGGTGCCAATAGTAGCGCAGGTGAATCCCTTTGCCTGGTACGAGATTGGCGGCCACCGCGACGACGACGACGACGACGGTGACAGCGAGGACGACGAGGCGGCCCTGCCGGCGGGATTGGACGAGGAGGACGAGCGGCCGGGCCAGGCCATCATGAATTGGGATAACTCTGGCCAGCTGGCCGGCAGCGAGTCCCTGCGACAGGTGAGGGCTCTGAAGGTGGACTACAAGGAGGAGGACTCCGAGTGCGGCCTGGAACTGGACCACGAAAGAGACAGGGATATAGATCCAACGGACTCACTGTGTAGCGTGATCCAGTCCCATTCCCGCCACGGCTGCCCGCACTGCTCGAAGAGCTACCAGAGCCGCAAAACCCTGGAGCGTCACCTGCTGCGCCAGCACAAGGAGGTCACTGCTGCCACAGAGGATGGCGACAGCGAGGATGCCGACTACGAGCCGCCCAAGGAGAAGGCCGGTTCCGGGAGTGGGTCGCTAGAGTACAAGTGCGAGCACTGTGACAAGGTCTACCACGGCAAGTACAGCCTGCGACAGCACCTGAAGCGGGAGCACAGCAACGACAACAACGACGGAGATGGTGGCACCGGCGGCCCGTTCACCTGCCTGGAATGCGAAGCGGAGCTGCCGCGCCTGCGTCTCCTGGACGAGCACATGGTACAGGCGCACGGCGGTGCCGCGTGCGTGGTATGCGGCCGCCGCTACAAGACGCGTCACGAGCTGAAGCGTCACCAGCTGAAGCATACCAGCGAACGCAACGTGCCCTGTCCGCATCCTGGCTGCGGCAAGCGCTTCTTCACCGTCCGCCACATGCGAAACCACGGCAAGGTGCACACCGAGCAGAAGAACTTTGTCTGCGAGAGCTGCGGCTATAGCTGCCGGAACAAGGAGACGTTGCGTGTCCACATCCGAAGTCACACAGGTGAGCGGCCCTTTGGGTGTCAGGTGTGCGACAAGCGGTTCCCCTCCCACTCTGGTCTCAGGGAGCACATGGCCATGCATTCCACGGAGCGGCCGCATGTGTGTGGCGTTTGCGGTGCCACCTTTTCACGGCAGAAGGGTCTCTATCACCACAAGTTCCTTCACGCGGACACCAAGCAGTTTGTGTGCAAGCTCTGCGGGAATGCGTACGCCCAGGCGGCTGGACTCGCTGGACACATGCGGAAGCATCGCAACGACGAGCTGCACGGATAGGGGATAGTTAATAGTGAATCGTGAATAGTGGCTGGAGAAGTGGTAGTAGGAACAATAGTTTAAGCCGTACATGGTACGTTTTGTATCTTCCAATTCCTTTGATTTTAGGCTTAAGAACTCAGGCATAGGCTATAGGAGACACCACCAAAGGTGTATAATTATTGATTTCTTATATATACATACATATATATATATTTTCTTGTTTTTAATACGCCGTATAAGAGAAGGGGAAATACGGGTTAAGTATACAGTCTTCCGCTTTAATTTCATAAACGATTTCGAATGTTTGTTGTGGTAAAGGATCAAAAAGATAGATTAAGCTTCCAAATCGAGAAACAGTGCTTCCCTTGGTATCTTTTACTTGCAAATATTCAAGTTCATTTTGTATATATTAACAAGTTAACTCTGTAACCATAAAACTTTGTGGGATTTAATTGTAATCAAGACAAGCGGATGTGGCTAACAAATGGTGAACCCTTTTTTGTATTGATCGAAAATATATAACAGAATCTGATTCACAAAGAAAGAGCTGCATCAGGCGGCAGCCGCGTTTAAAATTAGCCATCCAATTTGGTTTTGACAGCAATTAATCGGGCGAGAGCCAAATGCCAGGCCAAGTGGAGGATAGAGATACGCAGATACGCCGCGTCTAACAATAGTCCCTGCGATTACATTTTGGCACACGCGCGCGCCATGACGACCCCGGCACATTCAGTAGTTTCTGTGGCTTCTGCGGATTCTGGGAGATGCAGCCAAGGCAAGGACAAGGATAGCCCACGTCTCATGTGCGAGTATTGCGGCCATCGGACACGGCTTTTGTGGAATCTCCATATACATCTGCGACGTCATACCGGCGAGTTGCCCTTCAGCTGCCAAACCTGCCAGGCCCGCTTTGCGGCACGCTATCAGCTCACCACACACCTCGAGCGGCATACAGACGCCGCCGAACGGCGTCGCCGGCACTTCTGCACCGCCTGCAACGTAGGTTTCTCCAGCTACCGGGCTCTGTATCACCATCGGCCGCTGCACGAGGACGAGAAGCGGTACAAGTGCCAGCAGTGCGACAAGCAGTTTGCCCAGGCGGCGGGCTATGCCCAGCACAAGCGGTGGCATCGCCAGCGGATACAGCGGGCCACGGAACGGGCCATGGAGCTGACTGCGAATACTACGAATCTGGTGGCTGGTAGTCACAATCCTCACATGCCTTGTCTAGACTGACTCAAGGAAGCCTTAATTTATTAAATTCACAAATAATCATCAGAAGTCGTGTTCTTTTTCTCTGAAATTTGTTGTTTTAAAGTGATGTATTTTAAACACTGTAAGAACCGTTACCTTCACACTTGCCACCACACGATGGGGTTTTCCAGCACTAGAGACTGCCTATCGTCTATCGGCCCAGCTGTCTCCACGAATTCTTGGTTTGTTTACAAACTTTTCACTTTGTTTGGATTTTTATGTGCTCTGGAAACGGTGTGGCCGATGCAGGATGCTGAGACACTGCCTCGCTAACGTGGACTATGCCCGGCTGCACGCCCAGCAGCAGCTGCGTCCCAAATGCGGCGAGATCTTCTACGAGAAGGAGGCAAACTCCTTTCAGCTGAACTGTCTGCTCTGCGAGATGAAACACTTCGCATTCGAGGACTTTGGTCGGCACATTCGGAACGTGCACTTCGACAAGCAGGGCAGGCCGCTCACGGAGACGTTTACGGTGACAGCCGCCGCCGAGCCCTTTCCGACGAGCATCACAACCATTTCAGAGCCGTATCTGGACTTGCCGTGGAAGGAGGAGGGCCTAGATGTCGAAGCAGAGCCAGAAGGGGACGAGGTCAATCCGCTGCGCATTCTGCCAGTAGATGACCACCTGACGGACGTCGACGAAACGAAAGATTCCCCGCCTTGGCACCCAGATCGCCAGGATTTCTCTGACGATTTTGAAAGCGACAATGGGGATCTGGGTGAGGAGACAGAGCTAAAGAATGTTTGTGGCGACCTAAAAGAAGAGGAGGAGGAGGACCAGCAATCAGTATTTAAGGTAAACAACACCATTGAGGCCTTAAATAAGACCTTCCTCTCAATGTTTCGACAATTGTTTCGCAGCAGAAACAACGCCAACCAAAGGACTATAACTGCCCGCACTGTGATCGCAAGTACACCACTCAGAGATACCTTAACACGCACGTCAAGATGAGCCATCCGCATCCGCAGGCCTTCAAGTGCGAGGACTGTGCGGCCACTTTCGATTCGGACCGGGCGCTGGTCCAGCACCGGCGCAAGGCACACACGGAATTCGGCTGCCAGATGTGCGATAAGGTGTTCAAGAGCTCTCGCTCCTTGCTTCGCCACGTCCAGGGCCATTCCGGCGTGCGGCAGTTCAAGTGCGAATATGAAAACTGCGGCAAGTCCTTTGTGAACCAGCACAATCTCACCTCTCACCGCCGCGTCCACAGCGAGGAGCGTAATTATGTGTGCGAGTTGTGCGGCTATCGGTCCCGCTACCGTGAGGCCCTCATCGTCCACCGACGCACCCATACCGGCGAAAAGCCATTCCAGTGCCAGACCTGCGACCGGTGCTTCGCCTCCAAGTCGCTGCTCAACGAGCACCAGGCCATGCACTCCACGGAAAAGCCCTTCAAATGTGACAAATGCGAGGCGGCCTTTTCACGCTCCAAGGCTCTGTATCATCACAAGCACCTCCACCTGGGCGTCAAAAAGTTCAAGTGCAAGGTCTGCGGCAATGCCTACGCCCAAGCGGCGGGTCTCTCTGCTCACATGCGGGTCCACAAGCTACAGGCGGATGCAGCCAGCGATGCAATAACGACAGCAGCGTCGGCTGCTCCCATGGAGCTGCTGTTCACCTTCTGACCAGTTTGCAGAGGCCATGACATCAATTAGATGACCTGTACATATGGTATTTAAACTCACAGTTGCCACAAAAATTACCAACGTATAGTGTTAATTTGTAAATTAGTTCGAAACATCGTGAAAAGCAGAATATTTTACTGGATTCCTGAAGAATTATGTCATTGTATCATAAGTTATCACCGTCTTAGTCCCGGAAAATGTAGTCAAAGTAGCAGGAATAGTCTATCTATAGATATCCTTTGAAGTTATTGTTCTTTAAGTACGCACATCACTATGTATATATATACTGTAGAGCGATTATACTAACTCTAGGCTTAATCCCACTCAAGTACAATAAAACCTGAAGGATTGTCACCGTAACAGCAGAGTAAACTAAGCCTTGCTATCGCTCAACATTTATTTTGGAACAGGAACTTATAACTATCCGCATAATGGTTACAGATCCGGTATGTATATATCATATATCATTATAGTACAGCAGTTAATAAGCACAATAACACCGCGGTATCCCAGACAGAGGCTGGAGTTCTGACATGAGACATATGTACACATTGGCCAGTCCAGTTCCGCCTAACACTATCCTAGAGACGCACAAAAAAAAAACGGGAGTAGGGGAGGAAAAACAATGACTAGAATGAGAGTTCAGGGCGAGGCGGCATCTTAGATGCGCCCCAACAATATATGGTAACATATGGGTTTAGGCCCACACGCGAATGGTATAGTCCCAGCTGCCGGTGGACAAGGCAGTGCCATCGGGCGAGACCTGCACGCAGGACACCTTGTTCTCGTGCCCATACAGCAGGCAGACGCGCTCCGATTTGAGTGTGTCCCACAGGTTGACGGTGTAGTCGTTGTAGCCGGCAAACAGCAGACGTCCGCTGACCGAAAAGTCCACAGAGTTCACGCCAAAGATGATGCTCTCCTTGGCAAAGACGGCCACCTCGCGATCCGCCCGCATGTCGTACAGCCGGCAGCTGCTGTCGTCCGAGCCGGTGGCAATGGCATCGCCGCACGGATGGAACTTGACGCTATTCACATCCGACTGATGGCCCTCGAAGGACTGCACCACATGGCCCGAGCGCATGTCCCAAATGAAGGCCATGCGGTCACAGCTGCCGGAGACGAAGGTGTTGCCCGTCTCGTTGGGGGCCAGATCGATGGCCATCACGTCGCCGGAGTGACCGTGGAAGCTTTGCAGCAGCTGGCCCGACTCCACGTCCCACAGGGCGCACGTGGAATCACCGCTTCCCGTGAGGATCTGCTGGTCCGAGTTAGGGTAGATGCAACACGACATGTAGCTGGTATGAGTGCCCACGGTGCGCTTCTTGGCGGCCATCTCCTCGTCGGAGGTGATCGGGTAGACGGTCACCTTGTTGTCCAACCCACCGCAGGCCACGAAGTTTCCCGATGGCGCATAAGCACAGGCCATGATCCAGGTCGTGGGCATGGTAACGGCGTGCTCCTTGTTCGTGGTGAACGCATCCCAGATGATCAGGCGGCCGTCCTGCGAGGACGAGATGATGTGACGCTTGTCGGGACTCCAGTCAGTGCACAGGACCTTCGCCTGGTGGCCCTTGAGCACCTTGCGCGGCTTGATGTTCACGTAGGCAATCTGCTCCAGGCGCTCCGCGATATTCGACAGGTTGACGTCGTTCAGCTTTTGGCGCTCCTCCTCCAGCTTGGTCTTCAGGTTCTCCGCCTCCCGCACCAAGCTGGCCATCTTCTCGCTGGCGTTTGCGTTCGCATTGCTCGCTGGCACGGCGCTCTCGGACATGGCTCTGCTCGCTGGCTCTCACGCAGATGGAGATGGATCTCTGTCCTAATGCGCCGTAACTTCCCTGGACTCCGGTTCAGGAGGATGCGGACAGCGAAAAATCAATGGAAAGCCTGGCGAAAAAAAGTGTATACGCGAATCGAATCCGAATACACAACGAAAGAGGGCGCCACTTAATCAACACTGCACACGTTATCGATAGCATGAATACCGTTAGTGCTGACGAAATGTTTTATCGAACTTAACGTTGCCCATCTGCGAATTGTTTATCTATTAACTAGTTCATACTTTTTTGTTAATTTAAAGCTGTGAAGAATTTAAGGTTAAAATCTATTTAAATGTACACTAAAAGAATATTCATATTGAAACTATCCATTTGAATATCGCGGCCTTAAGCTTTTTAATGCCGTCGTTAATCAACACTAAACCAACAGCTGGTTTCAGAAGCGCGTCTTGACAATTCCCGCAGAAATTTTAATAACAAAAATTATTACTATTATTATTATTATTATAGAAGGTTCTTTGATGAACTTGCTAAATTAAGCAGCATTTGCTCAATTGAGGGGTCAAACACACCCCTAAACCCCTTGGCAGCTGCCACTGTCTTGTGTTCGTTTTGATTCGATTCAAGACGGATTTGTGTTGTGGTGGTTGCCTTTTTGGAAAGAAACAACGCCAATGGCCAGAACACTACACGACCGAAACCAGTGATCCGCCTGCCCAGTAACCAAACCGAAATGATCAGGCTGCAGCCGCCACCGCCGCTGGATGCGACCGGTGGCTACCACAACTTCAGATGCGGCGAGGTCCTGTACAGCGGCCCGGCCAGCTACGAAGTCTGTTGTTCGTTATGCGGCCAGCGCCTGGTGTTGGACAGCTTTCCGCAGCACTTTCGGACGGAACACCTTAGCCGGAGCGAGCCGGAGAGCGACCCTATTGCACAGGAGGAAAGCGAATCCCTGCAGAATAAGGAGCTGGCGAAGAAGGAGACGAAGCAGCAGGAGGAAAAAGATGGGCAAGAGGAGACGCCGCGGCAGCTGCGAGCAGCGGCCATGAAGAACACCCTGGTGGAGACGCAAGAGGACCTATTGGACATGAACCTCGACTGGACGGGTAATCAGCTGGAGCCCGACGAAGACGAGGATGATAATAACAACGACGACGATGATGACGAGTCCGGCCAGACCGACCAGGTGGACGACACCAAGGACATGCTGTTTCAGTGCGACCAATGCGATCGAGCCTACAACAGCAAGCGCAGCCTGCAGAGCCATCGCCGACTCAAGCACACCGATGTGGTCGTTGGAGCGGCCACGGAGAAGGCAGCCACGGATTGCAAGGCCAAGAAACGGAAAGGTCCTGCCAAGGTTTACAAGTGCCATGAGAAGGAGTGCAACCAGACGTTCCGCACGGAGCGCGACCTGCACGGCCATCGATGGAAGCACACGGGCATTTTCTGCGACATCTGCGGCAAGCCCTTCACCCAGTCGGGCAACATGATGCGCCACCGGCAACGGCACAGCGGCATTAAGCCACACAAATGTCCGGAATGCGATGCGACCTTCTACACGCAGAAGGAGCTATCCTCGCACAGCATCTGCCATACGGGCCGCATGCCCTGCATCTGCGAAGTGTGTGGTCGACCCTGCCGGGATCGGGGCGTGCTCACGGCCCACATGCGCCGGCACACTGGCGAACGGCCGGCCAAGTGTGAGGTGTGCGGCAAGGCCTTCTACAGCTTTCATGACCTCAACGTCCATGCCGTCTCGCACACGAGTCTGCGACCCTTCGTCTGTGACGTCTGCGGCTCCACGTTCCAGCGTAAGAAGGCGCTGCGCGTCCACAAGCTGCTCCACTCGGAGCAACGCAAATACGCCTGCAAGCTGTGCGGCAAAACCTTTGCCCAGTCCGGCGGCCTCAATGCTCACATGCGCAGCCACGATCCGAGCAGGGTGAAGGGAACAGTGAAGCCTCTGCCGCAGTCGGTCACCATTGAGGTTATCGAGGGTCGGACGGCGCCCACCACCACCATCACAATGGCCATTGATCTGAATGTGGAGGAGGAGCAACAGCAGCACCTGGCTGCGAATGGCGGCGATGGAGGAGGATCCTGGCCTTTGGCACCCGGGTAACAGAAGAGACCTCTGTTTAGGATTAATTTAGTTAAGAACCACATCGCGGCCATAAAGGGTCTAGTTTTCAAGTACAACTACAGAATTAATTAATTTAATTAAGACTATAAAAGAAACCATTTTGGTTGAATTCAATCCGTTGAGTTTTCCGATTTCAAATTATATCTTAACTTTAACTTTTAAAGCCACACAGGCTTAACCAGGACAACGTGACCACTGTGCTGGCCTCCACTGGCCGACCAAGTAAGTAGAGAAAGATCCTCAGGCAGGAGCTCATCATCGTTGGCTATGTGAGATCCCAACCAGTTGCTGCCACAATTAAATCAGATTGGGATTCTTACAAATTCTAGATATTTGATGGTACAAAAGTGTCCTTTATTTTGGGGGTTTCCTAAGCGGAGTCTGGGCTTTCATCGCTGTCGCCAGCCTGATTGGATCCCGAGATTCTTAAAGCTACTTTCTACTATTAAGTGTGGGGTTTGGGTTTAAAATAATACATACATACATAAAGCCCCACAAGGGATACGGGTTGGCTTCCCCCGATTCTTTTAAGACTTATGACTGATGATAAACCCTCAAAGCAGCTTAGGGTTAGATTAGACTCCAAAATCAACCAAACTGAGATGATCTTAGGGAAGAATATGGACGTACTCGGTTAACAATTAAAGAGGAAAATCAATTCAATTGACAAAATGGAAGGAATGTTTTGAAAACTTAACTAAAGATTAAATACACTGATATGGGAATCTCGCCCATAGCTTGGTCTAAATTCCCCAGACCTTAACAGACTAACAAACATAATATACAGGATAAGGAAGAGGCCTAGTTCTATGATAGTTACACAGATAATATCGATTAGTATGGGATTATAGTGGATAGTTGATGGCATCCAGATTGCTTCAAGTGAGAGGCTATGACTATGAGCAGACATATAGGTATAGTATTGATAGCATATATAGTTCTATATAAAATATATAGTATATGTCAGCTATGGGTAGTTATTGCATAATGTACGCCCCTGGAGGGCATAGCAGAGTGGATTGGAGTCACAGGATCTCGCAACTGGCACAAATGTTATACAATTCAATTTGCTACACATTACAGAAAGATCCTAGGCCCCGCTCCAAACCTAATATCCGCTTCAGACAATGTTGATCTCGATCTTGATGAGCAGCCGATCGTCGGCACAGAAGCCCAGCTGGATGATGTTCGATATGTTGGCATACTCCAGAAAGCCAAAGCCGCGCGTGCTGATCGCCTCGCGCGGCTTATGGAAGGCCAGGATCTCTGGCTTGGTCATAATGGTGTCGTGCTGGGACAGTGATGCGTCCACCGGATGCACCATGCACAGCTTGATGCGCCCCTTGAAGGGCCAGTCCAAATGGTAATCATTTTCCGACTGCATCAGGTGCACATGCAGGCTGAGCACATGCGGCTTCCTCGGCTGGATGTTGAGGCGCGCACAGAACTTGTAGCCATGCGGCGAGGTGTAGCACTCGCGCGAGTACTCCAGGTTGTTGGCATTGGCACGTAGGCGGGCCACCAGGGCGCCCAGCTGCTCGATGCGCCACACAATGGTGCCATTGCTGTAGCGCGGATCCACCGAGGTCGACGACGACGACGACTGGCGGGCCAGACGCAACTGCTTTTGCAAGTTCTCCAAGCGTGTCTCCTGCTCGCGAGTCCGCTGTTCCAGCACCACGATGCGCTGGTACATGGTCTGCACAATCTGCTCGTCAACGCCCATGCCACCGTTGGCGTATTGCTGCGGCGGTGCCGGCAGCTGACCCCCATGGCCGTTCTCCAGAGCACCACCGCCACTGGTGCTGGGCTTGTGAGGCTGCCAGGTGGCAATGGCCGTCTGCTGGAAGGCTTGCAGCATCAGTTGCATGTGATGTGGCATGTCCGCCTTTAGGTGCTCCTCCAGCTGATTCGTCTCGGGCCGCCCGACAAAGTCGCACTTGATCTTGGCAAAGGGGCACTTCTCCTCCGGTGGATCCTGGGCCAGCTGTCGACGGTACGGACAGCTGGGCAAGTGACGGTGCAGCTCGATGGGCGAGGCCACCACGGAGCAGCCGAGCGGCGAATTGGGGCACTTGTGCTTCAGCTGTTCGATCTCGCGGCGCGTGTAGTTATCCGGGAAGATATCATGCTCGGCGGACAGGCACTTGTTGTCCAGCGGGCAGCACTGGTTGTTCTTCTGCAGCCAGGCGGTGAGGCAGCTGCGGCAAAAGCGGTGGCCGCACGACGTCAGCACTGGTTCGTTTAGCCAGTCAATGCAAATGGCACACTCGTAGCGCGAATCCAGCAGCTCCTCATCCTGTTCTTGGTCGTGATCGTGATCCTGATCCTGGTCCCCCGACGTATCCGATGCGGCGTAGCGATGGTTCTGGTTGATAGCCAGACTCCTGGGCGGCGTGGGCGCAGAGTTGGCCCCAGCCAAGGGCGTGGCACTGCTGCTGGAAGCTACGCGAGCGCCAGTCGTTGTTTCGTTGCTATTATGCTCACCCAGATCCGACTGCTGGTGGAGAATGTGATGGTTGTGGGCATGGTTGTGCGGCTGGTGCAGCCTGGCCGACTTCTGGTCCGCTGCCTGGGATCGCTGCATGGTATCCACTAAAGCTGCCGCCGCGGGCTCAGTCTCGCTTGTTTAATATTATTAATATTTATAATCCTAGTTCCTAGTTACAACGGAACATTGCTTTTGTTTTTGCTTTTGCTTTCGTTTCGCTATTGCTCATTGGCTATATATCGAACTCTCTGTCTCTCTACTCCTCTGTCGGTCAGCTGGGCTGGGATAGAAATTGTGCAACACTGGCTGGGTGTTGCCCAACACACAAGTGTTTACACTGCACAACGGCTAATATCGATAGGCAGTATAGGGGTTTCAAAGCTTAATCAAGGACAATAAGAAAATTATTTAGTAATATTTAGTACTAATTATGCATTAAGCCATAGAAAACTATATATCTACATCTATATCTACCGCTTTTGTGATCAAATGGTATCTATTTAATTAGAGATACAAATGCAAGCACTAGCGGACAGTGTGAACACTTCAACAGCACCGGCTGTATTGGCGGCGCCTGCAGTCGGAGAATTTCGCAGCAGTTTTGAGCGTATAAAGGGCAATCAGCGCCAAACGCGAAACAGTAAAATCGAAATACTTAATGTGAGGCGAACAGAGAGATCACACATAACATGACGACGAACAAGAGCAATCTTCCCACGATCCACCACCTGCAGCTGTTGGTGCTGCTGCCGCTCGTGCTCTTGGCAGCCTGGCAGGTGCTGTGCGCCTGTCCCGGCGCCGATGCCAAGCACTTGGCCGACCGTCACGGATCGTACGACCGCGCTGTGGAGACCCAAACGCACGTCCACCGGCACACTAGTGACGTTACACCCGGTATACGCCGGAAGCGGCATCTGTCCGACTGGCTAATAGCCCCAAATACACGCTGGTGCGGACGCGGTAACCTGGCCAATGGCACCTACAACGACCTGGGTGGCGCTTCCAAGGCGGACAAGTGTTGCCGGAAGCACGACCACTGCAAGATGTGGATCGATGGGATGTCGAATCGCTATGACCTCTTCAACTATCGACCGTATACGCTGTCCCACTGCAGTTGCGATTTGCGCTTCCGCACCTGCCTCAAGATGGCCGGTGATGAGGACGCAAACGCTATTGGCAAGCTATTTTTCAATATCGTGCAGACGCACTGCTTCAGCCTCAAGGCGGAGACGGTATGCGTGAAGCGAGGCGGCACCGGCAAGGAGTCTGATCCCTGTGAACGCGAGGAGGTGCGCCACAAGGCCTACCTTCGGAGTAACAAGCGGTTCTAAGCGTCCTATTTAAGGTGGGTTTTACATACTATTTCTGGGGAAGATTTCTTTATGAGAAAATATGGGAATTATTGGGGAAAACACACAAAAACTTGTGAAACCAACAAGGTTTTCGTAAACCATAAGTTTAAAACGTTAGATAGAAATTATTGTAAGGATATGTTTCCTTTCAAAAATAATATCCTTATATTTATGAATATGATGAGCAGCTTAATGTATAAAAACAAAAATATCTATTATTTAAAGGATTTTTTAAGGCAGAACTTAAATTATAAAGGAAGGCAGAAAAAAAGGAATATGTTCCCTATAATTTATATAAATCAATTTCTTCTTTTTCGTTTCTTGTAGCAGTTGCCGCAGAAGTTAATCCCAACAACTGAAGTATCCCCGGAGGAGTCACCTTGTCCAATTAAGGAGCGACCAACAAATCGCTGCGCAATGCTGCAATTGAGTTTGAAACTTAAATGAAAGCCATGGCATTGCGAAACTTCATGCATTGGAGCAAGAGGGAGAGATAGTGGAGCTGGAGAAGGTGTTAAAGCTGGAGCTGTCCGAGACATTTGTCTATGTATTAAGCTATATACATACTATATACACCTGCAAGTGCTATTATAATGCGTAGTGGTAGTCGCTACAGTCACCAAATTCTAGTTTAGGCCAAAAGGTTCGAATACATTTACATTATACGTATATAGGCTGCCAGAAAACAAAGTTTTTAAATTAACTGTAGTATATAGAACATATATAGCCTGTAGTAGACCCCTTAGACTCCTTAGTAAGCAGTATAATACGTATGTAAACGTAGTCGTAGTAATGTTGTAATTAATAAAAGGAATTTCCAAAGATCAAATAAACACCACGCAGTTTCTGATTATTTTCCCCGTATAATCCGACAATCGGATTCGCCGTGGAATTTCGTACTTTGCCCCGCATCCGTCGTATCAGCAACAGCTTCCATCCAATCCCCGCTCGATTCGATCTCGTTGTACGTGTGTCGTCTGGGAGCTGGGACTGTGATCATCGTTGTCGTTGTCGCATTGACGTAGCCGTTGCCCCCGGTGATGACCAGGCGACCCCTGGATTTTGAGCTGCCTCTCAGCGCGGCTCACCTCCTCCTCTTCTCCTGAGATGCGTCACGGAAGGATCGAGACTTCCCTGATAGCGACTACTTTTTAGGCATACATATAAATAAGCAGTTCACCTTGATCAAGTGCCAAAAATTAAATTCTTGTCGAAACTTGCCAAGGTAAATAGGTCAATATTTAAACATTCAAAGATTCTGTTTAGAAATAGTTGAAAATATATGTATATATGTTTTCTGTTGAATGAGCTTTGGTGGAATCGAAAATACTGGGAAACGTGTAATAAATCAAAGTAAACACCTGTTTATCTGTTTATATCGATTATATGGTTTTATTATATATTTTTTCCGTTGAGGTAGGTGCCATAAGTATTGGCCCCCTTAACCAGGTTAGGTAAAAACTACGAAATTCCTACTAAAAACTTAAGATAGTGTAACTCAAGTACCCATGGGAGCTGTGCAAATAAAGCTCTCTGGGAGGTCTAGTTCAGGAATCCGAATCGCTGAAAGCTGACGCAATCAAGTGTATTAATAAATAAATACAAGTATTTATTATTATTATTCGCTATTGATTGTTTATTCAGTTTCACGTTGACGTTTTGGGGGGCCTGTCTGTTCTGGGGCTTGTGTACAGCGTAAAATGCGAGTGGACTTCCTCCTCCTGCCATGTGGCGTCAATGTCAGCAGTTTGTAATCACGGATTCTCCGAAAGCGCTATGCCATTACGTTGTAATCTGATATATACAAGCGATCTGAATACCCTTGTAGGGTATTATAATTTCATTCAGAAGCTTAAAACCAAGAGAAGGAGTCATTTCCAACCCCATAAACCATATATATTCTTGATCAGCATGAACAGCCGAGTCGATTAAGCCATGTTTGAAAGAAAATAAAAATTTTAAATTTTTTTATAAAATTTTATCGTTAAAATAACATCATTACAATTTTCAAAAATTGATAAAAAATGTAAATTTCTTAAATTGTAAATTGAGTATGCAGATTTATTATCCTAATAAAAACTAACATAGGACCGCTTTCCAAATTAAAATTAATCCTTTTTTGGCTGAGTTATGCGTTTTTTTAATTTTGATTTTTCGATAAAATTGCCATATAAAATATAGATAGATATCGACTCAAATAATGGTATTATAATTTCATTCAGAAGCTTAAAACCAAGGGAAGGAGTCATTTCCCACCCTATAAATCAGGCGAATCTTTCTGGGTATCTCCGGATGAAACTATTTTTTTCAAAAAATTTCAATTTTTTCCATCGATTTTTCACATTGTTAAAATTTAAAAAAAATTGATAAAAAATGTAATTTTTTTAAATTTTTAATTGAGTGTGCAGATTTGTTATTCTACTAAAAACTAACATAGGAGCGCTTTCCGAATTAAAATTAATCCTTTTTTGGCCCAGTTATGAATTTTTAAAATTTTGAATTGTTGAAAAAATTGGCATATAAAAATATATAGGTAAATATCGATTCAAAGAATGCGAATATTTTAAGCTAAGTATGATCAATTTTCAAATTGATCCTACAATTCAATTGTAAACTGGAAGTGTAAATAAACTTTGAAGATTTGTTTACTTAACAAAAAAACTTCATAAACTACAGTTTTTTTGGAAAATTGAATAAACAATGATTTTCATTTGAATTTAACAAAATTTGCTATGGCAAAAATACCCCTAGGATGTTGCTGGCATATTCAGCATGAATAAACAATTTATTATATAGATTTACGATTCTGTGGGCATTCTCCACACACATTCAATTTTGGATTGCTATTCCAGACTAAGAGAGAATCTAAAACCTCAGGGACGCAGCTAGAACTGTTTGCGACTGGGAATGGTTATAGTTAAGGACACTTCGCTGGCGCCTATGCTGGTACTGGGCCTGGCGCAAATAAATACTGGCCACGCCCTTGACGACCACGAAGGTCAGACCGCCCAGCCCAATAGCCAGGAGCTTGTTGGTCTCGTAGATGCCGCTGAAAAGCGTCTGACCGAGGAGGCCGGCAATGCTGGGCAGGCTGAGGGCCGCACAGAATCCAGGCGTGACGCCACCCAAGTGCTCCGCGGCCTCAACTTCACCCCGATGCCGCTCTAGCTCCTCAAAATAATCATCGTCCAGAGGGGCGCCCGGCAGCGGCTCTCCCAACGCGTTCATCTGCTCCGGTGGCACTCTACTCCGCTGGCGACGTCGTAGCCAGCGCACCAGGACATCATCCCAGTGTATCCGGCGGCTCATGAGCAACATCATCGGCACCGATGGCAGCAGGATCATCATCAAGATGGGATCTTGCTGCAGCAGCTGCAGGACAATCTCGTTGCCGGAGAGCTCGAGCAGAGTGAGAGCTCCGTAAGACATGCCCGAGAAGTAAACGGTGCCCGACACGATGCCCATGAGTACACTGGGACACATGCGCTGGTATTCCTTGTCCAGGCGATTCAGGAACGCATCGAAGCGGCACAGCGGTGGCATCACGACAATGTACTCGGTGCGGCACTGGGTGCATGTCACGGGCACATCCGGTGCCAGTATCTCCTTCTCGTTGATCCACCGGCTGAGGCAGGCCTCGTGCACCCACTTATTGCTGCCCCGGCAGCGGCACGGATGCACCCAGTCGCGACGCGGCTGCTCCTCGTCGCCCATCAGGCAGATCCAGCACATTCGATCCTCCTCCCCGCCGGTCGGTTCCACGCCGCCGAAGAGTCGCTTGCGCCGCCTAGCCATCGAATGGGTTCGAGCATGTCTCCGGCGGATGATCATCATGTGATCTCCCCAGTCAATAAAGATTCTGCAACCTAAACTTTGGACCGAGTTCCTCAAAACCTACCTCGTGGACGAGTAGCCCTTGAATTTTGTCGGTGTGACGATGGGAAAAAGAATCTGCCATTGTCACTGCCCTAGGCCTACTTCAATCACAAGTTTTGTGTTTCTAACTTGATTCTAATCTATTCAGATTCAGGAGCATACTTATCCTCATCCGTACTAATTAATTAATTAATTAATTGGCAGAAACTTGAATTTGCCTGAGTTTTTATACCCTTGCTGGGTATTCCATTCAGAAGCTTAAAAGTAAGTGAAGGAATCATTTCTGACCCTATAAATCATATTTATTCTTGATCAGCATCAACAGCCAAGTCGATCTAGCTATGTCTGACAGAAATTTAATTTTTTTTTTAAATTTTGAAAATTTTATAAGGGGTCATCGTCAAAATTGTGAAAATTTGATAAAAAAAAAATTAAAAATTTTTAAATTTTAAATTAAATACGCAGATTTGTTAACCCTTAAAAAACTAGCACAGAAAAAGTATCCGAATTAAAATTAATGAATTTTTGGCTTAGTTATGACATTTATAAAACCTTGATTTAACCATATACTTAGCATAAAAAATGATCGATTTAATATACCTAGAATACTGGTTTTCTTGTTGGTATACGAATAATTTATAATTGAGGTCAAGTTTGTTTACTTTTAGTATACGTTTTTCGATATCCTAAATTCAAATTGTTGTATCACTTTAAATTAAAATAAAGTAATGGGGTCCCTGGCAATAGGGGAATTAATTGGAATATAAATCCATAGCTAGCACAGCTGATTCAAGACTTAGGCCTGATCCCTCCAAAAGCAACTATAAACACGATATAATTGTCATGGTTAAGACTTACCGCAGTAGTGGAGACACCTTCCAGTGTAGAGTCCATATTCCTGGTGACTTCAATTAGGCTTTTCGTGGTATCATCTATATGAGCTCCTTCCTGGCCGGGAGGTATTTTTTGGATCGTAGCACTATCACTTTCACTTTCACTATAGATGTTAACTGTAGGGAGGCCGCGGACAGACTAAGCTCAGAGCGATAGCAGTGTCTGTATTTATAGTCTCCCAGTAAAGAGAACAGAGTAAATGAGAGATAGAGAGAAAGAGATGTCTCCAGAGAAAACTGTAGAGATAGAGATATATAGAGACGCAAAAAGGGGCGAGGGACAAAAAACTATTCACTGGCAATTAAATATTATAATTATAATTATAAGTAAGTAACTCTGAACAGTAATTAACTCTGAACATAAAGTAACTTTGACCAGTAAGTAACTCTGATCAGTAAGTATCAATGAACATTAAGTAACTCTCAGCAGTAAGTATCTATGACCAGTAAGTATGTTTGTATGATCAGTTACTAACTTGGAACACTTGTAAACAATGACTTGCAACTTTTGAAACACAACACATATCTGAGACGTGGCCGGTAGCAGTCACTTCGTTCCGGGGAGGTTAGAACCAGTTGGGAATCATATGCTCAGACGTGTGAGATTTGTTTTGGAACAATGAGCAAGCTATATCAATGAAACTATGAAGTTATTATTCTATATAATTTTACTAGTATATAACTCGGAGCATGGCGAATCGGTGGACTATATACATATATACATATATATAGCTGCAATAGGAACAATCGGACGATTTCTAGAAGTATGACCAGTAATTAACTCTGAACACTAAGTAACTAAGATAAGTAATTAACTATGACCATTAATTAACTATGAGTAGTAAGTAACTCTGTAACTCAGTAATTAACTCTGAACAGTAAGTATCTCTGAACACTAAGTAACTCTGATAAGTAAGTATCAATAAACATTAAATAACTATGATCAGTTACTAACTTTGAACACTTGTAAACAATGACTTGCAACTTTTGAAACACAACACATATCTGAGACGTGGCCGGTAGCAGTCGCTTCATTCCGGGGAGGTTAGAACCAGTTGGGAATCATATGCTCAGACGTGTGAGATTTGTTTTGGAACAATGAGCAAGCTATATCAATGAAACTATGAAGTTATTATTCTATATAATTTTACTAGTATATAAATCGGAGCATGGCGAATCGGTGGACTATATATATACATATATACAGCTGCAATAGGAACAATCGGACGATTTCTAGAAGAATTGCCACTAATTAACTCTGAACATTAAGTAAATATGATCAGTAATTAACTCAGAATAGTAAGTATCTATGACCAGGAGGTAACTATGATCAGCAATTAACTATAATCAGTAGGTATCAATGACGTTAAGTAACTCTCAGCAGTGAGTATCTATGACCAGTAATTATGTATGATCAGTTACTAACTTTGAGCACTAGTAAACAATGACTTGCAACTTTTGAAACACAACACATATCTGAGACGTGGCCGGTAGCAGTCGCTTCATTCCGGGGAGGTTAAAACCAGTTGAGAATCATATGCTCAGACGTGTGAGATTTGTTTTGGAACAATGAGCAAGCTATTTCAATGAAACTATGGAGTTATGGATCTATATAATTTTACTAGTATATAAATCGGAGCATGGCGAATCGGTGGACTATATATGCATATGTATACATATATATAACTGCCATTGGACCGATCGGAAAAATTAAAAAAAAAAAACAACATTATAACTTTTCCAGTTTTCAACAGATTTTCATCAAATTTGATATATATCCATTATATATTAATCTAGAATTTTGTGTAAAATATTATTAAAATCGGACTACTATATCATATAGGTTTGTTTTAATTTCTTAAAATAGCCATAATCAATATAGTTTCCATTAATGAAAAAAATAAATAAATAAATAATAAAACTTCCTAAAAAGAAATGCATTCTCGATTCTTGACTCCTTGCCGTTCTCATTATTTTTTTACTATCTTTTTTATGTGGTTTACTTTCGGCGAATGTGGCACATGCCACAAGGAAAACCTGTTGGCTGACCGAGTGAAAATAGGCGAAGGCCAAGTCCAAGATCCAAACTGGATCTGCTGGATGCAAATGTGTGGCAAGGCGACAGGGTAATAACACTCACCTGGCACTTTCCTCCCGTTTGAAGGTCCCACTCCTTGCTCCTGCTCCTGCTCCTTGATAAGGGATTCACTTGTCTAAGGATTCACACAACAAAATCACACAAAAAAATAAATAAACACACACTTTTGTGGTCTCAAGTTGAGAGATGCCAAGTCCCGAGAAAACTCAACGCGGGACCGAACCGAACCGAACCGAAAATTTGCAGAACCTGTCGGCTCGAGAGCAGAAGAACATTTGGCCAGCATCTGGGACTGGGACTGAGACTGGGGACTGGGAACTGGGAACTGGCTGGCCAGAATACGCCAGGTTAGGCTTTCCATTCCACTTTTCCACTTTGGCAACTTGTGTACGTACCACTTTGAATTGGGGCAGCACTTGGGGTCTGGCGGGGATCTCGTCTCGTCGCCTCTCCTGGCAGGTGCCTCGCCTGGGATGGGAATGGTTAAATGCTAATGGATAATGGACATGGGGAGGTGCAGCAGCAGCAGCAACGGAAAGCTTCTGTTCTGGCCGATTAGCCGATCATTATCGATTTTACTTGTAATTCAGATTCGGTTAATGTCCAGCAAAGGTTACACTCAGCCAACAATCAATTTAGTTTGTTTTTAAATTACTTTATTGGCACTCTTTTCTAAAAAAAATATATATATCAAGCTGGAAAAATATATACGGATCTAAGTTAATCTAAAGCAGTGGTGCTTAAAGCCCTGACTTGTGAGTCCCAAGTATTTGTCTAAAAAGTCTTTAACCAAATCATTTAATTTAGGTGTAAAAAAAAGTCTACGAAAGCTATATTCTTTGAATTTAGTATACTCTATAAGTATTTTTCCAGTGCTACTCCCATTATCTTTTAAAGCTGATAACTGAATGAACGAACGGTTTCTTTAATTCGTCCTGGTAAAACGCTCGCCAAGATTCATACCCTTGATGAGAGTGTAGAGCGAAAATGAGAACTTGGCTATCTGGAAAGATAAAATTAAAATAAATTAAAAAACATTAAAAAACAATCGTTGATAATAATAAAGTATGCAAAAATAAGTAACAAATGGTGAAGATTATCAAAGGAAACTAATTAATGATATGTAGAAGATTACTAAATTTTTTAGTATGATGTTTTAAATATTTATCAATATTATAATTTTTTTTGTCTAAAATGAGATAATTTTGGATATTTAAAAATTCCATAATAAAAGTTAACGATATTTTAATTATTTAGAAATCTATCTTTACGAGTTTACTTTATTTTTAATATGATAAATATTTGTTTAGTATTTATATTTGATTTATAACAAAGTTTATGATATTTATACCTTTTCATGGTATTCTAATGTCAGTTAAAAGCTTGAAACTAAGTGAAGGAATCATTTCCGACCCTATAAATAATATATATTCTTAATCAGCACATAGAGCCGAGTCGATTTAGCCATGTTTGAAAACAAAAAAATTTTTCAAATTTTTTTCATAATTTTATCGTTAAAACTACATTAAACATTAACTACATTAAAATTTTCGAAAATTGATAAAAATTGTAATTTTTTTAAATTTTAATTTGAGTATGCAGATTTATTAGCCTACTAAAAACTTTCATAGGACCGCTTTCCGAATTAAAATTAATCCTTTTTTGACTTAGTTATGAGATTTTTAAACTTTGATTTTTCGATAAAATTGCCATATAAAAATATACGTAAATATCGACTCAAAAAATGGTATTATAACTCCATTCAGAAGCTTAAAACTAAGGGAAGGAATCATTTCCGACCCTATAAATCATATATATTCTCGATCAGCATCAGAAGCCGAGTCGATCTAGATATGTCTGAGAAAAATTAAATTTTTTCAAAATTTTAAAATTTTTTAAGGGGTTACATCGTTAAAATTGTCAAAATTTGACAAAAAATTTTAGTTTTAAAAATTATTAAACTAAATACGCAGATTTGTTAACCCTCTAAACACAAGCACAGAAATGTTATCCGAATTGAAATTAATACATTTTTGACTTAGTTATGGCATATGAAAAACTTTGATTTAAGCAAAAAATTAACATATAATAATCCATTGTTATATCTTGTATATAAATTCCACTCACACTGAAGTAGGTGGCCAGGTTGATCGGGAACAGCTTCATGGCCGTCAGTGCAATGGGCTGCTGGGCTCGATGCAGATAGTAGAGGAGCATCTTCCGGAAGCGGGCGCTCTGGCCCAGCCAGCGGCACTGGAAGATGGCCAGGGCCAGCTCCTCGTTGTCCAGCTTGAGGGAGGTGGCCTGGTAGCAGCATGGCGCCGTCTGAAGCGTCACCGCAGACAGATAAATGATCGAGGCGATCTTGGTGTTGGTATTGGCAAAAATGAAGATATTTATCATGGTGGTGCCCATGATGGCGGCCGTGATGAGGAACTGGACGAAGATGGTGCGCGATATCACTGGCCCAATACAGTCCAACAGCTTCAGCAGCGTCTGATGGTCCACGATGCAGCGCTGCAGCTCCTGGCAGTGCTCCTCCTGCCGCCGCTCATCGGGATAGCCATCCGGATCATCACCATTGGCATTCTCTCCCAATCGTCGCACTCGCATGGCCAGCAGCCGGACATGGAGACGTACCACATACAGATAGATCACGGCATAGACATCATCGCTGGCCTGATGCAGACACGTCCAGTTCATGATGAAGAACTCTATCCAGGCCTGGACGCAGAACTGCATCTGGGAGCGCTGCCAATCCAGGCCAGGCAGATACAAGGCATACGGCGGCTGGTGGAGGAGGAAGGCGCACACGAAGGTCGAGAAGGAGTAGAACCCATAGCTTAGCTGGTAGAACCACACGAGCCTATTGCAGAATCGCACCCCATCCAGGATCACTTGGAACTCCTCGGGCCTCTTGCAGCGTCCATCCAGCTCAGCCAGATAATGCTCCGCCCGTCGCAGCAGATGAAGATTCCAGGCCAAGGCCACAATCTTGGCCGGCAGGATGACCGCATCGATGGCCACCTGGAGGGAGGTCAACACCTGGGTGATCTCCATGCCGCCCATATACCGGTAGCTGATCACAAAGCAGGTGGGCACCAGGAGCAGCTGCCAGAGGTACATCAAGGCAGAAAAGCAGAAATAGATGCGTCGCCAGGTGATGCTTTTGGTGGGCAGACTGCCATCCGGTGCCTGCATCCCCAAGGCATAGAAGCAATTGAAGAGGTTCCGAAAGGCACGACGGGATTCGGGTAGCTCTTCCGTTTCCGGTTCCGGCTTCACTTGTGACTTGTGACTTGTTCCCGTCATGGCTGAATCACTATTGACGACTCCAAATGAACCAAAGGGTCCTTTTATAGATACGTTTAATGGTAAAACAACAGTTGTTCTATAAAAATAGTTTTTATTTTCGCATTTTGGTCTCTGAATGATTAAATGAATCGTCAATTGTTGTTAATTGTTAATTGCTAATTTGTACATAACATAAGTCACAAGCAGCATTTGTTATTGCATATTTGTGTGTTCTGTCTGTGTGTCCTGCCTGCCTGCAATCCCTGTTCCGCCTGTCCCTCCTCCTTTAACCCCATAAGACCCTACTTAACCCATGGCAATTAGGCAGCGAATACAAAATAAACACAAACTCAATCTGAAAGTTGAGAACTTTGGGCGACCACCGGGTTCCTAATTAATTAATAATTAATGCAGGCAAATGCAGGCAATTAAGCTAAAGTTTAATTTAAGGGCAAAGGTAAAGGTAAATGGTGAGGGTGAAGGTAAACTTTGAGGGCGTATTGCTTCGCTTCTGGATTGCCCTTCGTTTTTTTCTATTTCCATTTCTGTTGAGCATAAACAACAATTTGTCTAAATTATAGTTATTAATTGATAAATATATGCATGAGGGCAGCTATAAAATAATCTATATAATCATTCATTCATACATATGGCTGAGAGGTTCATGTTTCGCCAGTGTCCGATGGAAGCCTTTTGTGCTTGCTGTGATTGGAATCAGATTACACACAGATTATCCGGATCTGCCTGTTCCCCCAAGTCCCTAGAGGAGCATCAAGGTGTTCCCAAGGCTACTAAAATATTTCATTAAATCTTCATTACTTTTAAATCAAATTATAACATGAGAAATCATTCCTATTCTTTGATTCGTTTGTGGAAACACCTTACAATCTCTAAGGATTTGCAGAACACCCCGGATATATACATGTATGCATATCAGGGCTGCCAAGGAAATCGCTATAAACTTAAATCGAATTCAAATTCAGTAAAAATTAAGAATGTACATATATAAATAGACAAAATTCGATATGAAATCTTAAAAGTTCAGGAAAAACAAGATATATATATGAATATAAAGAGAAAAATTACGATATGATGTATAGAAATAATGAATAAATATACATAATTTTTAAGTAAACAAAACTATAACAAAAAAATATAAAATGTGTTTAATTTGTTTGTTATATTTATCCGATTATAGAGTGGTCCGATATATTAAACAGATTATTGATTTATCCCACACATGCATATAGCAAAGTTAAAAGATCGATTTATATATCAAATCTTGTGGCAGATATCGAAACAGTTTCGATAAATCAATCATTTCTGTCATTCTTAGTGCAATTTGGTATGGTTTTTCAAGGAATAACGATTTCTGGCAAGTTTTTGGGCTGCATTTTGAGCTGATTTCAATTTTTATAACGATTTCTTCGGCTTCCCTGCAGGTTTACAATGTTTATATATTTGCAGGTTACATAATAAGCATTCAAATAGCAGTATATATGTATGTATGTATAAGTAAAGGTATCAATTTCATCGCCATTATATCATTATCCATAGCTATATTCATTCATTATTTTTGTGGATAAAAAAAACAGCAGCAATATGCTTCATTATATGTATTTTTTCATATATATATGTATATATGTAATAGAGAGAGGGGAGAGAGTTTCTTCTCGTTATATATGATGTATATATCCATTATAAGTAGTTGTAAATCGATCGAGTTATATGCTGTTATTCAATTCAGAGCTAGTGGTTGGGTTAACGCTTCTATATCTCTAGATATATACCGATCTATATCTGTATAGATGTGTGTATGCTAGGTGTCTATAAATATATAGTATATGTAAGTATATATAAACATTTTTGTCAGACTTAAAAATGGAGCTTTCGTGGAGCTGGCGTGTGTCTTGATCTGGGATGTGGTGTCCTCGGAATTACTAAGTATTATTATTTATAATTATGATTACTTATTGCTATTATTATTATTATTGTTGTTGTTTGCTGAATGGCTTTGCTAGCTGGCTGTACTTAATCTGAATCGGAATCGGAATGGGATAATGTGGGGATATACATGCATGTATGTATATTAGCTATAAGTTTAATGAGTGACGCGTGATTTTTTGGAATCTGGAATCCGGCATTAGGCAAAACTAGTGAAGTCTTCAATCTACGGTTAAGGCAAATCGCACAAGTCGGGGGCGTTGGTGTGGCATTATATAGGGTTATAAATATATAGGTTTATGTTTTGTGTGCGGCTTAACGCGGGGTATTGTTTTGGAAATTTTCTAGATTTTAAATCGTGGCACTCAAGATAATGGATATAACATCTCGTAATAAGATGTATATGAACACGAAAAAGTCTTTTATAATATATCGACAAACAAATATCGCGCTTAAAATCATGCAGACCATATAGTAAACTATGATATATTGAGTTTTAAAATATGTAAAGGTGTTCCATTTAAAATTGAAGTGTAGATATTATAAAGTAAATCGAATATCGTTTTTTAAATTTAGAAAATGATCTTATTTAACGTTTAAATATTGGTATTAACCAAGAATATCGTAATTTTCGATTATATTGGTCCAATAGCGCACCAATTTATTGCACAAATTTAGAAGAATTTTATGAAATTTATATGAAATGAATTGCCAGCTCAAGATCTAGATGATTTTCAAAACATTCAATCCCCGCGCTATAGGTTTTCATGTCTATCGTCTAACCTTTATACATATATAAGCTAATATTAACATTGAATTTATAAATATATATATATATATATAAGTATATATATATATATAGATATTTCTTGACTACTCTCTTATGTACAGGCGTCATGCTCGCTTTGATTTTGCTTCATATCCTACAAGATCCAATATATATATCCAATATATACCCAATATATATATATATGTATATATATGCATGTATATAATAACTGGAATTCCATTTGCTCGATTTGTTGAGGTAAACGCGTGCTCCTTGTTGATCCTGCGCTCAATATTGATTTCCACTGCTCATCGATTTCTCAATTTCCCAGCTTTATGTTTCGGTTCTTGCTGCTTTTGGTTTGAATTCTCTTCGGGAAGAGCTTAAGCCTTGTAGATTTAGAGGATAAAGCTCAGAACTGAGCACAATTACCTTTATTGCTTCATGGGATCCTCCGAAGCCACTCCACAGATCCTCCTATGGCCCGATCACCATTGCCATCTCGCTTGCTTTCACTTTCGCCTTCTCTCTCTCCGCTGCTGCTTCCTCACAATCGGTACTCGTAGTGGGCCGAGCGGGATCGACGTGCTCCCGAGTACCAGCGGTAGGGTACGCGCTGCTGATGCAACGTTAGACCCACAGCTGCGCCCAGCTGACCACCGCTCCCAATGTCCGCTCCCGGACTGCGCGCCAACTGAAGGGTTAGCGCCAGACGCGCCTGCTAGGAGGAGGAAGCCGATGGTGATGGTGTGCTGCCGCTGGAGGCCTGTCGCTGCCGTCGTTGCTGCTGTTGCTGTTGCTGCTGATGCTGTTGAGGTAATTGCATGGCCGGCGCCGTCATCCGGCGACCCAGGCACGGCAGCGGATTGGCATCCAGATAGGCCTCCGGACTGAAACGCACTCGACTGTGCTGGGAACCAATGGAACCCTCTTTGGCACTCAAATAGGAGCTGTCATCGCTGGTCAGCGAGTCCGGTGGCGTGGGATTGGTGGGTGTGCCCTGCTGCGACGAGGTGGAGCCATTCCCAGCGCCATTGTACTTCTTAAGGGAGCTGCGCAGCTTGGACTGGCAACCGCTGCCCGTGGTGACAGCGAGTGGCGGTGGCAATGAGGAAACCATAGAGCCAGCCACCGGCTGCTGCTGTTGCTGGTAGCCGCCGCCGCCCAGTTGCAAGGCATGCTGTTCGAAGGGCAGACTAGCTGGCCTCGTAACCGCCGCCGTGGCATACTTGCTCTTGGTCATCGGCAGGGGGCTGTGAATCAATCGGTTCAGCAGCTTGGGCGAGCCTGCATACAATTCCTGTTTCGTGGGCATTGCCACCTGTTCCCGCTCCCTCTCATAGTCCGCATTCAGGTTGAGGTTGTTGTAATCATAGCAGAGCAGCTCCTCGTGCTCCAGCAGCACATTCGAATTGTTGGACACAGTCGAGGGTGTGCGTCGATGCCCGGCAGCACTCACACCCATTTGGGGGACGCGTGGCGGCGGTGTCCGGGTCTGGGCTTGAACGGGCAGACTACCGGGGCAGGTGGAAGGTGGTGCAGGCAAGGTAACAGGCACGGGCACGGGCACAGGCACCACTGGCGCCTCGTACTGATAGTCATAATAGTCCGGCAGCCGATGGTTATAGTCGTAGGAGTAATCCGGATACGACTTGCAGTCACGCTCGTAGCTGTAGTTCAGCTCCGGCCGGTAGGGGAAGTAGTTGGAGCCTGGAAGACGGCATGTAATGTATGGTTTGATTGGTAAGGATTAAGTAGGGACTCACCAAAGTATCCATTCCTGTAGTTACCACCATCGTTCGAGTAACTCGGCCCGTTTCTTAGGTAATCCGCTGGCGCATACAGAGGCGGCGGACCAATGCCACCGCCCACGCGAAACTCCTCAAAGACATCCGCCTGCTGGGGTGGATTATTGGCATTGGCGTTGACACTACCAAAATTATTGCTATTGCTCAGTTTGCGACGTGGCGATGGTGTCGGTGGCTGGGTGCTGGCATAAATGCCCCCCAGTCCGGTGCCCTCCACCAGGGCAGATTGGGGCGGTTGCTGCTGAAGCTGTGTGTGCTGGAGCTGCAGCTGAAGCTGCTTCTCCTGCTGCTGTTGGTGCATCTGATGTTGCGGCGTCCGCTGCACGGGCGTGTAGTATGGCTGACTCCCACCGATGCGGCGGGCCAGGGATGTGGGCTGCGACTTACTTACCACCGCTGCCTCAATGCCACCAAATCTGAGGAAATTAAAGGGGAAATTAATCGTAATTTCTATAAATCTGCAAAAGTTCTCTCACCTCGCCTGGCCGGCCAGCTTTCGCGGCGTGCTCTCCCTGTTCTCCTGCTGCTGTAATTGTGCATCCACCTCCAGCAGTTCCAAGGCCTGCTCCTGCAACCTGTGCTTCGGCTCCTCCTCGGTTGCCAGTGAGTCTCCTCCTGCTGCTGCCGCTATCGCAGCTGCCTTGGGAGCCGCCTTCAGAGCGGGCACCTCGCTGAGCAGAGTGGGATGCACGGGCGATACATTCGACATCCGGACATCATAGCCAGCAGCCACGCCCGCCAGCAGAGAGGCCATGTTGTACAGGAGTAGCTCGATCACCGAGAGCTTCGGCTTACGGGCCGCATCGCCCGCATACAGGGTCGGCAGCGGCACATTGCTGGTGAAGCGGCTGAGGAGGTACGGTGACGGCGACATAATCGGCATGTTGGTGGCCCCCGGGCGCCAGTCATCCATCTTGCTGTTGCCTCCTCCTGATCCTGATATATATGCATTTACATATATGTCGGCAGCATTCCGTAGGGCGGACACGAGACACGAGATTGAGTTGCGAGAATAGCTAAAACTCTGGCTGAAACAGCCGGGATCTGGGTGGAAGGATTGGGTGGTTCGAGTTGGGTTGCTCATTTGGGAGCATTGTCGGGTGGTTTGTGGAGTAGTAACCGCAGGCAATACCAGGTTTAGCCACCGTATACCAAGACCAGGAGACAAGATCCGTGAGTAAGTCTTTCTGTCTGTCTGAAGGGGGGAATTGACTTAAGAAGCACAGAGAAGAATTTTATGTACCCAAAGAAAAAGGAGCAAAATCATGTCATACCTGTCTTAAAATCATTTTTGTATACACTTGCAGAGTCTTATAATTTTAGTCATTTCCGACCCTACAATTCATATATATTTTTGATCAATCGATAACCATAATCAGCTATTAACTATGATCAGTAATTAATTATGATTAGTAAGTAACTCTGAGCAGTAAGTATCGATGACCAGTAAGTATCTATGTATAATCAGTTACTAACTTTGAGCACTAGTAAACAATGACTTGCAACTTTTGAAACACAACACATATCTGAGACGTGGCCGGTAGCAGTCGCTTCATTCCGGGGATGTTAGAACCAGTTGGGAATCATATGCTCAGACGTGTGAGATTTGTTTTGGAACAATGAGCAAGCTATATCAATGAAACTATGAAGTTATTATTCTATATAATTTTACTAGTATATAAATCGGAGCATGTAGAATCGGTTGACTATATATATACATATATGTAGCTGCCATAGGAACAATCGGACGATTTCTAGAAGAATGACCAGTAATTAACTCTGAACATTAAGTAACTATGATCAGTAATTAACTCAGAACAGTAAGTATCTATGACCAGTAATTAACTATGATCAGCAATTAACTATGAGCAGTAAATAACTCTGAACATTAAGTATCTATGACCAGTAAGTAACAATAATCAGTAAGTATCTCTGAACACTAAGTAACTCTGATAAGTAAGTATCAGTAAACATTAAATAACTATGGTCAGTTACTAACTTGGAACACTTGTAAACAATGACTTGCAACTTTTGAAACACAACACATATCTGAGACGTGGCCGGTAGCAGTCACTTCGTTCCGGGGAGGTTAGAACCAGTTGGGAATCATATGCTCAGACGTGTGAGATTTGTTTTGGAACAATGAGCAAGCTATTTCAATGAAACTATGAAGTTATTATTCTATATAATTTTACTAGTATATAAATCGGAGCATGTAGAATCGGTTGACTATATATATACATATATATAGCTGCCATAGGAACAATCGGACGATTTCTAGAAGAATGACCAGTAATTAACTCTGAACATAAAGTAACTATTATCAGTAATTAACTCTGAACAGTAAGTATATATGGTCAGTAAGTAACTATGATCAGCAATTAACTCTGAACAGTAAGTATCTATGACCAGTAAGTAACTATGATCAGTAAGTATCAATGAACATTAAGTAACTCTCAGCAGTAAGTATCTATGATCAGTAATTATGTATGATCACTTACTAACTTGGAACACTAATAAACAATGACTTGCAATTTTTGAAACACAACACATATCTGAGACGTGGCCGGTAGCAGTCGCTTCATTCCGGGGATGTTAGAACCAGTTGGGAATCATATGCTCAGACGTGTGAGATTTGTTTTGGAACAATGAGCAAGCTATATCAATGAAACTATGAAGTTATTATTCTATATAATTTTACTAGTATATAAATCGGAGCATGGCGAATCGGTGGACTATATATATACATATATATAGCTGCAATAGGAACAATCGGACGATTTCTAGAAGAATTGCCACTAATTAACTCTGAACATTAAGTAAATATGATCAGTAATTAACTCAGAATAGTAAGTATCTATGACCAGGAGGTAACTATGATCAGCAATTAACTATAATCAGTAGGTATCAATGACGTTAAGTAACTCCCAGCAGTAAATATCTATGACTAGTAATTATGTATGGTCAGTTACTAACTTTGAACACTTGTAAACAATGACTTGCAACTTTTGAAACACAACACATATCTGAGACGTGGCCGGTAGCAGTCACTTCGTTCCGGGGAGGTTAGAACCAGTTGGGAATCATATGCTCAGACGTGTGAGATTTGTTTTGGAACAATGAGCAAGCTATATCAATGAAACTATGAAGTTATTATTCTATATAATTTTACTAGTATATAAATCGGAGCATGTAGAATCGGTTGACTATATATATACATATATGTAGCTGCCATAGGAACAATCGGACGATTTCTAGAAGAATGACCAGTAATTAACTCTGAACATTAAGTAACTATGATCAGTAATTAACTCAGAACAGTAAGTATCTATGACCAGTAATTAACTATGATCAGCAATTAACTATGAGCAGTAAATAACTCTGAACATTAAGTATCTATGACCAGTAAGTAACTATAATCAGTAAGTATCTCTGAACACTGAGTAACTCTGATAAGTAAGTATCAATAAACATTAAATAACTATGATCAGTTACTAACTTTGAACACTTGTAAACAATGACTTGCAACTTTTGAAACACAACACATATCTGAGACGTGGCCGGTAGCAGTCGCTTCATTCCGGGGATGTTAGAACCAGTTGGGAATCATATGCTCAGACGTGCGAGATTTGTTTTGGAGCAAATTAAAAACAAGCTCTTTGAATAAAACTATAGAGTTATTCTTCTATATAATTTTACTAGTATATAAATCGGAGCATGTAGAATCGGTTGACTATATATATACATATATATAGCTGCCATAGGAACAATCGGACGATTTCTAGAAGAATGACCAGTAATTAACTCTGAACATAAAGTAACTATAATGAGTAATTAACTCTGAACAGCAATTAACTACGACCAGTAAGTAACTCTGAACAGCAAGTATCTATGACCGGTAAGTAACTATGATCAGTAAGTATCTATGACCAGTAATTATGTATGATCAGTTACTAATTTTGAACACTTGTAAACAATGACTTGGAACTTTTGAAACACAACACATATCTGAGACGTGGCCGGTAGCAGGCACTTCGTTCCGGGGACGTTAGAACCAGTTGAGAATCATATGCTCAGACGTGTGAGAATTGTTTTGGAACAAAAATAGTAAGCTCTTTGAATAAAACTATGGTATTATTCTTCTATATAATTTTACTACTATATAAATCGGAGCATGGCGAATCGGTGTACTATATATATACATATATATAGCTGCCATAGGAAAAATCGGAAAATTTTAAGAGAAAAAATTATCACTATTCAAGTTCTCAGCAGATTTTCTCAATATTGAGTATGCAGACTTATTGACCTAGTAAAACCTAACATAGGACCGGCTTCTGAATTGAAATTAATGAATTTTAGCTGAGTTATTAGTTTTTCAATGTTTTTTTTGTTAAATTATGATATAATGTTATGGATTCAAATAATGCTAATATTTAAAACATAGATTTGATCGATTTCCGATTCGATCCTATAATTCAATTGCAAACTGCAAGGGTATATAAACATACTTTTAAATATTTTAAAAATAAATACTAATTCTTCGCTGTGCTTCTCTGGTATATATTTTGTATATGGGAACAATCAAAACTGGTCAGCAGATTCTTTTTAGTTTGTTTTTATTGACGGATCTCTCATTTTCTCGTCTAATTGTTCTTTTTTCTTTTGGGTTCTTGGCTGGGCCCAAAAAATAAAAATGGGAAATACATTAATATACAAAGTTGATATATTGAAATCGAGACGCGAGAGCGGTAAACGTAAAATGAACAAATCGTACAAAATGTATATATATATATATATATCAGTATATATATAATTTCCATAAAATAATACAAAAACAAAAAAATATATTATTATTTCACTTTCTTCACTTTTTTCTTTTGTTTTTCATCAACATTATTGTTTTTGATCACAGGTGTTTTTTTAGTTTTCTTTTTTTTTTTTTTGTGTATGTTTTGTTGTTAAAGAAATCATAAATAAATTAATTGGAAAACCCGATTTCAGACTAATAATAAAATGTAAATAAAACTGTAATCAAAATACCAAACGGAGTCGCATTGCAAAATTAAATAAGAATAATTTCGAAAAACAAAGAAAGACACACATCTCTCAGGGATGAGAGGAGGGGCGAGGAGTTCTTCTATAAGAACTATAGAACTTAGTTCAACTAAGATATTGGGGGAGGCGGTGAATCCCCATTAGATATATAGCAATTGAGCCATTATGGTTGACTTAAAGGTTAATCCAATCGTTACAGATTTATGGTTTATGTTTAATGGTTTATAGTTTATGGTTTAGTTAAATATTTTGCCATCGGCCCATGCACTTGTGTCGTGTCTACTACGTATAGAAGCAGCATTAGTTTATCCGCACAATCTCTCCTCAAATGGTTCTCTCTGCATCCCTCGCCTTGCCTTCGTTAGGAACAATTCATCGGTTACAAGGAGGGAAGGTAGGAGGTTGGTGAGGAAGGAGTTAGAGGCGGCCTTCTAGGCCGGAGAAATCTTCAAAAGGTAACCCTCTGCTTTCGCTCTGGCCCTAGACTAAGGGTTTTAATATAAAACAATGAGCTATTGAGGCCAACTCCAACGGCAATCAGCACCTTTCCAGCTGCTCGCAGGATTGCGTTTGCGGTTTCTTGCCCTTACGCTTCAGCGATCGACTATTGCTCCCATTGCCACTACCCATGGCCAGATCGGTCTGGTAGGGATCAATGGCACTGAATTCGGAGCCACCAACGCCGCCATCCAACTGGTTGTGGTCCGCCAGCTTGCTGTACTTTTTCCGAGAGCGCGAGAAGAGGCTCAGCAAAGAGCGGAAGCGGCTGGAGCTTGCCGAATGATGCTCATGCTGGAGTTGGTAATGCTGCTGCTGATGCTGCTGTTGCTGCTGGTGAGGATGATGAGGATGCGGCTGTCCATCGACTGGCGCCTCAACGGACTTGGATTTGGTGATGTGCTTGGGACGCTGCTTCCTTTGGTTCTTGCTCTGTTGGCGCTGCTCTTCGGCCAGCAGGTGCTCCTTCATCTTGATCACATCCGGGTGCGGCTGGACATCGAGCATCCGTCGTGTGGTTAGTATAGAGTTCTCTTGCATTTGATAGCCGCTACTGCCGTTCACCGCCGTTTCACCAGCAATACCCTGGAGCACTTCACCACCGGAGGAGGCTGTGCAGGCGCTGGACGAGGACAGTGATGATGGCGAGGCAGAGCGGTATGTGGCAAAGCTAATGGAAGCACTGGAAGTATACTGCAGCTCCGATCTGCTAGCTACCGTCGCTGGGGGCGATCCGACGCCGGCTGGCTCCTCCAAGCTCACGCTCTGGAAAGTCACCGAGCTCTTGCGGGATGTTGTTGAGTTCTGTCTCATTTGATTGGAGTCCAGCGACTGTTCCGCCTCTCCAGAGTCATCGTCATCGTCGTCTTGGTCGTTGTTGTCATCCTCCTCCTCCTCCTGCCTGGTAAAGAAGCAATGTCGCGGAAACTGCGATCCCGAGGCATTGCGCTGAAAGCGACCGCCTGCGTCTTCGTCGTCGCCAAGGCAATCCCGTTGGGCAGCCGTCAGCGGTGTGCTGGAATTGTACATGGTGAGGTCGCCGCTGGACTTGGAGTTCACCCGCTCGCTGCTGGCAATGATTTTCTTGATCACATCCCTATAAAAGGCATGGTCATAGGTGTTGTTATCCTCCGATGCCATCAGTTGCGTGGGCAGTGCCAGGCTATTGCTGCTTGTTGGTGGCGGATGTTGGGAACTGTCCAGCGAATGCTTCTTGCGTCCGACGGCGGGACTGTTGCCCAGACTGCCGCCGAAACGTGGCACTGCTGAGGCGGTGGTTGTAGCCGAGGCAGAGGAATTTCCAGACTTGAGGAAGTGAAAGCAGCCAGTGGGTCCTGTCACGGTGTCCGTTTCGGAGCTATCATCGGATACTAAATAGAGATTTGGCGGCTGATACGGACTGGGCGAAAGATCTAGGCCGTACTCCTGGCTTCGGGCACGATGGTACATGGTCCTGCTGGCGCTGGTAAGGCTGCTGTTGTTGGAGTTGCTCTTGCTTTTGCTCTTGCTCTGGCTCTGGCTCTGGCCATTGGGCAGGGAGGCGTTCGAGTGGGAAGTGGGGTTAGTCTGGCTGTTACTGTGGCCGCTATTGCTAGTAGTTGTATTGTTATTATTATTTATATTAATATTAATATTATGGTTATTATTATTATTATTATTCTGGCTTTTGTTGTTGTTGACGGAGTTGTTGTTGTTGTTGTGGTTGGTTGTAATGGCATTGGTGGTGGTGATGACCTTACAATTACCAATATTGCTGTTGGGTTGTCGCGTTAGAAAATAGGGTATACCTGGATATACTCCTGCTCCTCCGCCGCCTCCGTTAGCTCCCGCTATCGCTATCGCTCCCGCTCCAATTCCCATGCCATTGCTATTGCCCGGCGGTGGAGTTAACGAGGCCACCGGCAGCTGTTGCTGCAACTGTAACTGCTGCTGCTTGCTCTTGTCCAGATTCGGGGCACTCTTGCTGAACGAGGAGTGAGTGGAGCTCTGTGCGGGCCACTCCGGCTGGCCACCGCCGCCCAGTTGCGAGGGCAGGAGCGATCGCTCACGCTGGTGCATGGTGGATGGGCCCCAGGTCTTGCCCTTGTGCCCATCGGTAACTATTTTTATATAATATGATCCCCAAAAGGTAGAAAATCAAAATGAAATAAGAGAAAAAAGAAACGAAAAGGAAAATAATCAATCAAAACAGAAGAAGAAATAATATACAAAATAAAGAAGGAGGAAGCATGCCAAAAATAAGCACCAATTAAAAATAATCATACTGATACGGGGGTGGCATGATGACATACTCCTGGGACTAATCTCTGATCTAATCTAATCTCTAAGCTGATGGCCTGATTTCCATACATTCTTCGGGTTAACTCGCATCCCAATATCCAGTATTTATAAGGAATTATAAGGAAAATTTCAAATTATATGCTTATACTCGGAGTACGAATGAATATTTATAACCTATCACAAATATTAAAAACATTGATATATTGGCTTTATAAATATCGAATTTATAAATTTAACGTTATATATTCGAAGAAATAACCGAAATATCATTGAAAATATCGATTTATGGCACTCATTTATATTAAAATGTTAAAGGATTGATTTAATTATCAACTTTCGCGTTAAAATTCGACACAGTATTGATATTATTTCACTAATTGGACAGCTTTTCCTTTTGTTTTCTTTTTTTTCCTATAATTCCCAGCTAAGCTGAATCTCTGAGGGGACGTAGAGCAGGGCGAAGACAAAGGAAAATAGATACTCACGTGCCACGATGCGTAAGCCAGAGAGTGAGGGTGAGCCCGGCTGCTCCGCCTTGTCGCGTACGGCCGTTATGGTGTGCCGGAAGCCCGTCGGCAGTGATATCTGCAGCGGTTTGTACTGCAGGAATAATGGAAATATTCGTTAGTAAGGAAACTTTTCTCACACAACGACATTGAACTTACCTTTTTGCCCTTTTTGGGCCGGCGTTTCGTTGGCACCGGCTGCATCATGACCAACTCCCGTTCGATAAGCACCATTTCACGCTCCCGCAAGTGCTGCTCCTGGATCTTAAGGAGGGTAGCCTTTTCGCGTTGCTCGTTCTGCACCCGTAGCAGCTGCTCCTCCTTGTTGCGCAGTTCCTGTGGGAACGGAGAACAGAAGGGGTTTAGTAACGGCTTTAAAGGTTTTAACAAAAATGGCTAACTAGAAACGAAGAACAAGGAACTAAGAGCTAGGATCTAGGAACTAGGAACCATGCAGCATGTGGGCTTAAGTGGGGCGTGGCGGGACGGTTATCCATCCACGAAACTGGATAACTTAGGGCAAACGAAACGTAACAATAACACGGCAAGGAACTTAACGAAACTCAATGAAACTCAACTCAACGAAAAAGGCGAGCAGAGAGCGAGAGAGAGACCTGTTGGACGCGCTTACCTCTTCGATGGTTTGGAAACGCTTTACGCCGTTTGATGTTTATATATTTTACAAATGGAATTTGGTTTGTTTTGTGTTGTTTTTTTGGAGAGAGAGTATAAACCAAATTATTAGAATTTTATCAACAAACGACGGGGGATTGATTGGGGAAGTAAACAGAGAGTAATGGACAAAGAAGAACTCAAGAGCGGCCTAGGGCCAACAAAGAGAACGGTCTAGAAACGAGAAATCGATCTAGGTGAACTCGAAGGCGGTTCCTACCTTTTCTTTTTCGCGCAAGTCGTGCAGCACCTCGGCGATCTCCTTTTTCCAGCACTCCTGCATGTAGTGAAAGGATTCCTGCGGCGTCAGCGTAAACTTGGAGCGGGCAATGCTCTCCAGCTGCTTGAGTATCTCCTTGAAACCAGGTCGCTTGTGTGGATCCGTCTGCCAGCAGCCTAGGAATTTGGTATGAGTTTTAAAACAATTAAATAAAAGCATTCAGAAAAAGGAAAACTCCCTCAAGGCCTGAAGGACTCACTTTTCATGAGTGCACCCCAGGTTTCGGGGCATGTTTTTGGTATGGGCAAGGTCAGCGTGTTGACAGCCACGCCATAAGCCACAGAAAGCGGATCGAAGCCCTTGTAGGGCGTCTCGCCCGTTATCAGCTCCCAAAGCAGCACACCATAGCTCCAAACATCCGAGGATCTGAGGGATAGAAACCAAGTTACAATATGGATTTGCTTTTAGGAGAGCATTTTCTTCAAACTTACTTGGAGTAGGTGCTGACACTGATCACCTCGGGCGGCATCCAGGCATACGTGCCGGCGGCACTCATCCGCTGCGTATTGTACATCTCCCTGGCGAGGCCAAAGTCCGTGATCTTAAGCGTCTTCTGCTGCAGATGATTGCCCTCGATGGCCTCGTAAATGAGTACATTGGAGGACTTGAGGTCGCGATGAATGATCGACATGGGCGCCTCGTTGTGCAGGTAATTCATGCCTCTGGCTATCTGGATGGCCCAGTTAACGAGCACGTCTGGCGGTATCTTTCCTGCCAAAATACGATTAAGACTGCCGCCACGGGCATACTCCATCACCAGGCAAAGCTTCGTCTTCAGACAGACGCCTCGCAGGGCGGCTATATTCTCATGCTTGAGGGCCCAGAAGAGCTTGGCCTCCTGGAGCACATTGTCGCGCATATTGTCCTCGCCCGTCTGATGGGCAATCTTGATGGCCACCTCCTCGCCATCATAGAAGCCGCGATGTACCTTGCAGAAGCCGCCCGAGCCGATTACCTCCTTGATGTCCAGCTCCTCGTACTCGATCTCGTGCGGCTGGATATCGCCAATGGCGGAGGGGACATTGAGCTGTAGGGGATCGGCATCAGTCACAAAGTCCCTGGGAAAGACACCGACCTGGAGAAAAGGTTGGGAATAATGATTTCAGTTGAGTTTTAAGTCTGAAGTGGAGCAAAAGCCGCTACTTACCTTGTCTCCGATCTTGCCCGTCCACCAGCCAACATCGCCTGATACCTCGCTGTCCGTGGATAGCACAACAACGATCTGGCCCCGCCGCAGAGTCAGCTCGTCCTCGCCCTGTGCGTCGTAGTCATACAGGGCGGTCCAGAGGCTGCCATCGCCCACCTGCGGCTCTGCATCCTCCAGTTCCGCCTGGAGTTGCTGCTGGTGCTGGTGCTGCAGCTGCTGCTCCTCAGTGATGGGTAGCATGGCTCCGCTAGTCCTGATCCTCGCCTGATCCGCTGATGGATGGCTGCATCAAAGGCCCACACACGGCGACATGGAAACGCGCCCGTCTTTGTTGTGATTATTGCTTCCTGTGTGTTTGCGGTTATTTCTGCGGGAATGAAGGGAGGAAGGTGTGTTAGCACAACAACTGTTGGAAACGTGAAACTACAACAATTTGATTGAGGTTTCCATCCAGCTAATAGGACGTTTTCAGGACATTGCCATTTTCCTTCTTATTTTTCACAGCACAACAACAACAACGGGAGCAGCACACAATCAGACAAACACGAACACAAAACGCACACGGACTGGCACACACACACACATACACTTACGCTGGCACGAGCACACGCACAGCACACCATTGTCAACAGCCTCTGGTCGCAGTTGCAGCAGCAGCAGTAGTGTCGCCTCCTGTTACGTCGTTGCCGCGCGGTCCCTCTCGAGTCGCCTGGAATCCTTAATGCCTCGCCACAGTCCTCGACAATCGAACAACTCTGCGTATTGATTTTTGATTCCGCATATGTTTTTAAAACATATATGTGTGTAAAAAAAAAACTAGAGTTGTGTTGTTCAAATGTGAACTGGTTTAATTGAACTGGTCTTTGGACCCAGCGGCCGAACTGGCTCCCGTTCCCTGTCAGTTCCAGTTCCAGTTCAGTCATTTGTTGCGTACTGGATGCATCCAGAAAGCTTGGAATTAGTCTTATTTATAATTAATTTGCTAGCCCATATTGTATCCCCAGGCCCCTTGCGGCATAAAGCTCATTTCAGTGGGCTAATTTGAATTGGGGATGCGATTGGGAACTAGTTCCTGAGCAAGTCACACTAATTATACCTGCTGTCAGTGTTGGCTAACCTTTGGTTTTACTATTATTTTTATAAAATCTTGCGTCACAGTTTATCAAAAGAAAATCTGGCAACGCATTTTTTAAGTTTTCATAAAACAGTTTTGGGGTTTTCCCAAGGAAACACTCATAAATCAAGAGATTTCTCAGCCAGTAAATGAGCGCAGGCATTAATATGCATGGGTAAAATATCATGTAAACTAGAAGTCATGAATGGGTACAAAATTACCGTTGCAAATGCACACTAAATTCTCATCTTCAAATGCTTATAATTATCAAGTCCAAATACTAGAAATTTTAGATAATGTTATTTTATGTGATCTTAAAATAAGATTTAGTTAAATTAAAATATATTATAATATGTATATACTATATCTCTTGTTAGTTTTTATTTTCTTTCTATCAACATGGATCAATTCGTAGTAATCCAATGCAAATTCCAAGGGTATAAAGATTATGGTGATATTGATTTGTTTTAGGCACTTTAAAAAATCATACATGTTTTATATTTTCCATATTATACAGTATAAAATAGTCTTTAAAAAATATATATATTCATATATTTATTATAATATGTATATACATATCTCTTGTTAGTTTTTATTTTCTTTCCATCAACATGGATCAATTCGTAGTAATCCACTGCAAATTCCAAGGGTATAAACATTTTGGTGTTATTGATTTGTTTAGGCACTTTAAAAAATCATACATGTTTTATATTTTCCATATTATACAGTATATACATAGTCTTTAAAAAAATATATATATTCATTTATTTATTATAATATGTATATACATATCTCTTGTTAGTTTTTATTTTCTTTCCATCAACATGGATCAATTCGTAGTAATCCACTGCAAATTCCAAGAGTATAAAGATTATGGTGATATTGATTTGTTTTAGGCACTTTAAAAAATCATACATATTTTATATTTTACATATACAGTATATACATAGAGTACTTAAAAAAATATATTAATTTATACGTCATCAGACGAAACTCGACTGGGGCAGGAGAAGCCCTTCCCGAAGCGATTGGTGGATCCAGGCAGAGTTTAGCATTTTGTCAGCACTCAGCCTTGGGTGGTTTTGAAGCCACTGCTCCAGGTGATCATCATCCATGCCCGAGGGCATGCAGTTGAAGCCCAGATTGAGCTTTGGATCGGTTGCTTCAGCCAACTTGCCACCGTTCTGTAGAAACAGAATCTTGGCCAAGCGATCCCCGTGCGGCTCGTAGAACTCGGCGTACAGGTTCCGGAACAGATTAAGACTCTTTTTCCCCTCCAGCAGTTGATCCTCCAAGGCATCCAGCTCAGATGACACCGCTTCCTCTTCCTCTACTGTCACTTTGTCCATGTCCAGCAGCAGCTCCTGCAACTCCTCAATGTCCGCAATATCCTTTTCGTAGCTATCCCCGAACTTGTCAAAGCACTCGGCCAGCTCTCGCTGCAGTGGCTCGGTGGCCGCCATTAGATCCTTGGGCCGCAGCTCCAGTTCCTGCTTTCGACAGATCCGCAGCAGCCAGTCCATGCTCACAATGTCGCAGGTGCGCGGCTGCTGCAGAATGAGTCGCTTAACCAAGAATGTCTGGTCGCCGGCAATACAGAAGCACTTGGGATCATTGGGCAGGGGATTCTCAACGATGCAGCCTCCATTCAGCACGGCCAGCTCCTGCAGCTGCCGTTTGCTATAACGCCCAGCCGAGCCGCTTAAAATGCAAAAGCTAAGGCCATCGAACATCTTAGTGCGACTCGAACTGGTTGGATCTAGCTCACAGCGCTTTTCGTAGACGGACAGTCCTATGCGGCTCCGTTCCGAAGGTGTCATTCGGAGACGTTTTCGCTTCGTGGTCAAGTCCTCCAGTCGCAGCTGACGCTTATTTAGCTTCTTGATGGCCTTGGAACCCTATGCAGAAGACGCAGAAAGAATACAATTGTCAGAAAAAATATATAAATCTATATCTAACTAATTACTTCGCACAGATCGTTGAACTCCTTGAGCGTCATACACTCGTTCCAGGATTTGTCATCACGTTTCAGTTCGATGCGCGGAAAGTGCAACGATTTGCGGGTGAAGAACGCCGAATTCGGTGCCAAATCGGCCGCCTTCACCTGCAAGATAATCGAATTTTGTGGCTCGATCCAGAGATCAGGGCATCCCGTCCGATCGTTCGCCTTGTAATGATACCACAGCGGTGGCGGCTCCTTGATCACATCGTGCCAATGTGGCTTCAGGGTGTGATTCAAAACACCCCTCTGCTGTGTGTTATTTGTGACGCAGCCAATGCTGAAGACCTCATGGCGATGGGAGGAGGTGCTGCCATTTGATGCCGGCTGGAGGACGCCCAGCAAGAAGGATTCGATGAATGTGCGCTTGCGATTGTAGAAGCCGCCAATGATCAGCACATCGAACTCCGTGATAAGGCCCTTGATGTACTGTGGAAGAAGTTAGAGAGGGGATCATTGATGTTATTTATAAACTGTTTTAGCTCTACTCACATCCGCTTTATCTTTGTACCAGCCACCGCCCAGTCGCACTCCCGGCTGATAGACGGAGCCCTGCTTCTTCAGCACTATACCCTCGGCATTGGAGTCGAGGGCCTCCTGGAAGAGCTGGTTGAATTCCTCCACCGAGCCAATCTTGCGGCCACGCATCAATTGCAGCACGCCACGCTGTTCCACCAGCAGCTTCTGGAGCTTGTAGGCACGCTGGATGTAGGTGTGGTCGAGAAGGCTCTGGCCATTGAAATACAAAAGATCGTAGACGACGAAGCAGGGCTGCCAGCTGCGGTCAGGCTTCAGGCTCTTAACGTCCGTGTTCTCGCCCTTCTCGCGGAAGCGCTCCTGAACGGTGTCCCATATCATCATCTCGCCGTCCAGGATAATGGACTGCAGACCCAGCGGCAGCAGGCCCCTTAGCTTGGGCGTCAGGGTGCCGACGCGGTCGTAGCTGTCCCCAAAGTTGCGTGTGTAATCCACGCCGTTCCGCGAGATGTACATGAAGCGGCCGCGATCGATATGCAGCTGGAAGCGCTCCCCATCCATCTTGGTCTCCAGATAGAGCACGTCCGATTGCATTAGCTCATGGATGTCGCCCGGAAAGCGTTCGCACAGCATGGGACGGATTTGATGGAATGGTCGAATGACAGCATTCAGATTTACGGGCTTGACATTGTCCTTGCTGTCCGTGGAGTTGGAGGTGCCACTGGCGTTCAGGTCAGTGGCATTGTCGGCCAGCAGGTTGCAAACATGGCCCAGATCCGAGCAGCGCTGGTAGATATCCTGTGCCTTGGGATGTAGGACCCCAAATATTTTCTGCTCGCCAATGCCCAGGCCCAGGCTCTTCAGGAGCAGTCGTATTAGCCACTTTTGCTCCTCCGGCGAGGCCTCCTGTGTAAACCGGATTAGTTCCTGCTCCTTAACTGGGGATGGACTTATGTCTTTATCTAAGCTTTGTTTTGACGGCCGTTTCACCCACCTGTTGTGTCCCCGTTAGCAATGGTGTCGAGCATTTCGTGAATGTGCTTGAGCCGCAGATTGCTTGCCGGATTGAAGCAGCGCGGCTTAAGAACGGCATAGACCACATCGCCGTAGTCTCTGTACATGTTCCCACTGCGGTGCTGCAGCATTATGGCATCGCTGGCTAACAGGAGTTGATACGTGATGAATAATAACTCGTTTCACCAGTAATCCCCCAATTGCCCCACTCACAGTCCTTGGCCAGCTGAAGCACCCGAATGTAGAGCCTGCCCAGCGCCGTAATCTGCAGCCCATAGTTGTCTCGGCCTGTGTCCGCGCTCGGGAGTAGCAGGCGCAGCACGGAGTAGAAGCTGCTGGCTCCGCTCTCCACCTGGTCGTCGGCCAGGCCGGTTTCCTTGCGAAAAGATTCGCGATGCCGGCAGAATGACTCGTAGTAACTCTTTAGCACATCCTCTTTGTTGGCAACCTTTTTGGTGGCCTTCAGCTTCTCGAACAGATCACAGATGTCCCGGAACTTGATCGTGCTGGATATATCCACGCTCATAGTGGCGTATATTAAGAAATATTATTTCACAATAAAATTTCTGTTGTGAGAAGTTCAATAGCGGTGACACATCAAGAAATATATCGATACTGGCACATCGTTATCAATATTATCGCTATTGTCAGGCAATCGATAGGTAATGCGCTTTTCAACCCTGGCCACCTGTGACACATATCGATAAGAGAAGAAGCTATCGGTTTCAATAAATGTAATGCACAATAAAGTAACAGGTAATCAAACAGCTAATTAATTTTCTTACTCAACAAATCGCTTAAACAGAACAGACCCAATGTTGAATACGGTGCAAGTGATGAGATCCAGCCAAACTAGCGCCAACTATCGCAACAATCGATACCTCGTGCACTTCGCAGCCCTGGCCAAATGCAACCGTGTGCGCAGCGGCGGAAACGTACTTCTGTGGCGCTGACGAACACTGCCCCAACATGTTCTTTTTCAGGCGTTTGCCTTTGCGCTGACATCGTATCTCGATATCTTCTGTGAAAATGTAAGGGTTTTTCGAAGTTTAAATAAGTGTAAACGTACCAGAGTTCGACAAAACGACTGCTACAAGTGGCGGCCTAGCGTGAATAATAGGGGTTTTGTGAAATTATTGAGCGAACGGCGAAAAACTGAAATTTCAGCGGCAATGAGGTTAAAAACGGGCGGCTTTTTGTTTGTGTGTGTGTTTGTGCGTGAGCCACTGTGTGAGTGCTAACACGTGTTGGTTTCACTTTTTCCTTTTTTTTATGTTTTTTTGTATTTATTTTATACGGTTCTATGGCAAAACTAAAGCCCTTGGATGAATAGAAAATACCGATTCCTTTGGAAAAGGCATTGCGACGATAAAGTCGTGGAAATCAACAACAACAATGCGCGTGTGTATATGTGCATATACAAATGTATATGTGTGTATGGTGTGCGTGTGGAAATAGCGCTCATTTTCAGTAAAGATTTAAAATTGCAGAAAATCTACAAAAACGTGGTTAATATTTAGTGAAAACATGGTTTTCACGCGGGCTTGATGGCCCTTTTATATTTTTTTTACTTGGAAACACTAAATAAGAGCACACCTCATGTTTTTCTTTGGTTTTAAAGTGCAGAAAATGGTCGCGTTTAGCTGAATTTATAACTCTTAGCTATTTCAGTTGAATATTGTTGACAAAATAAATAATTTCATTATATATTAACCTTTTCCTCCGCTCACAGCATGGCCGAAGTTGCTGAAAACACCGTCGTGGAGACGTTCGAGGAGCCGGCGGCACCTCTGGAAACCGAGAACGCCGAAACCATCATGGAGACGAACGTTGTGGCCACCAGCGAGCTGCCCGAAATCAAGCTGTTCGGCCGCTGGTCGTGCGACGATGTGACCGTCAACGATATCTCGCTGCAGGATTACATCTCGGTGAAGGAGAAGTTCGCCCGCTACCTTCCCCACTCGGCCGGACGTTATGCCGCCAAGCGATTCCGCAAGGCTCAGTGCCCCATTGTGGAGCGCCTGACCTGCTCCCTGATGATGAAGGGACGCAACAATGGCAAGAAGCTGATGGCCTGCCGCATTGTCAAGCACTCGTTCGAGATCATTCATCTGCTCACCGGCGAGAACCCGCTGCAGGTACATATCATTATGCACTTGTATCCTTTTTCGAAAGGTAGGGAGCAAGCGGCCCATGCTAAACTGTGTCCGCAGATATTTGCCACTGGGACATGGGTAGAATGGGCGCGCAGATTAATTGGGTTCCAAAATATCCTAGTGCCTGAAGATAATAAGCCTCTTCTGGTTTCTCCTGGAACTTGGAACTACAAAGTAAATCCTTAATTAGAACTCAAAGTAATGGTTGTCAAGTCCTCCTCGATGCTGGTTAGTAACAATACTTTCGCAAGCATTATCTTCTATGTGGACTTATAGTAAAACACAGATTTAATATTATCCTAGTGCCTGAAGAAAAGAAGCCTCTTTCGGTCCTCTTGGAAATTAAATCTACACTAGAAACTAAAATATGATCATAAGGAAACCCCAGTTAGTCCTCCTCAAGCCAATTGATGGTAAACTCCAGCCAAATTGAGCATTAACTCAGGACTCATAGGAAGCAGAGTTTTAATATTATCCTAGTGCCTGAAGAAAAGCATCCGCTTCTGGTCCTCTTGGAAATTAAATCTACACTAGAAACTAAAATATGATCATAAGGAAACCCCAGTTAGTCCTCCTCAAGCCAATTGATGGTAAACTCCAGCCAAATTGAGCATTAACTCAGGACTCATAGGAAGCAGAGTTTTAATATTATCCTAGTGCCTGAAGAAAAGAAGCCTCTTCTGGTCCTCTTGGAAATTAAAGCTACACTAGAAATTGACAAAAAAGTATACATATCCTTGTGCTTAAAGACTTTAGCAACTTTCCGTCCGAAACTAAAACTGCAGCGTTGATCCCAACAACGTTGTGGTATTCAATTGGACCACATTGAACCCCATGCTTTACTATTCCTCTTAAGGGCATTGTCTCAAAGATGCGAACCTTAATAAAGTCAAAAAGTAACAACAGCATTCATGTAATAAGTTTAAACGGATTTATCCGTCCGAAACTAAAACTGCAGCGTTGATCCCAACAACGTTGTGGTATTCAATTGGACCACATTGAACCCCATGCTTTACTATTCCTCTTAAGGGCATTGTCTCAAAGATGCGAACCTTAATAAAGTCAAAAAGTAACAACAGCATTCATGTAATAAGTTTAAACTGATTTATCCGTCCAAAACTAAAACTGCAGCGTTGATTTCAACAGCGTTGTGGTATTCAATTGGACCACATCGAACCCCATGTTTAACTATTCCTCTTAAGGCCATTGTCTCAAAGATGCGAACCTTAATAAAGTCAAAAACAACATTATTATATCGACTTAATCCCAGACAACCCTGTGACAACAGTTCACCTCAATGCCTGCGGCTTTAAATAAACCCATTGCCGGTGGGCATTACCAAAATTGAACTGAGATCAAATGGTTTCAATATTATCCTAGCGCCCGAAGATAAAGCCCCTCTTCCTGCTCTCCTGGAAATTGAAACAACATTTACTACATATTCCCTATACGTTATTAAGCAACTCAGATACGAATTGGATTTAATTAACATTTTGCATTGCTATCATTTGCAGATCCTGGTCAGCGCCATCATCAACTCGGGACCCCGTGAGGACTCCACCCGTATTGGACGTGCTGGTACCGTCCGTCGTCAGGCTGTGGACGTGTCGCCCCTGCGTCGCGTCAACCAGGTGAGTCTCCCGCTTGTTATGCATCTTTGGATTCAGAATGTGGCCAGCTACGATGGCTAGTGGTTCGTTTGGCGACTGCTGGCTTATAATGTTGGCTAAATCGAAAATCTATCTTATCCGTAGCGTCACAATGTGTAATTTAGCCGACATTTGGCGTATGAACTGAAGAGACATTTTTGAATGAATCATAATTGTTATACAAGCTTAAGGCTCTACAAAATCTAATATATTTATTCTTTATTTTAGGCCATCTGGCTGCTGTGCACTGGAGCTCGCGAGGCTGCCTTCAGGAACATCAAGACCATTGCCGAGTGCCTGGCCGATGAGCTGATCAACGCCGCTAAGGTGAGCAAGAACCGAGGATCTTTACACCACATTACAATATCTCCCGGGTTTATTGTAGTAATGCAAAGAAAGCAGGGTCCAATCTAATTCTGCCTGATGGTTTATTCATGTAGTCTCGCTTTTGGACCAGAATATATCTTTTATTATCCTTGTGCTTGCGATTAAATCCCAGTTCAATGCACACGAGAAACGTAAAAGAACATGTAGTCTTTAAAATCTTATGTATTGATGGTTAAATTTAGGGTCCAATCTAATTCTGCCTGATGGTCTATTCATGTAGTCTCGCTTTTGGACCAGAACAAAGCTCCATCTTTTATTATCCTTGTGCTTGCGATTAAATCCCAGTTCAATGCACACGAGAAACGTAAAAGAACATCAGCAATTGTATAGATGTATTTCTTAAAGACATAAACCTAGCGTTTAGAGCATAGTTTCCAGTGAAAAAAGGGTCCAATCTAATTCTGCCTGATGGTCTATTCATGTAGTCTCGCTTTTGGACCAGAACAAAGCTCCATCTTTTATTATCCTTGTGCTTGCGATTAAATCCCAGTTCAATGCACACGAGAAACGTAAAAGAACATCAGCAATTGTATAGATGTATTTCTTAAAGACAATAAACCTAGTGCTCAGAGCATAGTTTCCAGTGAAGAAAGGGTCCAATCTAATTCTGCCTGATGGTCTATTCATGTAGTCTCGCTTTTGGACCAGAAGAAAGTCCCATCTTTTATTATCCTTGTGCTTGTGATCAATTCCCAGTACAATGCACACGAGAAACGTAAAAGAACAAGTGCCTAAATCACAAAAGAACATGGATTTGTGATCAAAATGTAATAAATACTAATAACAACAATTTAATCTTATTATTCCAGGGATCCTCCAACTCCTACGCCATCAAGAAGAAGGATGAGCTGGAGCGTGTGGCCAAGTCCAACCGTTAAGGAGACGTTGCACCAACAAAAACAAACTCTTCTGCGTTCGTTTTTTTTTATACAAATAACGTGTGTACTCCGCGAAATGATACACTAAATTTAAAATAAACAACAAGATGAAAAATCCATTGAGTGTAAACAGTTCTTTTTTTTAATAGTTTAATTTTAAATAAACTTAATTATTTGAAAATAAGTAGAGACAACGTATATCGAAATGGGTTTTGGGTTTTCAAGTTGAGATCAGAAAGGGACGGACAATGATTTCCCGGATTTATGTACATATATAGTTGTCTCTTTCATTTTCGAATTCGTTCGACATTTGCTATAAATAAAGGTGAAGGAACATCCATGTTTTTTGGAGTCTGTCGATGTTTTTAAAACATCACCAAACAGCTAAACTTAACAATAATAGCCTCTTTTGTGCAGAGATTGAAAAAATATAACAAAAATAGGACTCGTATACATATGTTGTTTATAAACACATTGTGCCATGTAAATGCATACTAGAAAACTACAAATTTCGATATAAATCGATTTAAGTGTAATGAGAAGTCTTTGACTTCTGTCGAGGTAGATTTTTGTTTAAGGAAACTCCCAACTATCTGTGCGCCGACGCTTCACCTTCGACATGCCCAGCACCTGGTCCTCGTAACGATCCAAATAGTGCAGCAGTCAGCGGGTGAACTCGTTCATGCACAGATTGATATGCGAGATGAGACTGAAACTATTCACAGATGATGGCGACGGTGGTGGTGTTCCCCTGAAAGATTTGTTGGACAAAATGATCGCACACATCTGATCCCAGGACATTCAGGCGCAGGGCAAGCTTGGCGAAGCATGCAGGAAATTGTTTGTACGTTTTACTGGTGAAGACAGCTGTTACCCGAAGGAAAAAGAAATCTGATTAAGTATTTCGTGGTTTGGATTCCTTATACCAATACTTACTGGGTCGCTTCTTTCTGGTTATCACAAGTACTTATGCAGCATGTTCTGGGCACTATCCTCGTGTGTAATCTGGCGCTGGAGCAGAAGCTACTCGATGTGCTGGCACAGCGTAAGATACATTGACTGCCGCTAATGCATCGCCCATATATATGGGCAGACCAGAGATTCTTGAACCATTGGATAAGGTACATAGCCTCCATAGGCGTTCGAAGAAGGAGACGCAGCGACATATTCTACTGTACCGGGCGCAGGGACATATTCTAGAGGAGCGGGCGCAGCGACATAATCTACAGTAGCTGGCGAAGGAACTGGCGGAGGGGCATAAACTGAAGTACCCATATAAACTGGTGGAGCGGGTGGTGGCCCATAGATTTGTGAAGCGGGTGGTGGTCCATAGACTGGTGGAGCGGGTGGTGGTCCATAGACTGGTGAAGCGGGTGGTGGTCCGTAGACTGGTGGAGCAGGTGTTGGTGGTCCGTAGACTGGTGGAGCCGGTGTTGGTGGTCCATAGACTGTCGGAACAGGTGGCGCACCGACATAAACTGGATACATCGGGTTGTCTTGGTAAAGTTGGTCCTGTGTCATTGGACATGCGTGTTGCTGTTGCTGTTGGGGGTGCAGGCGCTGATGAGTTGTCGGAGCTCTGCAGTGGCGACCGGGCAGGGCGAGCCGGCTCTGTATCTGATGCTGCCCTGCACGCTGTCGTTGTTCAATACTGCGTCGCTCCCCTGCATCCTGCTCTGCACCCAGTCCATGTCCTGTAGTCTGTCGCTGTCCTGTAGTGTGTCGCTGTCCTGTAGCCTGTCGCTGTCCTGCAGCAGTCTGTCGCTGTTCTGGAGTCTGTCGCTGTCCTGCAGTCTGTCGCCGCTGTCCTGTAGTCTGTCGCTGTCCTGCAATCTGTCGCTGTCCTGCAGTCTGTGGCTGTCCAGCAGTTTGTCTCTGCCCAACATTATGTCGCTGTCCTACACTATGTCCTGCACCCGGTCCATGTCCAACACCCGGTCCCAGTCGTACACCCGGTCCATGTCCAACACCCGGTCCCTGTCCCTGTTCGTGTCGCTGTGCCTGGATTCCACGCTGCTGCAACTGCTGGCCTTGAGCCGGAACCTGGATCTCAACCACCTGACCACTGTTGGTTTGCTCGCGCTGCCATCGCTTCATGGAACGATTAGATCGCTGGGAACGACGCCTTCGCTGTTATTAAAATCAATGATTAAATTCATTTTCGATAAGAAAGAAATACTTGATTAATATTACTCACCTTTAGCCTGGATTCATTAGGCTGAAGAGCATATTCCTCAGCCGAGTACACCTGCTCCGCCTCCCGTTCACGCTCCCTAGCCATGGGATGGAACTCCAGGGCATTGGCATTCAATAAGGAGCGACTGATCGGGTTTAATGGACGCCCGGCGATCTCCCGTTCGCCTGTCTGTTCCACAGTTTGGTCCTCCAGCGCTGTGTCGTCGCTTTCATCGCAGATTCTACGGTTTTGATCTTGCTCTTGTGCGGAACAATGGGAAGCGAGCACAACATATTCTTCGCCAGCCTGAAATTCTATAAGTGGCCTTCTTTCCCGTGCAGAAGGATTCTCGGTCATCTTCTGCTTTGGGGGACCTGCAGGACCTGAGAAACTTTCAGGACTCGTCTGTGTTTGCTTTTCTTGGGAAGGTCCCCATTCCATCGATCGTACCGTAAAAGCAGCTACCGCGGGTCTAGAAGCTGGTTCACGAGGACTAATCTCTGGTTGCATTTTTGCCTCAGAGGAACCGCCAGGACTTTTCGACATCCTTTCTGAGAAACTCACAGGACTTTTTCGCCATTGCATCTGCACATTTTGCTCAGGGAACATCCAGGACTTTTCGATTTGGTCTCTGATGAAGTTACAGGACATTTCGGTGTCTGCCTGTACTCATCTTTTTGCTGGGATTGTCGCCATTCCATCGATAGCACTGCAGGAGCAGCTACCGCAGCTGTAGGAGCTGGTTTACAAGCACTTAACTCTGACTGCATCCTCACTGGGGAACTTTTGGGACTTTTTTGTGTTTGTTTATACTGCTTCTTCTGCTGGGATGGTCCCCATTCCATCGATTGCACTGCAGGACCACCCAGTAAAGCTGTCGAAGCTGGTTCACGAGGACTACTCACTGACTGCATCTGCATTTTTCCCTTAGAAGAACAGCCAGGGCTTTTCGGCTTTGGCCCTGAGGAACTTGCAGGACTTTTTTGAGGTTGTTTATCCTGCTTCTTCTGCTGGTCTGGTGGGCATTCCATCGATGGCACTGCAGGAGCAGCTAGCACAGCTGTTGAAGCTGGTTCACGAGGACTATTCACTGACTGCATCTGCTTTTTCTGCTTAGAAGAACAGCGAGGACTTTTCGATTTTTTCTCTGAAGAATTTACAGGACTGTTTTCTTTTTGTTTATGCTGCTCCTTCTGCTGGGATGGTCGCCATTGTATCGATGACACTGCAGGAGCAGCTAACACTGCAGGAGCAGCTAGCACTGCAGGAGCAGCTAGCACAGCTGTCGAAGCTGGTTCACGAGGACTACTCTCTGGCTGCACCTGCATTTTTCCCTTAGAAGAACAGTCAGGACTTTTCGATTTCTTCTCTGAATTTACAGGACTTTTATCTTTTTGGTTATGCTGCTCCTTCTGCTGGGATGGTCGCCATTGTACCGATGACACTGCAGGAGCAGCTAGCACTGCAGGAGCAGCTAGCACAGCTGTCGAAGCTGGGTCACGAGGACTACTCTCTGGCTGCACCTGCATTTTTTCCTTAGAAGAACAGTCAGGACTTTTCGATTTCTTCTCTGAATTTACAGGACTTTTATCTTTTTGGTTATGCTGCTCCTTCTGCTGGGATGGTCGCCATTGTATAGATGACACTGCAGGAGCAGCTAGCACTGCAGGAGCAGCTAGCACAGCTGTCGAAGCTGGGTCACGAGGACTACTCTCTGGCTGCACCTGCATTTTTCCCTTAGAAGAACAGTCAGTACTTTTCGACTTTGGCTCTGAAGAAATTACAGGACTTTTATGTTGGTTATCCTGCTCATTCTGCTGGGATGGTCGCCACTCCATCGATGGCACTGCAGGAGCAGATAGCACAGCTGTCGAAGCTGGTTCACGAGGACTTCTCTCTGACTGCAGCTGCATTTTTCCCTTGGAAGAACAGCCAGGACTTTTGGACTTTGGCTCAGAGGAACTTACAGGACCTTTTTGTGGTTGTTTATCCTGCTTCTTCTGCTGAGCTGGTCGCCATTCCATCGGTGGCAGTGCAGGAGCAGCTAGCACAGCTGTTGAAGCTGGGTCATGAGGAATACTTTCTGACTGCGTCTGCATTTTTCCCTTGGAAGAACAGCCAGGACTTTTCGACTTTGGCTCAGAGAAACTTACAGGACTTTTTTGTGGTTGTTTATCCTTCTTCTTCTGCTGGGCTGGTCGCCATTCCATCGGTGGCACTGCAGAAGCAGCAGGCACAGCTGTCGAAGCTGGCTCACGACGACTACTCTCCGACTGCATCTGCATTTTTGGCTCAGAAGAGCAGCCAGGACTTTTCAACTTCTCTGAGAAACTTGCAGGACTATTTTTGGTTTTCATATGCTGCTCCTTCTGCTGAATTGGTCCGCTTTTTAGCGCTGGGACTGTAACAGCAGCTACCGAGGCTGTCAAAGCTGGTTTCTGATTGGTAATCTCTGGCTGCATTGACATTTTTTGCTGACTTCTGCACTCCTGAGATGGCGCTCTCTGCAAGATCGTTATCCTTGAAGGAGAACATGAAGACTGTTTGGTGCCATGACAATTGTCAATAGTCGAACGGAAGGAACTCAGCCTGCTGGCCCGAGATTGATCTTTGCCCTCTGCCTCTTCTGGCAGCAGTGTTTCCGGTAAAAAGTTTCCCAGAACTGGGCAATCGCGTCGAGCCTTGGATGAATCACAAGACCTTGTGGGATTGTTGGTTTCCGGAATGGCCACAGTTTTGACTTTCTTCACCTGCTTGCCCAGGTCTGGGAATGCCTTGTTATCTGCCCTAAAAGTGCCTTGCGGAGGATCGTTATTGTCAGACGACAACTTCCAAGCACTAATAGGTGTCGGCGGTGCTGGAAGCGATGGAGGAGTCTGGGGCACCTGAAAAGAAAGAAGAGATGAAATTCTGGGGAGAGGAATGTGCGTGGGGTTCACTCCTTACCCTCTCTGGGTTGTCCCTCTCTGAGTTGTCAGTCGGAGTGCCGGGTGTCACAATAGGGCTTACAGTAACGAAACTAGCAGTGAGGTCCCTCGAAGGGACAGTGCTTTGGAAGAGGTTGAGAATGATCATTAATTCAAGTGCCGAGAAAATATATTTAAAGAATAATTATAAAATAATAATATTGCTCTAAAATAATATTAGGGTTCATTAAAAGCTTACCCAATGGAGCTTCCGTTGGTGTTTTGAGACTCAGCCTGTGAGCCAGGAACCTGTCCTGTTGGCTCATCGTCACCGCGCAGAAACTCACTCAGCTGAACCGCACGGCGACGGTTGGTGTTGCGGCGGCCTTCGCTGCCTAGACGCTTCTTAGATGGCATGCCTCCAGTTGATAGGTGCTGGCCGATCCGTCAAAGTAGCCGGTGATGAGATAAGTGGAGCCCAACTTCAACTCGCAGTCGTGGCTGTGCGCTTTAAAAGACAAATGCAAGTGCAAATGAATGCCCAATTAAAGCAGTATAGATCAGTGTCAAACCTCGCAAGCGGATCAACTTGGGACGATGAAGGCAGCCGATGGTGCGCGGTGTCTGGACGGCGGAACAGGGCAGGATGGCCAGGAGGCGAAAGGTTTCCGTAACTCTTAACTTTTGGTATTCACTCATAGGCCGGGAACAGCCCGAACACAACGGAGCTGTGAATGAATATACATATATAAATAAATATATCAAACTGTGACTGTCAATTTGGGTTGGTTATTTTGAAGGATATGTGAGTGCTACATGGATTACATAAACATGACACAAATGAAATCAAAAACTTCTTATGCTATACCAGAAAACAAATAATAAAGATTAACAAACTAATATCAAATAATGAATAATACGGAAACAAAACAAAACGAAATAAATAAATAAAAATAATAAAGTAAATAATGAAAAACATGAATGAGGGGAGGACTTGGGATCCCACACCATTGGAGTTGTGGGTGATTACTGGGATCGTATAGAGAAGACATACCATCTGTGGATCTGGTCTGTATGGCATTGCGCATACAGCCGCTACTGCAGTACCAAATCGATTGCAGACTATAAAAAACGATCTAAATTAAGGTTACTGTCGAAAACTGATCAGGGATTACTCTCTGAGCTCTTCTCTTTTTAAAACTTTGAACTTTATGTAATTCGCAAGGAGAATGTCAAGTATTTCACAAATTATGACCAAAGCTATGCATGGACCATCAAATTTTAATCAAATTACGTGATGAGAGATCTTTTTGTTCAAAGAAAGAGTCAAGTTCAATTAACCCCTTACAGTCCTCTCCCCCAGCTTACACCAGCGTTTCACGTGGCGTATACGCCGCTAGGACGCCCTGCACCTGGCTCAACCCTAGGCGCAAGGACTGATCCCGCGGCTCGAACTGCAGGCACGGCGTAAAGGGCAGTCCCACCAGTCGCCACTGGGCGTGCAGCTGGCCAATGTCGATGGCCTTCAGGCCGGAGGTCTTTAGGCGCGCCCTCACAAGCCCATAGACAGTGTACCTGACCGCCTCGCCAAATTGCAGCGGCTCCTCCAGCACGAGCTGCAGCAGGCGCGGTGAGTGCTCCAGCAGATGTGCGTAGTCAAAGTCGAGGCGCACCTGCACAGGTGCCAGGAGATCCTCCGGGCGGCGCGTGCGCCGGTAGTGTTCCACAAACTTTTCGGCGGAGCCTTCCACCAACTTGAGCAGTTGGGTCTGGCGGCAGAACTGTTCCACCAGCTTCTGCTCGTGGAATCTGTGTGTGTATATATGCACATATATGTATGTATGTATAAAGCGTTCCTTGGCGGACTCCATGTTTTTTTGCCTTTTTTTTGCTACTAGAATTTTTGCACTTACTGGGTAATTGTTGCTGCTTCGGCGTTTGCAACTGCTTCTTGTACTTCTGATGCTTGCAAGCTTGAATTCACTCCAATCATGTTAATCGCCAATTGCGGATGAAAGGAAATCTTCAATTGTTTTACACTACGACTCGAAAACTTTGTAAAAAACGGAACAATTTTTTTTAAATGATGTGCCTTTCTAGAGGTGGCCGAAAGAAAGAATAAGAAGGGGCAACCGCAACAACATTATCGACAGGCCGATAAGTTTGACTTCTAGGGCCGCGTTGCCAATAGGGTTGCGCATGCGTATGTGTGATTAAAATTGGAACGATTGGAATTGGTACAAAGATGAAAAGCTTCAATTTGCCACTGTTTCATCATCGAAAAAGCTAATGCCAAAATAAAGGTTCTATTTTACACCAAGTCCGATCCAAGTCCAAGTGATTTGACCACAGTTTTTATACTCTTGCAGGGTATTATAATTTTAGTCTGAAGCTTAAAACTAAGCGATGGAGTCATTTCCGACCCTATAAACCATATATATTAATGATCAGCATTAACAGCCGAGTCGATCTGACAAAAATCTAATTTTTTTTTAAATTTTGAACATTTTATAGGGGTTACGTTGTTAAAATTGTAATAAAAAAATCGAAAATTTTTAACTTCTTTTAAATTCTAAATTGAATATGCAGATTTATTAACCTAATAAAAACTAACCTAGGAACGCATTCCGAATTAAAATTAATACATTTTTGGCTGAGTTGTGAGATTTTTAAACTTTGAATTTTCAATAAAATTGCCATATAAAAATATAGATAATTATCAAGTCAAATAATGGTATTATCATTTTAGTCTAAAGATAAAAACTAAGTGAATAAGTCATTTCCCTCCCTATAAACCATATATATTCTTGATCAGCATGAACAGCCGAATCAATTTAGCGATGTTTCATGGAAAATTAAAATTTTCAAATTTTTTTTTTAAATTTCATTGTTAAAATTACATTGTTAAAATGTTCAAAAATTGATCAAATTTAAGAATGTTAAAAATTTTAAATTTAGTATGCAGATTTATTAATCTAATAAAAACTAACCTAGGAACGCATTCCGAATTAAAATTAATACATTTTTGGCTGAGTTATGAGATTTTTAAACTTTGAATTTTCAATAAAATTGCCATATAAAAATATAGATAATTATCAAGTCAAATAATGGTATTATCATTTTAGTCTAAAGATAAAAACTAAGTGAATAAGTCATTTCCCTCCCTATAAACCATATATATTCTTGATCAGCATGAACAGCCGAATCAATTTAGCGATGTTTCATGGAAAATTAAAATTTTCAAATTTTTTTTTTAAATTTCATTGTTAAAATTACATTGTTAAAATGTTCAAAAATTGATCAAATTTAAGAATGTTAAAAATTTTAAATTTAGTATGCAGATTTATTAATCTAATAAAAACTAACCTAGGAACGCATTCCGAATTAAAATTAATACATTTTTGGCTGAGTTATGAGATTTTTAAACTTTGAATTTTCAATAAAATTGCCATATAAAAATATAGATAATTATCAAGTCAAATAATGGTATTATCATTTTAGTCTAAAGATAAAAACTAAGTGAATAAGTCATTTCCCTCCCTATAAACCATATATATTCTTGATCAGCATGAACAGCCGAATCAATTTAGCGATGTTTCATGGAAAATTAAAATTTTCAAATTTTTTTTTTAAATTTCATTGTTAAAATTACATTGTTAAAATGTTCAAAAATTGATCAAATTTAAGAATGTTAAAAATTTTAAATTTAGTATGCAGATTTATTAATCTAATAAAAACTAACCTAGGAACGCATTCCGAATTAAAATTAATACATTTTTGGCTGAGTTATGAGATTTTTAAACTTTGAATTTTCAATAAAATTGCCATATAAAAATATAGATAATTATCAAGTCAAATAATGGTATTATCATTTTAGTCTAAAGATAAAAACTAAGTGAATAAGTCATTTCCCTCCCTATAAACCATATATATTCTTGATCAGCATGAACAGCCGAATCAATTTAGCGATGTTTCATGGAAAATTAAAATTTTCAAATTTTTTTTTTTAAATTTTTTTTTTTAAATTTCATTGTTAAAATTACATTGTTAAAATGTTCAAAAATTGATCAAATTTAAGAATGTTAAAAATTTTAAATTTAGTATGCAGATTTATTAATCTAATAAAAACTAACCTAGGAACGCATTCCGAATTAAAATTAATACATTTTTGGCTGAGTTATGAGATTTTTAAACTTTGAATTTTCGATAAAATTGCCATATAAAAATATAGATAAATATCGAGTCAAATAATGGTATTATCATTTTAGTCTGAAGATAAAAACTAAGTGAAGAAGTCATTTCCCACCCTATAAACCGTATATATTCTTGATCAGCATGAACAGCCGAATCTATTTAGACATATTTTAAAGAAAATTTAATTTTTCAAATTTTGTTCAAAATTTGATCGTTAAAATTACACCATTAAAAATTTTCAAAAATTGATAAAATTTAAAAATGTTAAAAATTTTAAATTGAGTTTGCAGATTTATTAACCTATTAAAAACTAACATAGGCAAGCTTTCCGAATTAAAATTAATGCCTTTTTGACTGAGTTATGAGATTCTTAAATTTGGATTTTTCGATAAAATTGCCATAAAAAATATATAGGTAAGTATCGACCCAAAGAATAGTTTTGTAATTTTATTCAGAAGTTTCTAACTTTGTGAAGAAGTCGTCTCCGACCCTATTATTAGTATATATTCTTGATTAGCATCAAAAATGAATTTATTAAATATTAATTAAAAATTATCATATAACGAGGACGAAAGGTAACTTTGGTACCCCGTAGTTTTTATGCCCTTACAGATTGCAGTTCGATCATTACTAATATAACTATTACTATACTAATATAAATTATAAAAAAAACCCGACGTAAAACATTCTATTATTACATTCACCTATACATATTTTATTTACAGTTTTATAGTTACAGTTTTTAAATTCACAGTAACTCTACACTTAACGATCGTTTTTAATCGTCCGATTTTTATAAAATTTAAACCGCAACTCTCGAATAGTAAAAAATGACTATAATTTAAATTAGATCTACATATGTTGCAAATTATATTGCTAATACACACACCTTTGGATAACATCCATATTGCATATTTGCCTTTAATTTTGCACAATTTAAGATTAATAATTGGTAATGGTTTTAACTATTTCCGCTATTTTAGCAATTTTCATAAGCTTTTTCGTTAGCTTAATCTCTTTACAAATTCCAATCGTTCCAATTTTAATCACACCAACGCATGCGCAACCCTATTGGCAACGCGGCCCTAGAAGTCAAACTTATCGGCCTGTCGATAATGTTGTTGCGGTTGCCCCTTCTTATTCTTTCTTTCGGCCACCTCTAGAAAGGCACATCATTTAAAAAAAATTGTTCCGTTTTTTACAAAGTTTTCGAGTCGTAGTGTAAAACAATTGAAGATTTCCTTTCATCCGCAATTGGCGATTAACATGATTGGAGTGAATTCAAGCTTGCAAGCATCAGAAGTACAAGAAGCAGTTGCAAACGCCGAAGCAGCAACAATTACCCAGTAAGTGCAAAAATTCTAGTAGCAAAAAAAAGGCAAAAAAAAACATGGAGTCCGCCAAGGAACGCTTTATACATACATACATATATGTGCATATATACACACACAGATTCCACGAGCAGAAGCTGGTGGAACAGTTCTGCCGCCAGACCCAACTGCTCAAGTTGGTGGAAGGCTCCGCCGAAAAGTTTGTGGAACACTACCGGCGCACGCGCCGCCCGGAGGATCTCCTGGCACCTGTGCAGGTGCGCCTCGACTTTGACTACGCACATCTGCTGGAGCACTCACCGCGCCTGCTGCAGCTCGTGCTGGAGGAGCCGCTGCAATTTGGCGAGGCGGTCAGGTACACTGTCTATGGGCTTGTGAGGGCGCGCCTAAAGACCGCCGGCCTGAAGGCCATCGACATTGGCCAGCTGCACGCCCAGTGGCGACTGGTGGGACTGCCCTTTACGCCGTGCCTGCAGTTCGAGCCGCGGGATCAGTCCTTGCGCCTAGGGTTGAGCCAGGTGCAGGGCGTCCTAGCGGCGTATACGCCACGTGAAACGCTGGTGTAAGCTGGGGGAGAGGACTGTAAGGGGTTAATTGAACTTGACTCTTTCTTTGAACAAAAAGATCTCTCATCACGTAATTTGATTAAAATTTGATGGTCCATGCATAGCTTTGGTCATAATTTGTGAAATACTTGACATTCTCCTTGCGAATTACATAAAGTTCAAAGTTTTAAAAAGAGAAGAGCTCAGAGAGTAATCCCTGATCAGTTTTCGACAGTAACCTTAATTTAGATCGTTTTTTATAGTCTGCAATCGATTTGGTACTGCAGTAGCGGCTGTATGCGCAATGCCATACAGACCAGATCCACAGATGGTATGTCTTCTCTATACGATCCCAGTAATCACCCACAACTCCAATGGTGTGGGATCCCAAGTCCTCCCCTCATTCATGTTTTTCATTATTTACTTTATTATTTTTATTATTTATTTTGTTTTGTTTTGTTTCCGTATTATTCATTATTTGATATTAGTTTGTTTTTCTTTATTATTCGTTTTCTGGTATAGCATAAGAAGTTTTTGATTTCATTGTGTCATGTTTATGTAATCCATGTAGCACTCACATATCCTTCAAAGTAACCAACCCAAATTGACAGTCACAGTTTGATATATTTATTTATATATGTATATTCATTCACAGCTCCGTTGTGTTCGGGCTGTTCTCGGCCTATGAGTGAATACCAAAAGTTAAGAGTTACGGAAACCTTTCGCCTCCTGGCCATCCTGCCCTGTTCCGCCGTCCAGACACCGCGCACCATCGGCTGCCTTCATCGTCCCAAGTTGATCCGCTTGCGAGGTTTGACACTGATCTATACTGCTTTAATTGGGCATTCATTTGCACTTGCATTTGTCTTTTAAAGCGCACAGCCACGACTGCGAGTTGAAGTTGGGCTCCACTTATCTCATCACCGGCTACTTTGACGGATCGGCCAGCACCTATCAACTGGAGGCATGCCATCTAAGAAGCGTCTAGGCAGCGAAGGCCGCCGCCACACCAACCGTCGCCGTGCGGTTCAGCTGAGTGAGTTTCTGCGCGGTGACGATGAGCCAACAGGACAGGTTCCTGGCTCACAGGCTGAGTCTCAAAACACCAACGGAAGCTCCATTGGGTAAGCTTTTAATGAACCCTAATTATTGGACAATATCAAATTATTTTAGAGCAATATTATTATTTTATAATTATTCTTTAAATATATTTTCTCGGCTTTCTTGACTTGAATTAATGATCATTCTCAACCTCTTCCAAAGCACTGTCCCTTCGAGGGACCTCACTGCTAGTTTCGTTACTGTAAGCCCTATTGTGACACCCGGCACTCCGACTGACAACTCAGAGAGGGACAACCCAGAGAGGGTAAGGAGTGAACCCCACGCACATTCCTCTCCCCAGAATTTCATCTCTTCTTTCTTTTCAGGTGCCCCAGACTCCTCCATCGCTACCACCACCGCCGACACCTATTAGTGCTTGGAAGTTGTCGTCTGACAATAACGATCCTCCCCAAGGCACTTTTAGGGCAGATAACAAGGCATTCCCAGACCTGGGCAAGCAGGTGAAGAAAGTCAAAACTGTGGCCATTCCGGAAACCAACAATCCCACAAGGTCTTGTGATTCATCCAAGGCTCGACGCGATTGCCCAGTTCTGGGAAACTTTTTACCGGAAACACTGCTGCCTGAAGGCACAGATGCTAAAGTTCAAGCTGTGGTCAACTGGCTGAGTTCCGTCCAAACGACTGTTGGCAGCAGTCAGAACAACAAGCCTGCTTCTTATGCTTCACCAAAAAGAAACATATTGAAGAGAGCGAGATCCCAGGAGCAGAAAACTCCTGGCTGTTCTTCTCAGCAACAAGTGCTGATGCAGCCAGAGATTACTCCTCATAAACCAGCTTCGACAGCCACGCGAGCTGTTGTTGCAGGTCCGCCGATGGAAAGTGGTCCTGGAAGTTCCTTTAAAAATAATTTACAACAGAATAGTACAGCAGGTCCCTCAAAGCAGAAGATACCCGAGAATGCTTCGGCACGGGAAACAGAACCAATTGTAGAACTTCAGGCTGGCGACGAGAATGTAGTGCCCACACAAGACCAAACTGAAAACGTTGGTGAAAAACATTTTTTCTGGGAAGAAAGCGACGACACTTCGTTGGAGGAGCAAAATGTGGAACAAAAAGTCGAACGGGAGATCGCCGGCGGTCCATTAAACCCGATCAGTCGCTCCTTATTGAATGCCAATGCCCTGGAGTTCCATCCCAGGGCTAGGGAGCGTGAACGGGAGGCGGAGCAGCTGTACCCGGCTGGGGAATCTACTCAGCAGCTTAGTGAATCCAAACTGATGGTGAGTATATTGTACGACAATTTATTTAGGACCGGAAATGAATTTAACCATTCCATTTTAATTAAACAGCGAAGACGTCGCCTTCAGCGAACTCATCGTAAGATAAAGCGTCGCCGTTTCGGGCGAGGTAACTATGGTCAGATATTTGAGAACCAGGTTTCGGCTCAAGTTCCGCCGTCGCAGCAGTGTCCAATCCCTGCTCAGCGACATGGTGAAGGACAACATCAGGAAGAAAGCCAGATGGTCTCGCCTGCATGCTACTACAGTGCCCCGGCGGCTGATCAGCGCCAGGATCAAGCAGTTACCCAAGGACAAGAACAAGGACAAGGACAATACCAATACGACGGCAACCAGGTGTATTTATATTATTCCGCTGTGCCAGTTACTTTGACCACTTCTCCAGTTTATGTCACTGTACAAACTACAGCAGCACCAGTTGCGTCCACCTCTCAAAATCCCATTATAATGCAGAATAATGCCGATGCCAGCCAGTCGGTTTTTCGGATGGCCTGCCTCCCATCGACTGGGGTGGGAACGCGGAACCCGCCATCATCGGATATCTCGTCTATCAACCCATTACCTTCCAGTATTTCTGGGGCGAGTCAGCTTACCCATACGCTCAGCTCGTTGGAGAAGAGTTATCTAGATTGCCGTGGTCAACAGTCTATTATCAGCCCGGATTTGTTTTTCAACAGATCCTTATTGGATATGGATATGGAGGAATCCCAGGAGAAGGAAGTGGAGCAAGCGTCTCCCCAACAATGGCAATTGAACTCGCACAAGGAGACGGAGACAGAGACCAGGGACCAGCCACGCCATCAGCAGACCCGCCCCATCGACATAACAGGCGACGTAGGCGTCGTCCCTTCAGCTCGTAGGCCAATATTCCAGTCACCATTCTCCTACGGTGAAGGTTATCCACAGCCCGACCTAAACTGCGTTCCAGCGAACATCAAGAAACTGCACAAAACCGTAACGCATCGGTATTCGGACTACGCCTTCGTCTATGCCCTAAGTGCCCAGTTGGGTCAGGAGTGCGTGCCTATGGACTGCTATGTCTACCTCAAGATGGTCCTCTTGGCCAGCATTGTATCCATAGAACCGGATGAGCTGCGGCCACCCATTTCACTGTGCATCATTTCGACGGACAGCCTAATGGCCAATCGATTGATGAACTGCATTGGCCAGTTGGCTCCGCGTTTCCTGGGACCCCACGAGTACGGGTTGCAGCCAACGATTTCTGGTGGTCAGCTATCGTCGCGTTACACTTGGGTGGTGGCTAGTCCCCTGCTGCTGGCTCAGCAGGGTGTTTACTATGCAGGCGACTGGACACGCCTGTCCAAGGAGCAAGGAGAGCAGATTGAAAAATGCATTGAGAATGGCTCGGTGCCGGTGCCCCAAATCCAGAGCGATCAGGCCCTGGAGGCAGCCGTCTGGACGCATTGGCAGCCGGAGAATTCCACCAATCAGACCTTGGCCTTTGCCAAATTGTGCCCGTAAGCATGAAGAGATTATATATATTAGTCATTTCAGTCTCTACATATATATCGTTCTGTTATTCCAGAATCTTTGGTATGCCCATTTATATGGGTGACGCTGCAGGGAGCAGCAGTGACAGCTTGTGGAACTTTCTGCTGCGCCAGCACTCGAAGGAGGCAGAGTCGGAGGATAGGCAGCCGGATGGCTTGAATATACCAGAGGAGGATATGCGTATGCTGCTGCATTTGCTGCACCAGCGACAGATCACATTCCAAGAAAGTGCCCAGCATATGCTGCAGAAGTACTTTGTAATATCCAGAAAGGAGCGACCGAGTAAGTAGTAGTATATGGAATCCAAACCGCAAAATACTTAACGAAATTTCTTTTTTTTCCTTCGGGCAACAGCTGTCTTTCACAGTAAAACGTACGTTGTGCTCAAACAGTTTGCTGAATCCTTTGCCAAGCTTGCCCTGCGTCTGGAGGTCCTGGAATCGGATGTTTGCGTGTCCATCTTTCACTGCGAGCACTTCGTCCAGCAAATCTTTGGGGGAACATCACCGCCACCGCCAGGTGTGACTAGTTTCAGCATCATCTCGCATATCGATCCGTACATGAACGAGTTCGTCCGCTGGCTGCTGCAGTATTTGGATCGTTATGAGGACCATGAGCTGGGCATGCACAAAGCCAAGCGCCGGCGCACAGATAGTTGGGAGTTTATTTAAAGAAAAAACTACCTCGCCACAGAAGGCACTGAGTACTTTTTACTCTACTATTCGATTTATATATCGAACTTTTTAGTTTTTGTTTGAAATGAATTTACAGCGCAATTTTTGTTTGTAAACATTTTTTTTATATATCCTATTTCTCTTTCTTTTTTTGCAAGAAAAAAAAACACTCGAGACTTTGAAAGTAAAATCAGAACGAATTTTTGGTGGATTCCCCAACCTATGATTCCAACGATATAGACTTGGGTCGTATATCGTCTAGCAAATCGTAAATACTAAGAATTTTTGAGGAAAAACAAAAACAAACTATAAATGTATCAATTGAATAAGTTTAGATAAATCAGTGAGGAAAACAATGTATCTTTAAGAACCCTGTCAAAACATGAAATAAATACAAAATGTATACAAAGAAGTAATTACCTATAAGTGACAACAAATAAAATAAAAAGAAACAGAAACACAAAGACTGCCATACAAAACGTGATACTTGACACATATGTCAATGGTTATATAATATTACCTTTAGCATTTAAATTTAATTTAAATAACAACACACAAACCATTTTCAAATAAAGAATCCAAACATTTGATTATTTTGATACAAAAAAAAAACAATTCGTTTTATTAACATACATATTTATAGTTATGTGTTTCTCTCTTTTGATTATCCTTTCGTTCAATATTCAGTTTTAGTCTTGGGCTTAGTAACTCTATATTCTCCGATACAAAATATATATATATGGTATATATAGGGATATATAAAATATAGTAGTTGCTGGTTAACTTGTAGTATGTAAAAGTTAATAGTTAAATTCACAATAAAACAAGAGTCATTTTGGTTGTGTTTCATATTTAAATCGTTAAACAAACTGATATAAATGTATATATAAAGTTATAGTCTAAATTGTATAACATATTATGTTATATAGGTATTATGTATATGCGATCATAAGATGTGTGATTAATATAATAGCAGTGCCCTGAAAATTCATTTCTTAAAATTTGTTGTGTTCATTTTTATATGGAAAGCTCTATCTCTCCTTTTTCTCTCGCTCTGAGATGTATACAATTCATTTGGCGGAGCAATTTATTTTTCCCTGTGTATTCCTAGATGGGAATATCTCTCTCTTCCATTTTTCTTCTTGTTCCTTTATGGAGTTTTTCAGTAATGAACACAATTCATTTAGCGAGGCAATTCATTTTTTGAGCAAACGCTTACTTTTAAAATATAAATACATACAATTAGAGAAACGTTTTGAATTTCAGGGCACCTTGGCTATTATATATCATCTATATGATTAGGCTTTGAATTAATGGCGGTGTTAGTAGCGTGGGGTTGTCCTTGATATACATTTGATACATTATTTAAATATACATATATGTTTATAAACATATATATAATAGAAAAATAGTCCATAACTAGGAATATGACAAAAGTAAAAGCATTAGGTATCTAAATATACACATACAATATCTCTATATCTATCTCTCCCTATATATATAAGTATATAAAAATACATTCATTACTTTTTGGTCCAGTACTAAAATCTCGGATTTACATACTTAGTTGTGCCAAACCGAAAATGTAACCACAGGACACATAGGACATGTGTTGAGCAAACCGCTTGTGGATTTTTAGATCTTACTTGGCTATGGTTACAGTTTATGCTTTGTTTCTTTGTCTCACTTAGTTCAACTTATTAAATTAAGAATGCTGCGTCTGTGTTGTTGGGTTTGTTATTTGTTATTTGTTTTCTTTCTTTTTTTTGGCTCTTTAATAGTCCAGATTTCCCTGGGCTCCGGTTATAATGGCATCGATCCAAATTCTCGCCGCCGAATCGGAGGCTGCCTGCAGATTATAGCTTCGCTTCTTCGTCTTGACAATAAACGTGCAATGCGGTCGGCCGCTCTTCGAGGCATTCAAATGATCCAGATAGACCTCGTCAATGGACTACGGAGAAATTGAAATATATATTCGATATATTATATATATAAAAGGGGTTTATAGCTTTCCAACTCACTGCAAAATAGGCTCCACCTCTGGTCTTCCGCTCCGACTTGTCGGAGAAGTAAATCAATGCACCCCTCTGACGATCCAGGACAAACCATCGCCTCGACCACGCATGGAACGTGGCTCCCAGCTTGTGCAGATATCTGTCAGAATATAAAATATATATAAAATCAGTTTGTTTGTAAACAATTATCGCGGCGAACACTCACCCCCGACAGCTTTGGGCATCAACAAAGACGTGCGGGCATAGATCGATCTGGTGACCAGCCGTCTCGATGTGATGCCGCAGATTCAGATCCGGCGAGAAGATGGGCAGGTAACGGGTCAGTGGGCGCTGATGCTTCGGCAGGACACGCTTCCTTTCGCTGGCTGTGCTGCCACCACTGCCGCTATTCCCACTGCCACTGCCCGCCGATGCTGTATCCTGGGAATTACTGCTGGCCCGCTTATTATCCGTACCAGCCTGAGCGGATGAAGTTGTCGAGTCCATCATGCCATTGGCAAACTTGGGCGCCTCCAAGGCTGCCTCACAATTGTTGGCCTCGGACAGGGGACGTGGACTGCGGGCCACCAATTGGCCGCCACTCGAGCCAGTGCCTAAACCCAGGGCGATGGCGTGGTGTTCCAGTTCCGGTTGCGAGTGGCGTTGCTAAAATAAAACCAAAGAAAAATCAGGGTTAGTTGGAGATGTTCAAGTGGTATTTGTTTATATTTCTGCAACAAAATGAGGCTTTTTTTCTTCACTTTGCTGGTATTTATTTGGATTTGATGGTTTCGCTACAATTTTACTATATTTAATAGATCTAATCTATAGTTCTTGTTTTCTTCGTTATGAAAATTAACTATTTTGAGTACTGAGTGTGGAAAACTTGAAAAACTTAGTATGTCATGGTCGTCAGGATTATAATCTTATTTATTTTTTAAGTATAGTAATGTATATTGTTTCTGAAGAATGTCTTTCCTAGGAATTACAAAGATTTTTGTTGGTATATATTATGCATAATTTCATGGTCACCAGCATTATAATCTTGAATTTTCTATATATAGTCCTTAAGTATGACTTTTAAAGTGATGGCAACAATGTTTCCACGATCCTAAGCAGTATTTCAAGATCCTCAAACCTATAATATTCTTTATTTTTATTATTTGCAACAACTTTAACAAACTCAAAGTATGTATTTCATGTGATAAGTAAGTATGGATAAACTAGTATCTTTTGCAGATGAAATAAGCAGTTCCTGGTCATCACATTCCTCTATTTCAATTTATTTTGATAGTTAAAAATTCTAAAACGCAATTAAACTATATTTTGTTTGATAATCATTCCAGAATATAATCGATTTACTATATATTCCTTCTACCACTCACTAAATAATACAACTCCATGCGCTGCCGTGCATTTGCATCCGTGCGTCGATGCTGCACGTAGGTCATCCACACAGACATTACGAAGTTATTAAATTTTAATTCAAGTTTGGTCAAATAACACACACTCTTGACAATCACTTGCGTTTCCAGTGGAAATTGCCAGCTAACTAAGAGCTGGCTGGGTCAGAGCGTTTTTCCAATTTTCCGACAGCTCTGCCACGGCGAAAAACAGATAGACGATTATGATGATGATGATGATGATGATGATGTTGCTCAGAGTAACTCGAATGAGGCGCACTTGAACATTATCCAGAAGATATAGCCAGAGGCGGCACGAGGATCGAGGGATCTCGAGAACGGAACGAGATCGAGATCGAGGTAATTAAATATACCCGTAATGGGGCAGCAGCGGATTTTTGTGGCGAATGGACACGGTGTCGGAGGAGGAAAGTTAATGATGGCCAATGGGTCTATTGGTCAGTTTTGGAAAATGTGTAAACAAATATCCGAAAAATAATCAAGGGGAACAGCAACAACACGTAAACACAACACACAACACACAGCACACAGCACACGTAACGCGTAACTAAGGCAACAAAATAAAACAAAGAACGCCAAAAAAGATCGCCAGCAAATATTAAAGCTTATTTTAATAAGTGTGTGTATAGGAGTCCATATAGGAGAGCACAATTTCCAACTTGCCAAAAGAAGGGGCAATGGTGGGGCCAGCTCCTCTCTCTCTTCATTAAAATAAACATTGATCTTAAAAATAAAACAGAAAACGGACAGCAAAATGCCGAGGCGGCCAACAACTCGTGACTAACGAGCTGGCGATAGATTCTTGATCGTCATCCGAAATGCTCAATCAATGGGCGAAAACACTTGGGCAAAAATAAAACCCCCCCAAAAAAAAAATCATGGAAATCCCCATAATTCATTGACCACAAAATATAATCATCCTTTAAAGTAAATAGAAAAGGTGAGAGAAGAAAGTAAACTTATTATTCGGAGTATTCTTAGTTCAGATAAGATACAGAATATTAGGATATTTAGAAATATAATTAAGAAAGAATATTAAAAAAGAAAATAAACTAAATTAAAATAAATATAAGGCCAGAATAAATATATAGTAAATCAATTATATTCGAAAAACTAAACAGAACTAAGGTTCTGGTATCATTTTAAGAATGTTATAGCTCGGAAAACAATTTCTTTTTTCTTTAAAAAATATTTCTAATATATATATTAATATTTATTTTTTCTCTTAAATACCAAACCTTAACTATAACTATTTCTTAGAGTGTACACACTCTTTCTAAGATCTATTATCTCACTCGTTAAAGAATTCTTCTCTCTTAATCTTCTAGACCAATTCCTTAAAGCTCTCTTTTGGCCATTTAAATAGCTTTTTATGAGTGGCAATGGTATGGCTAGCAGTGATCTTGATTAAGTCCAAAGTACCCCATATAAACTTGTCTAATGAGAAACATATTAAAAATATCGATAAATTAAAGTTTAAAAATCTCATAACTCAGCCAAAAAGGCATCAATTTTAATTCGGAAAACGGTCGCATGTTATTTTTTTATAGGTTAATAAATCTGCAAACTCAATTTAAAATTTTTAACATTTTAAAAATTTATACATTTTTTAAAATTTAAAGGGTGTAATTTTAACGACAAAATATTGAAAAAAATTTTAAAAATTTAAATTTCTTTGAAATATGGCTAAATCGATTCGGCTGTTCATGCTGATCAAGAATATATATGATTTATAGGGTCGGAAATGACTCCTTCACTTAATTTTAAGCTTCTGACTAAAATTATAATACCCTGTAAGGGTATAAATATTTGTTAACACTTATAATATTTTCACTGCTTTGGTACTTATGAAACACCAACACATTTCAAGTCTTTTTGTCTCAGACAAAATATGCTAGATCCCTGAACTGTAAGCCTTAAATAATTATAAAACTAATAATCAGTTACTAGAAAGAAAATATATTCCAATCTATTAAATCTTCTAGTTTAGATCAAGGTTCAATAGAATTAAGTTTCCATTAATTTCCCTTCGTGGATCCCTCTATTTGTGATTATTTTCTTATCTATACCGACTGCAAGGTGTACAATTAAAAGGCATTAACAAACAGTGCAACTGTATGGCACTTCTTATCGCCTCTGAATCGGTATGAATAATACTGCACTTTTCCTTGTAAAAGTAATAAACTTTTTCTCAAATTAATGCCAGCATTAATCATTATTCTGCAAAAATTCATTCACAGTATTTTCAATTTGTTTACATGTCCACAGAGAGGAAATGGCTTATCAAATGTGCTTTTGGATTTACGTTCGAAATATTTCCCGGAAATCCGAGAAAATGGTGAGGGGGTGGGGGGGGGGGGGGGTGTGGAAAGGAAAAACAAATTACAGAAAAATAAACAATTAAAGAAACAAAAACTCTGGTTTACTTTGCTTTAATTTTTTTGTTTGGCCTAGGTCATCAATTTGCTTTCGGGGTCAAGTTTTCCACACTGTCTGTGTGTGTTTTTCATTAGATTTTCTCTCACCTGTTGCGATGTTGTTGTTGTTGTTGTTGTTGTTGTGGGACTACTGCCGGTTGACTTTCTGTTTTCCTTGTCACCATTTACCTTGTGCACCTGCTGCTGGTCAGGTGTATCATCATCTGTTTTGCTGCTGAGCTTTTGCATCTCGGCGGCCTTCTCAAATAAATGAGCATCTTTGCCGCCGCTGCAAAAAAATAAATAAAACAAAATATAAATAAAAAAAAAACACATTAAAAAAGCCAAAAAGTATACATATGGTATATGGTACTATATATTTTTTTGTATATAATATTAGTCAATGTTTGTGGCTAAACATGAATGGTCTTTCTTTAATTATAAATTCACAATCACTTTCACACCAAGTCTTTGCCCTGAAAGTTGTATTTATCACCAGCCGACTTGATCTAGCCTTGCTCTAAAGAGTTATAACAACTTCTGTGGTTTGTTTTTTTATGTCTCTGGATAACACACTTATTTTTTATCAGCATACCAACAGGGAATCATCGCATTGATTCGATACATTATTTATTTATTTATTTGAGTGACTCATTCCCGGGGCGGGGTGTTTGGCATTTAATTTTAACTACGAGGGTTTGTCAATTCAAAATTAAATAATATATACTATTAACTATAAATTAAAAATAAAAAAAACTGTAAAAAGAAAATATAGAAAAGACCGAAGAAAAACCGAAAACTGACTAAGCGGGCGACCGGAATGTGACTGTGGATGCACAAGCCAAAGCACAGGGCACACAGACAAAGGTTGGCAAACACACAAATATATACACACACACACACACACACACCCAGAGACTACCCAGAAACACAATCAGCTGATAAGTTTATCAGCAGAGCTACACTGAAAGAAATATAGGAGCCAAACACCTGGGAACTTCCATCAAAATACCTAGAAACGTCTCGGAGTTGTCAATCTTATTTTCTTTAAATTCAAATAAATATTATTTAAAATGATCATATATAAATTATGGGTGCTACTGTATACTATATATTTAACCTACTTTTTCAGAGATTTATAAAAAAATTAAATATTTTTTAATAATAATATTTTTGGGAAAGCTTTAACAGGGTTTAATTTGATCAAATACAAATTCATGTACAAAATCAAGCTAACAATCAATCAGTTTTCCTTTTCCAAATTTATTTAAATTAATTAAATTCCCCTAAAAAAAATTATCATAATAATTTTCTGTGTATTAAGATATACCGAAAAAAAAAATAAAAGTAAGATGACGTCGCTTGATCGGCAAATAGTGTGCACTTAAAATAAAACTCCAATCGCTGAAAGTTTATTATTTGTCATAGCTTTTGTTTGATTTTCGGTTTTCAATTCAAAATTTCAAAGACAGACCGGTTCTCCAGAGGAAGGAGGGAGTGTGTCAAGTGGACACACATTGTTTAGTTATTAGCAACAAAAATTGATTAATTATAGAGAGGCGCGAGTTCAATGAGCAAGCCAAATGGCATCTACAATTTACACTTGTCAACCAAGGCTAATAAATAATAACTACTAAAGAAAATGTAAAATATTACTTACATTTTAAATATTAATAAATATGACAAGGTAGCGAAATGGGTACTAATGAGGTTTCCTAAGTGAAAAATTATAAATATGCCTAAGAATTGGCGTTCTTTGAAGTTTGCAATTAAAAATTTAGGATCGAATAGGAAATCTATCGTAATTAAACTTCAAATATTCAGTTTGTGTGAAAAGATTTTTATATATTTTTATATGACATTTTTTTTCAAAAAATCCAAGTTTAAAAATCTCATAACTCAGCCAAAAATGCATTAATTTCAATTCGGAAAGCTGTCCTACGTCAGTTTTTATTAATTTAATAAATCTACATACTTAATTTAATGTTTTTAAAAATTCAAAATTTTATAAATTTTTTTTTTTTTATAATTTTAACGATGAAAAAATGTGAAAAAAATTTGTAAATTTTTTATTTCTGCCTGAGATAGCTAAATCGATTCGGCTGTTCATGCTGATCAAGAATATATATGACTTATATGGTCGGATATGATTCCTTCACTTAGTTTCAAGCTTCTGACTAAAATTATGATACCCTAAAAAACACCTATTAAAATAATTCAATTAAATCCAAATCAATCAAAAGATAATTCACCTTAGACTTCATTTAAGCTAAATAATAAATATATATAAATATAAATCAATAGCCATCAACTTTTAACAATAAGTCGAAGATAAGATAATCAATAATTTATATAGTTAGATAATTAATAAACTAATGACAATAGATTTAATTATGATGATTGCAAATTATTCATTAAGTTGAGCCCTTAGAGACACAAATAAGCTTTAATTGATCGAAATAGACTTTAAAAGGATTAAATATTCATTTTGTTACAAGGTAAAGATATGAAAGCTAATTGATTCTTTAAGAAAATAAATATATAGCCATATTATAAGTGCAAATTGATCAAATTGGAGTTGTAGACCATGTAGCCTAGTGCCCAACTGCATGTTAAGTGCATTATCTTAATGATCTCGGCCTGTTCAACTAATTAACTCGAAGCACGAGAGGTCAACTTACTTGGCATCCGATTCTACCAGCTGCTGCTGCTGCTGCTTCTCCATGGAAAGCTGCGTGGAGAGCAAGTACTGGGTGCGGGCCTCGTCGTGGCTCTTCTTCTTCAGGTCGTACATCTTCTGACGCTCATGCTCAATGACCTGATGTCCTACAAAGTTCAAGAAATATAAAATTAATTTAGTTATATATACATTTAAATATATTTGTGTAATTCCTTACCCTGTTGTGCCAGCAAAAGCTTACGATTTCTCTCAATCTCCTTGATGCTGTCAAAGATCTTGGTGCTGGCACCCTGACTGGTGGAAATGGGTGCATCATTGGCCACCTTACAACTCCGATCAATGTCATCCTGCGAGGGCACACGACGCTCTAGGGGATTCACCTCAAATCGATCGCTTTGCAGCGATAGATTGAAGCTAATCTGCTCACAACTTCCTCCAATGTTCTCAAAAAGCTGCAGCGGCACACGTTTGGGTGTGCTCGTAATGCCAGTGGCAGTGCCAATGGTGGCCTCGATCTTGTGGTTATAAAACATATTTTCATTGACACTCTTCGACATCAGATCCTCGTGATTGCGAAGCTTTGGACATAGGAGCTCAGCGGATCCAAACAGAGACTGCGACATGACACCGCCATTGATTAGATTACTCCCGCTGCTGGTTTCTGGCGAAGGCGGTGGTGTTGGATCCGGATCATGCTCATGTTCAGGCTCCTCGGCCTCCTCTTCTCCATCCTCGCCAGGTCCAATTTGTATACGCAAAGCGGCCAGCTCAGCTTCAAGGGTAAGACGATGCTCGTGACGCTTAAATTCCTCATGACTGGCATGATGCTCGGACTCTTCCTCGAAATACTGAAACTCTAGATCCTCAAAGGTCTTTCTATCGCTCTCCAATGACTCGCACACCAGCTGCAGTTCCTCCTTCAGGCAGGCATTATTCGGTTTTTGCTTCAACATTGCTCGCAGTCTGTAAAGGAAGACAAGGATACATTACTTTATATTCGATATATTATATGGTATATAGCTTACTTTTTCAGCTGATCCTGCTTCATTTCGATGGACTGCTTTAGCTTGGCCTGCTGATTCTCCTCCATGACCCGTGTGGCATTCCTTTGGGCCTCCAAACGGCGAACACGATGCTGCAGTGCCTGCAGCTGCAATCGAGGTGATGCAGTGGCCGCCAGCGGTTGTTCATCCATTTCCAACTGGGAGAAAGAAGTGGTAGTATTACATCAAGTGCCCAGAGATCATAAATATATAGACTCACCTCTAGACTATCCATTCCCGCCGATGGTGGCAGCTCGGCCAGTTCCCGCTTGAGCTGCTTACGCCGCTGGATAAGCTCTCGCCGCTGGCGTTGCTCCAAATGAATACTCCTAGGGGCTGGCGCTGGTTTCCGGCTTGGCTTCGGTGACTGCGTCTGCAGCTCCACAGCTTGGAGGTTCAAGGTGAGATTGTTGATGTTCTTGTTACTCCTAGGTTTGGGTGAGACCAAGCGATCCAATTGCTTCTGCTTGCGATCGAAGGACTTGAAGAGCTGCTCGTAGTCACGCTGCAGATTTGGAGCCGGCGGCTTGGGTGCCAGTGGTGGCTTTACCATATTGGGAATGGGTATGGGAACGGAGGCAGAAACCTGAGATTGAGGCTGATGAGGCGGACTGATGGCCAGGGCAAAGGCATTGCCAAAGGATATCTCCTTTTTCGGTGACATGCAATTTGTACGGATCTTGGTCCTGGGACTTTGTGGCACATATTTGCCCACTCCAGTGGGATTCACCAGATTCTCATGGCTGGCACGAACTGCTGCAGTTGGTATAGCTCCCGAACCACCTGATCCTCCTCCACCTGCATTGCCTGAGCTGCCTACAGCTGAGGCTGGCACATGTATTTGACCATTAATCTCCACACGATTGGGACCCAATAAACGGACATTCTCGTAGCCCGAGGAACTGCTCAACATGGCGGTGCTTCCCCCTGAGCCACTCTGCTGTTGTTGCGTGGGAAATGGTGACTTATTCTTGTCCCTGGGCAATGAACCATTCGTTTTGATGCGATTCTGGACAATCGGTGAGGATGTGATGCTGGAGGAAGTACTGGATGTATTGTTATGTCCATGATTCATGGAGTTGTTTCTGTCTGCATATTCCGTGCAAATCTTTAGCATGTCCTCCAGTTCAACGCCACCACCACCTCCAACTCCTCCGCTTGAAGTTCCTCCACCAACTGAGCCCGGAATCAGACCATTATTGATCTCATTATTCACACCATTCATGGAGTAAATCTGAAGACCCCAGTCTTGGGATATCTGTCATACCGATCGTTGTTGACTTTGGTGAGCAGGTGATCCGTGGGTGCCTGTTGCTGCGCCTGCTGCTGATGCTGATGCTGGATGAGCTGTTGCTGTTCCTTGTAGATCGCCGCATTGCTGGGCACATTCCAGTAGCCACTGTTGTTGCCAACTCCCTTGGCAAACTGATTGTTCAGCTGCTTCTCGTTGCGATGATTCTCGGCAAGATTGCGGGCAAAGCTGGCATATTTCTGACCAAGCACATCCTTGGCCGGCATATTGACTGTAACAAGATCGGCGGAGAAGACTTTGGGGCAATCCAATTCATATGCCGATGGGTTATGATTATTATTGTTGTGATTAATGGGATTTATAATGCTCTCGTAGAAGGATTCCAGCTCCAGGGACTGACTCAAATCGTGGGCCTGCCTTGCCGATTGTGTGAAATCGATTTGGGGCATTGAGATGCGTTCGTTGGAGCCCATCGCCGAACGCATCATTTGCGCCTCGTCCGGATTGTTGAACCTTAGATAATTCGAGTTACCAATGGTAATCATTGCCCCCTGGCTAAGTTTCGTCTCCTCCAGAATGGGAGCACCGTCGATTAGAAGACGTGCGTCCTGTTCTGGGACCAAAGTCACCTCGTTGGCGTCACTCCTGCAAGTACAAATAGGTTTTGGACACGTTTAAAAGCGACTAAGGTAAAACTTGGAATTTTTTTAAATTTAAATATATTTAAATTTTTATGTTTTTGATTATGTGAAGTTTAAAAAAAATATTAAAATACACAAATCTGACAGATGTAGAAAGGCTTTGGGGATTTTAATTAGGGGGATTGAATATTTATACTTCTAAATTACTTTCTTTTTCATTTACTCATCATTATTTTATTAATTTATTATTAAGTAATCGTTTTTATCAGTTAATTATGGTTCTAAATATTTTAAATTAAAGAATTTTTAAAGTCTAGACTAGATAGAAGATAATAATATTAATAAATACCTGTATATTGTGCAATGCAGTGGACGAACACCGCTGCCATTCAACGAGATGCTACAGCTCACCGCCGATCCAATTGTCGTGTCACCTAAAAAATATTTAAAAATTCAGAATTATATACTTTACTTTAAGAAAGCTCAAAGATTTCAAATCATACGTTTCCCGTTCGAAGCCTATTTAAATATTGTGAGGGGTTTGGAATATTCATATTTCGGCTTCGATTATGTTTCTTATCTCGCTTTAAAGCTCTCTCCAAAATATTTCTAGCTTCTCAAGGTTTCAATTACAGTGGAATCCTAATTTAAATAAACTAACTAAGCATAAGCTTACTATAAATATATTCTGTTAAAATCATTTACAAAAATAATATATATACAACATTTTAAAGGCATTATTTCGTACTTTCTACTAATATTTCTAACTTTAAACAGACTTCCTTTATAAGATTTGAATTTTTACTTTTAAAGAAGTAATTTTTTTTATAGTCTTAGTAAATTTTTTGTTAAGTGCTGAAGTTAACTAAGTTTTCTCGCGTTTTCAGCCCATTGTACATAATGGCGTCAAAGAAAAAAAAAAAGAAACCAACAACAACAACTGAAGTAAGCTTATCGCAGACTCTTGCTCTCCGTGGGCTTTTGTCGTATTTTTTTTTTTGGTTGCCTTTTATGCGTTTTCTTTCGTAAGACTTTTTGTGTGCTTTTTCGTTTGCTCAATTCGGTACCTTACAATTGACCTTGGCCAGGCGGTAGCGAAAGAGGGAATGGCAAGCGTTGCGAGGAAGGAAGAGCGCATGCGTGGCCGAAAACGTCAACCATGCATGTGTGCAAAAGAGAGGGAGGATGCTGTAACGGTGCGTGTCCAGTGGCACGAACTCCACTAGAGTTGCCAACGTGACACGAACTCTACCAGAGTTGCGAACGTGAGACGAACTCTTCAAGAGATAAGCTCGTGATACACGAAAGGTGACTTTTTAATATATTTATTATTTGTAATTATTAATTTGATCAGCAAATGTAGAATCTATAGTTAAAAAATCTCATCTAGAAAAATAGTACAATTTCCTTTCATTCCTATAATAGTAATAATAGAATTACACTTAAATTAAACTCTAGGATAATCTGGATAGGGTCACGAAACTCACCTATATGTATGTAGTGAATGGTTACGGCGGTGCTCAGACGCCCACCGCCCAAAGAAACGAGATGCGGATCCGAGGCGGCGACTCTCAGTGAAGGATCCTTTTTCGTCAATGACATCTGCAACGAGGGGAAGAGCGAGACAAGGATGGAGTGAGTGATAAATTACACACACGCGCACACACACACACACCTGGCAGATGCATTGGCAGCTGTTCAATAATTGTTATTGGTTTTCTACTTTTTTTTTGTTGTCGTTTCGCAAATGTCAGGGGATTCCCTTTGTAATGAGTGGGTGTGTGAGGGAGAAGACAGCACGTGCTGGTCAATGGGCTCAGGGGGTGATAGAGAAATTGGAAAGAGAGGAGGAGAGGAGAGAGAGAGAAAGGAAGCTGGTAATAAGTACTGAAACTTAAGCAAACCTTTAAAAGCAGGCAATATTATAATTTTAGGGCTTTATTTTTATTACTTTGTAATTTATATCTTTTAAAATTAAGTAATTAAGAGATTTTTCATGTCATAGTCATATTTTTCATTACGTGTACTTATTATTCAATTTAAAATATGAGTATTTTAGTTTGAAAAACATGTGAGCAATATCTCCTTTACCTATTACCACTGAGCTTATTACTACCGAATGATGTCATATGTGCCGGACTGGTCACCAGTTGACCCCCTCTTCAAGCCCCATTGGATGGGAATACGATTTCTGACTCTAGCTCCACGCACTTGTAACTGATAAAGAAACTATATATACATATATACATATATTTATGTACATATAAAAAACTACTACAACTCAAGACAAACTCATGGCAAGAAAGTGTGGAAAATGATGAATATGGTATATAGTTTGTATATATATTTGTGATTGAAAACTTTATCAGGCAAATAGCAACAACAACATGCACTCCCATTTTCCAGTTATCCACTGTGGACACATTATGTGGAGCGAAACAATCTCTGACCACACGCGGTGCTCCAATCCAATAAAAACGACAACGAGTCAGTGATGCCACGATGAATTATCAGTGACATGATCATGATCATTATGATGAATAGAACAGAGGCGCCATGGGGCATTTGAGCCAAGGGGGGTTTATGTAATTAGTTCATTTATTTAGTTATTCTTATTATTTTTGAAGCTAAAACTTGAAATCTTTAAGGAAGTAAGAGAAAATAAAAAACCAAAATCAGTGACAAAATCTACTTAAAGTCCCCCTTCTTATAATATTATGAGATCATGAGGGTCGCCACATAATCTGTACTTGCTTTTTTTTAGTGTGTTTATGACCCAATTAGGATTGTTTCAGCTTCGTTTGCTTCACTCCATTCTCTCCTCTTTTTTCCTCCTCCTCCATCATGAGGTGTAAAAGGGAGAGAAAGAGAGATAGAGAGAGGGAAAAAAGGGGGTCCAAATTTAGTGAAATATTCAAGAGGGGGGCCTGACCGTCGTGGGCGATGTAAAGATCCCTCAAACGCAACCATTTCCGCGCGCCCTAAAAATAAAAGTGAAAACTTTTAATGCCCAGGGCGGCGACTTCCCCAGCCCCTTCTTATTTTCTTTTTTATACCCTTGCAGGGTATTATAATTTCAGTCAGAAGTTTGCAACGCAGTGAAGGAGGCACCTCCGACTATATAAAGTATATATATTCTTGATCAGGATCAACAGCCGAGTCGATCTAGCCATGTCCGTCTGTCCGTCTGTCCGTCTGTCCGTCTGTCCGTCTGTCCTTCTGTCCGTCTGTCCGTCTGTCCGTTTCTACGCAAACTAGTCTCTCAGTTTTGAAGCTATCTGAATGAAACTTTGTAGTTAGCCTTCTATATACTCTCACTCGTATATATGTCGGAACGGGCCGGATCGGACGACTATATCATATAGCTGCCATAGGAATGATCGTAAAATTTTTACAAAAAAAGTTTTAACTTTTTCAGTTTTCAATAGAATTGGATTAAATTTAAGATATAGCCATTTTACTATATTCTACAATTTTGTGTAAAATTTTATGAAAATCGGACTAATATATCATATAGCTCCCATAGGAACGATCGAGAAATTAATACAATTAAATTTATAACTTTTTCAGTTTTCAGCTGATTTTCATCAAATTTAAGGTATAGCTATTTTATATTAGTCTTAAATTTTGTGTCAAATTTTATGAAAATCGGACGACTATATCTTATAGGTGCCATACAAACGATCGTTTGATGTAGAGGAAAAATGCAAATCTGTGTATGTAAAACTGCAAATATAATATGAATAGGTGAATGAAATGAAAGCAGGTATTACTTTATTGTTTTTTAACACAAATATATATAATTTATATTGTATGGATTCCTATTCATAGAAGTTCTATCTGCAAGGGTATATAAACTTCGGCGTGCCGAAGTTAGCTTTCTTTCTTGTTTTTTTTTGTTTTACTTTTTAACTTCTTCTGTTTTCCCTTTTCCGCTCCAACACGTTTTTACTGTATATGGAGTAAGAAGGCCCTGTTATCAGAGGCCGCATTTTTCATTTATTTGTTTATTGTAGATGATTGATTAGGCTCATAACGTATTCCACCTTTCGAGCTGCCAAGAAACATATATTAGCCACTTCCATGTACCATACTATATATCCTAGAAATTAATGTGCAACAAAAAAATCACATGGAATGCACTTCTATTTTGATCTTCTATATCTCTTCAATATCTTACATCCATTACAGACATTTCCTAATTTTTTTGTAATATTTTAATAACATGTCATCTCTTTTTAGCTGTTAACTTAATTTCTTAACTCCTTTCGCTTTCCGTCTAGACGCTTCTTTGATTATTTCTTAGTTTTTTAAAGTCATCATACCTTATACTCTTAATGATGACGTGATCATTCCCAACATCATCATCATTGGATTATTACAACAAAACATTACGAAATGCATTTTGTACTGCCTGCTTTTTTAGCTTTTCTTATATATTTTCTTTTCCACTATGCGCTGTTTTTTTTAAGCGGAATTCTGTGTGTGTGACTGGGCACAAAAACAATATAATCATCATCAGCATCATCATCAGCATCAGAAAAAAAACTAAAGAAATATCCACAAGAGATCCAAGAGATGTAATAAATTACCCCCCAAAAAGAAAGAAAGGAAATGGTTGGAAAATAAAAGCAAAATTAAAGTGAATGAAAATGGTCTCCTCTGGAATAGTCGGTTTTGGAGCAAATAAAAGCCAATTCAAAAGTGAGTCAGAAAAACACACCTCCCACCAGATGCGTTCCACAATTGCCTCCTACATTCAGTGATTTTTTTCCCTCACTATTATTATTTTTTGTAGGCCTTTTTTATGGGTGCCAACAACAAAGGTATTCGAAATCATATTCAGATAAGATAAAAGCCAACGGAAAATCATCGAAAGAGCCGTAGATATGCCGCAAAACTTTCATTATGTAAAAGCTCGTAGCGATAAGAAACATACTTCTTTAGAGGTCTTACAGGGATCTAAATAATTATTAAAAAAAAAATTCAGACAAACAACATGCGGTAATGGATGGTGCTAATATTTCCCTCTTAAATTTTTAGCAAGAAAACTTGTAAAAATTTTATTTTAGAAATTTAGATTTTAATTCAGGTATGATCCGGTTCATACTATCGCAAAAACATGATAACATTAATTTTTACAAATTTGACCTTACTAAAGTATATGAAAATCGGAATACTATACTATATAAAATAACTCCAAGGGAAACGGCTGTTAATTTTAGTAAGTATCTATGACCAGTAAATAACTCTGAACAGTAAATATCAATGAACATAAAGTAACTCTGAACAGTAAGTATCTATGACTAGTAAGTATGTATGATCAGTTACTAACTTTGAACACTTGTAAACAATGACTTGCAACTTTTGAAACACAACACATATCTGAGACGTGGCCGGTAGCAGTCGCTTCATTCCGGGGATGATAGAACCAGTTGGGAATCATATCCTCAGACGTGTGAGATTTGTTTTGGAACAATGAGCAAGCTATTTCAATGAAACTATGGAGTTATGGATCTACATAATTTTACTAGTATATAAATCGGAGCATGGCGAATCGGTGGACTATATATATACATATATATATATGTGAAATAGGAACGATCGGAAAATTTTAAGACAACATATAACTTTTCCAGTTTTCAACAGATTTTCATCAAATTTGATATAAAGCCGTTATCTATTAATCTAGGATTTTATGAAAATCGGACTGCTATATACTACATACAAACGTTCGTTAAAAATAGAGATATATAATTTATATTATATTAATTTCTAGTGATCGAAGTAGCGAGGGTATTCGGAAGTTAGCTTCCTTTCTTGTTTTTTAATAATATTTAATACATATAACAAAAATTAATGCTAAAATAAATACAATTTATTAACACGTGTGAGGGTTTGCCTGAGTCACTTAGGGGGTGTTTCGTTGAGAACATATAGATGAGTATTTTCCTCAGAAGGCAAACAAAAACAAAGCAATCTTAATTGTGTTTAACAGTGTCCTATTTTACCCGCTTAATATTTGCACAGAATCTTCATTATTTTCAATAGTATCATCATGTCCCTTGCCTTGTCACCCTTCGAAAAATCCCCCACAAATGGTTTGCTTTTAGCCCAAGTTTGCTCTGATGATGATGATTATTGCCATTTTTAGTTGACTTTATTTATAAAGAGCAAACACAGCTGGTATATAGCCCCTTTTCACCTTACACAGAAAGGAAAGCAATACACAAGATATATATATGGATACATATACTTCATAGGGTCGAAAAGGCTTTTTCTTTGTTCGAACTGCATGAATATGAATTAATATTCTTTTACAAATTTATATATCTGTAATAGTATTTTAATTGAAAATGTTATAAACATAAGAATTATGATATATTAAGAGTTGTTTATATTCCCCTGGTTATTGTAATAAATGTATGTAACTATTATAGATCTATACAAATTTAAATTGTAGCCAAATTTATTACATTTTTCTGGGTGTAAAAATAAAATACCATATTTATTTCAGGGTGCATTAGCAGACCAACTGTCAATATTTTCGATTAGCAAAAACAAAAAACAAACTCGGTTTGTTTGCTTTTTTTTTTGGCCTG